GAATCACAATTAAATCTCTCTCTAAGTATAATCTTAGTTTTCTTCCTTCTTTATGTAATTAAAATACTCAGATTCACCTCAAATATGTGTTTTTGTTTTTAAAAGAAACTTAATAACAAAAGTAGGAATAAATCCAGTAAGTAGTTGACTACCTTACTGTGAAACTGTCATTGTTGGGAATAGGAAAAGGAGAGAGAGATTTGCAATCCTGGCTTGGTTATCTTTCTTTTCATTTTAATGACAGAGGCTTCCTATGAACATTCAAAATTTGTTTCAATTTTTCTTGGTATTTCCAGTAGCTAAAAAGAGCTAGGTGTAGAAAGTACAGAGAATTGGCAGACAAATAACTGGAGAAAGGAAGATTACAACGCTAATAAAGTAATATCTTCATATTTAAAATGATTTTCTTTAATGCAGACATCCTCAGTATGTTAAAAACAATATCAGAATTTCATGGTGGAAACCATTTTTCAAAAAAGGCTAGACAGTATAAGCAAGCATATTGCAGTTCATAAAGTTGAACAGTAGATGGCATTTTATGCTTTTTCTAACTCCAATTGGAATAATTGAGGGGAAATATTTTTCATTGAATTTTAAAGCTATTTGGTAAAGACCTTTAGTAAAGTTTCTCTTCTAACTTTCCTCTTCATTCGAATAGAAAGTGAAAGGGTGTCATTAGGGAGTTAGTACTGCTTTCTCCATTTTATCAATGAAGAAATTGAGGCTTAGAAAGTATGCTGCTTCCTTAGGGACACAGTTAGTAACTGAGTTGGAATTCAGACTTCGACAATCTGATTTAGACCTCTTACTCTTAAGCAATAATCTATACTGTCTGTCTGTCAAATATTAAGGTGTAAATACTGTTTTTAATGTCATTTCCTTTTTTTTTTTTTTTTTTTGAGACGGAGCCTCACTCTGTCGCCCAGGCTGGAGTGCAGTGGCGCGATCTAGGCTCACTGCAAGCTCCACCTCCTGGGTCCCCGCCATTCTCCTGGCTCGGCCTCCGGAGTAGCTGGGACTACAGGTGCCCGCCACCACGCCTGGCTGTTTGTATTTTTAGTAGATACGGGGTTTCACTGTGTTAGCCAGGATGGTCTCGATCTGCTGACCTTGTGATCCGCCCGCCTCAGCCTCCCAAAGTGCTGGGATTACAGGCGTGAGCCTCTGCCCGGCCTGTCATTTTCTTTTTTTCTTACTCCTTTCAATTTTGTTGCTTATGTTGATGTGGCTTAAAATGCTAGAATTTTTATTTTTATTTTTTATTTTTTTTTTATTTATTTTTTTTAATTTATTTATTATTATTAAACTTCAAGTTGTAGGGTACATGTGCACAACGTGCAGGTTTGCTACATATGTATACTTGTGCCATGTTGGTGTGCTGCACCCATCAACTCGTCATTTACATCAGGTATAACTCCCAATGCAATCCCTCCCCCCTCCCCATGATAGGCCCCGGTGTGTGATGTTCCCCTTCCCGAGTCCGAGTGATCTCATTGTTCAGTTCCCGCCTACGAGTGAGAACTTGCATGTTCTCACTCGTAGAATTTTTATTTTTATAGCATTTTTTAAAGTCGGCTGATAAATTTAATGAACTCCAACATGCTTGGTACCAGTAAGCGGTCATTTAATTTGCAGAGAATGATACATACCTAATACATTATTGTATCTTAAAACATAAATATGTATTAATTTGCTAGTTTTTAATGTGGAGCCAAATTGAATGTGGGGTCAAAGATTGTAATTTTCATCTTTTTTTTTAATATAAACTACACCCAATATATTTTCTGTGATCTCCAGTTACAGTTTCTGTAAAGCATGAACCTAACAAAACTTTCCAAACAATCTGATTACAGAATCCTTCTAGGTTTTTCTTTCCTCCCCCTGATTTAGTAGCAACTTTTTTCTAATAATTTATCTTTATGAATTATTTCTAAAATGTTCTTATACATTTTCAAAACTCTTTTATCAATTTATACAATTTTTAATACCTTAAATAAACCTTAACAAGTACAAATGGCAAACCATCTGAAAACAAGCAGCCGACAGTAAACATGCATTTAAGACAACCTCTGTGTGATTCAAATGAGCGCATAGAGATTTCTTTTAGAAGTCATTTTATTTACAGGAGTATATATTTTCAAATTATTGAAGGCATTCTAAAGCAATTCTGAGCTGAGTTGAATGAAACTTGTCATCTATGAGCAATTTTCCCACTACTCCTTTAGTCCCAATTTCTCTAGTTTTTCATTCACACCTGAAGCTCCAGGAGAGAATCACAGCTACTGAGAGGACACCCCTCAAGCGTGATTGGGCAGGAGGAAAGTTACAAACTCAATTGTACTTCGTTTTCCACATTTTGGCAAAGAATATTCCTGCCAGCAATTAGTTTTGTATTTTAAAATAGCATTTAAGCATCTTTAGGAGTTTGTAAAATCTTTTTTGTCCCTTATTGTAATAAGTAATAGAATAAAGTTCCCCTCAGGCCAGAAGCATGAATTTAGTCCACAAAAACATATTTATAAATATTTTTAAATCTGAGGTTTAGTTTATCAAATTCATAAGATCCATAGAAGTTTATGGTTTAAAAAGCCAAATCGTTTTTACAAGGACTATAGTGAGAAACAGTCTTCTAAATCCCTCTCCCTAACTCTGTCATCTATTTCTTCTGTTTCCATTTTTTCCTAAATAATATGTTTATATCATTATTTCTACATTTATTAATTTCAAACATCTGTTAACTTATTACAGATAAATAGGACTTGGCCTCCTTATGCCACCTTATTCCTTCTCTCTTCACTTTCCTCATCCTCCCTGTATGTAAATATTTAGTTATAGATATTCCAATTTCAGATTAAATCATTTATGATGACTAATATAGCTAAGCCATGAATGTACACTACGATTACATTTCCTTTCTGGTATAATGTTTTGTTTTAGAATTAATTGCTTCATTTTTATCTTCGGTTTTCTCTCCAACTATAGTGAATTATTTCCAAACTCTCCAGGGATTATGGAACCCTACTGAATGCTATTTTCCGTAGGGTCTTCCAAAAACATCAATACTCCGTCATTTTAATTATCCCAGAGACATCTCTCCTGAAGCCCACTCTCTTCCCATTTCAATATGTAGCTGTGACTATGTGTAGCTAGATGCAGAATCTAGCTACACACAGAATATGGAGAATCACAGATGAACTATAATAATCGGGAAAAGATTGATACTTAATAAATGTCTTTGGAAAAACTGTTTAGAGAAAAAATGAATTTAGATTAATACTTCACACTGAAATTTCAAATGTTTTAATAAGTTAAGCCAAAATAAGTAAATGTTATGAGAGTGTAACTACCTCAGCTGTCCAAAGCTGATTTTGGTTTCATCCTGGAAGCAAGAGGAAATTAATCACAGGATTAACCACAACTTAAAAAAATGGATATGCATTCAAAATTAAGACAAATAAATGAAATGAGGAAATTGTTTACACTTTTAGATAAGTATCTATAATTATTAAATGAGTTTACTATTCATCAAGAACTATTTTTAAAAATTTAAATATTAATATCCTTTCCATTCTTAGCAAATAAGATGGATAGTTGACAAAATGGAATACAAATATGAAACATTAATAAGGAACCACAAATTGAATAATAGATTTCACCTCAGACTTAAACGAGCAAGTGTGTAATTGACAGTGCAAAAATAATCCACTTATGTGTTATTCCTGCTGCAAATATTTTTCTGGAGTATTATCCAGCAGTAAGCAACAAAAGCTATAAAAGCTGATAATACTTTTTGATATGATCATTCCATTGTTTGCAATATATTATACAGAAGTAACTCAAAAGAGGATTTTTCTCTTGCAAAATGTGCTAAATGTAATAGAAAAAGAAAGACAAAGTAGTTTGTTGGTATAAAAACCATCTCATTAAGAACTATAGCAGGTCTCTGTATTACCTCATGAAAAAAAGTATATTGATAAAATGAGAAGGAAAAAAGGCAGAACACAGAAGCATATGTGTAATGATAATATTAATTATGCTTAAGGATGAAAAAGTCCATAAAACAGATTAATGGTTGCTGGGGCTTAAGGATGGTTGGGGAAGGAACGGAGAGATGGGTATGACTGTCAAGGGTGGCCCGAGGGAGATCTTCGTGGTGATGAGTATTCTGTATCTTGATTGAGTGATAGTTAATGGGAACTTAGGTGATAAAATGACAGAGATCTATATACAGGCATTATGTCATGTTGAGCTTCCTGGTTTTGACTTTGTTATATTCTGATTATGTCAGATGTAACCATGCAGGAAACTGGGTGAAGAGCACACAGTACTTTTCAATATGATCCCTGTGTCTTCCTGTAAATCTATCATTATTTCAAAATAAAAAGTTGGTGTTTTAAGTTTCTAAAATCTTATAAAATTGTTGGCATACTCAGGTTAAAGGGATATTTTGGGGTGTTCGGTTTTGTGCTTTGCATTTTGTCTTGTGATTTTGTTTGATTTTTTCCATGTTAAAGTTGGTTGAATGTACAATTATTTTAAGTGCCTGTGTATTTTCTTCATAATTTATGGAATCAAATTAATAGAAGTTTTGCTGTGGATTTTCTGCCACCTCATTACTTCTTTTATTTTTTTTTTCTTCTTAGTATGTGCCAAGAGTTGTAACCTCTGCACAACAGAAAGCAGGAAGAACTATTACAGCCCGGATCACAGGAAGATGTGATTTTGCTTCAAAAAATAGAATTAGCAGCGGTTTAGCTATAATGGGAGTTTCTCCTCCCATGAGCTCAGTTGTTGTGGAAAAACATCATCCAGTCACAGTGGTGAGTCCACATTTGATGACCTTTTGTCTAAGTCTTTTTCCTGAGAGTTCACAGACTAGTAAACACATAACATGTTGAGAAGATAAAAATGTATGGTGATTGGTACTTGTCCTGCCTTTTCCTGATAGTTTTTTTGTTTGTTTGTTTGTTTGTTTTTATACTTGTATTTCTCAAACCTGCTATAAATCTACCTTTCTGCTGTTGGGAAATTAATTTCAGAAACATCGTTTCTTCCAAACTGTAAAAATTATAAAATACTAAAAGTAATCCAGTGTGTATGTGGTCAAAAGAGTAAAATATGTAAAGGATTTATTATCCATTTAAAAAGAGACAAAAATTGTTCACTCACTGGTTCAAACAGTTCTCCTGCCTCAGCCTCCCGAGTGGGTGGGATTACAGGTGCCCGCCACCACAGCCAGCTAATTTCAGGGATTGATTTTAAAAGACAATGCCCACTCTTTCCTTGCCTAACGCAGCCATGGCTCGTGGTCCCAAGAAGCATCTGAAGCGGGTAGCAGCTCCAAAGCATTGGATGCTGGGTAAATTGAGTGGTGTGTTTGCTCCTCGTCCATCCACCGGTCCCCACAAGTTGAGAGAGTGTCTCCCCCTCATCATTTTCCTCAGGAACAGACTTAAGTATGCCCTGACAGGAGATGAAGTAAAAAAGATTTGCATGCAGCGGTTCATTAAGATCGATAGCAAGGTGCGAACTGATATAACCCAGCCTGCTGGATTCATGGATGTCATCAGCACTGACAAGACGGGAGAGAATTTCCGTCTGATCTGACACCAAGGGTCGCTTTGCTGTACATCGTATTACACCTGAGGAGGCCAAGTACAAGTTATGCAGGGTGAGAAAGATCTTTGTGGGCACAAAAGGAATCCCTCATCTGGTGACTCATGATGCCTGCACCATCCGCTACCCCGATCCCCTCATCAAGGTGAAGATACCATTCAGGTTGATTTGGAGGCTGGCAAGATTACTGATTTCGTCAAGTTCGACACTGGTAACTTGTGTATGGTGACTGGAGGTGCTAACCTGGGAAGAATTGGTGTGATCACCAACAGAGAGAGGCACCCTGGATCTTTTGACGTGGTTCACATGAAAGATGCCAATGGCAACAGCTTTGCCACTCGACTTTCCAACATTTTTGTTATTGGCAAGGGCAACAAACCATGGATTTCTCTTCCCCGAGGAAAGGGTATCCGCCTCACCATTGCTGAAGAGACAAAAGACTGGCGGCCAAACAGAGCAGTGGGTGAAATGGGTCCCTGGGTGACATGTCAGACCTTTGTACATAATTAAAAATATTGTGGCAGGAAAAAAGAAAAGAAAAGAGAGAGAATGCCCTCTATGAATTCTCAGCATTGGACAACATTCCTGTGTACTTACTAAGTATTAGCAAAAACAAAAGTACATGGAATGATTTTAAATCCTTTTTTCCTGAGTACTAGCTGGTCACTAGATGATTAAATGAAGACAAGCTGGACTGATTTGAACTGAACTTCAGGTGAAGTGGGACCTTAGCGAGGCAGAATGCTAGAGATAGAAGCACCAAGTCCAGAGAGACACATGGAGATGACGGAGGATTTATTTTAGGATTATCTTAGGTTTCATGTTTCATAAGTTGGACAGACTCTGAAAGTTCATAGAAGACTTTTCTATATATTTTTGAATATGGAAGACAAGTTACCAAAAATGAGAAGAAATGAATGCATTTCTGTTTTTTCAGATGTAGAAAATGTATAGAGATGGTGAGAGACTGTCCATTTGTGAGGTAAAGAAGGCGTAAAGAGAGCACATATGTGTTTATTTTTTATTAGACAACCTTTTGTTTTGTAATAATAAGAATTCATATTTTACAGAAGACAAATCAAAGAACTAAACATTTAGAACCCTTGTTTTTGATACTTATCTCCCATGCTGCCCTCCCTTTATTCAGTACGTGCATTTCTTCCCCACTAACTGCATATGAATCGGATAGCCATCAGCTTCCTGGATTATGTGACAGACACAGTGGCAGTCATCTGTACTGTATTTCTTTTTACCCTGGGAGTCAAGATCTAAATCTACCAGAAATGGTTTTTACTAAAAAACCAAGGATGCGATTTGTGACACCGTAGCCTCTTCTGCTGGACAATTGCATGCTTCTAGGGCCACTTTGTTCTCTGTCATATTTTGTGTATCATAATTTCAGTGGCTTCTTTATTTCTACAGTTCCTCTTGCCCATCCTCCCCAACGAGAAAGCCTTTTTGGTAGGCTCAGATTAGGTGACTGACAACTAAAATTTCCTATCTGTTGCAAGAGTATCTCTTATTTATAATGGTTATCCAGTTATTTATATACAAAGAAACATTTTTATAAGATACTTTAAGAAAAGAGGTTATTTTTCTTTTTCTTTAAAAAGGAGTTCTGTTCTTTTTAAAACAGAATCTGACAGGATCTTGTGTTTTTAAGAGGTGTCATTCTTTTTTTTAAGCAAAAACTACAGCTTGGAGTTTTTTAAATACATAGTGAATGTTTTGACCAAATATATATAGTTTTACTTAAAGTATTTTAACGATGAGTTTTCTAAGTGGAAGATCCTAATAGAAATTGGCATGTCCTAGTCAGTGGCATGGACTAATAACTTACCTTGATAACAAATCCCACTGCTGGCTACTAAGAAGCTTTATCGGGTTTAATAGGGAAAAGCCTTGTACTGATACATATTGTTCATATGTTTACATGTAATGTGTACTTGTGTACATAGTGTGTACTCACATGTATTACATGCATATTATATGTGTGGACTGAGTCGCGTGTGTCCTGACTTTAATGATTCAGTGCTCATGTCTGAGGTGTTCCTTTGAGCTCCGAGGTGATGTGCATAAAACTTTTAGTCTGCTCCCAGGTGAACCAGGTTAAATATGAGGGCTCTGGTTTAAAGAAAGGACCAGACTGCATCCTGAGGGCTTCCCTCTGCCCCAGGATTGGTTTCCACAGTCAAGTAGAGAGAAGGAAGTTGGATCGAATGAGGGGAGGGCTCAAGGCTGACCCCTCTTCCAATTACCACAGTTTCTGTCTGTATACAAAGCCTCTGTACACATTACAGGATTCCACTGGGCCCTGTTGGAGGAATGGCTCCCATGGCTTTCTTAATGATCTTTGTGGATATAGCTCTGATATTACACTGTGGGTGTTGAACATGTCAGTCAGGCTGGGTAGGGGTTTCTTACAGAGAAGGGCCTCGTCTAATTTAACAGCTGCTTCACTCCCTCATTGCTTCTCTCTACTGGATCTTAACAGATGTTTGTTGGGTTAAATTACAGATGATAGATGATGAAATGATACATAGTATACATAATTTTGTGGTGTTATTAAAACAGATTTTTGTCTTTTCAGCAAACCATTCCTCAAGCAACTGCAGCAAAATATCCCCGGACCATTCATCCTGAAAGTAGTACCTCAGCTTCCAGATCACTTGGAACCAGATCAGCTCACACCCCGTCTCTCACAAGCGTTCAGTCCATAAAAGTGGTTGACTAAAGTGAATATGTCCATAGTGGAGTCTTTTAATCCCTCTGGTCTTACCAAGGGTTAGAAGTCTTTTGTTTTTAACTTTTTCATATTGTTAGAACATCATGGATACATCACATTCATCTGTTCAAAATTAACAAGAGACTTTTTCAAACTCTACCATGCTTTGTAACTATATGTAGAAATTATTTTAATGTTATTTTTTATTTAAGCAATTAAGTAAAACTTTTTTAAATTTAAAAAAAACTGGACTTTATTTTTTTAATATGTTTAGCCTGTTGCTGATTACATCATCAAAGTATATAAATTTATTTTCACTATTTATAAAACACTAAATTATTTCCAATATTACACAGCTGTAATTCACTCAAAGTGTTGAGAGGGAACTTTACTAAAAACAAAGTATTAGAACTAGTAGAAACTAGGATATTTTTATTTTTATTTTAAAAAGTTAAAGACCAAGTGTAATAATGATTTTTTTTAAAATTTTTTTTTATTTTTTTGAGACAGTCTTGCTCTGTCGCTCAGGTTGGAGTGCAGTGGTGTGACCTCGGCTCACTGCCTCCTCCTCCCATGTTCAAGCGATTCTCCTGCCCCCGCCTCCCGAGTATCTGGAATTCCAAGTGCCAGCCACCAAGCCTGGCTAATTTTTGTATCTTTTTTAGTAGAGACGAGGTTTCATCATGTTGGCCGGGCTGGTCCCGAATTCCTGACCTCAAGTGATCCGCCCGCCTTAGCCTCCCAAAGTGCTGAGATGACAGGCGTGAGCCACCACTCCCGGCCCCAGGTTTTTTGTGGCTTTAGCGTGTTAGTCTTCATTTTTCCAGGACTCTAACAGTTGAAAATAGATGGAAATGGCAACATCTATGCATCATTTTTTAATGCCAAAAGGGAAAACGTTTGTAATACTAGCACTAGAGTTACAGAAGTGTCAGAAATTTCTTGTGAGAATGATCCTGTTTCTGGTTTTCTTTCTCACCTTATTTGAAACTCTGCAGCACAGAACCTACCCTGTTCTCCCTGAACATCTAAACACTGTTCTGTGGTGGTGTGGCCCTGTGCACCTCAGCAAACCTAGGCCTGGGCAGAAATTTTTCAATGGCTGTCCAGTACAAAGAAACCATCTGGGCAGAACTGATTTTGGTGAACAAGACTTGGCTTCTAATGGTTTTATTGCTGGCTGATTGTGTGGACCAGACAATTTAAATGAATCTCTGGATCCTCATCTGTGAAATAAGCGTAAAATCTACCTACTATTTCACAAGTACTTATGGAATACATAAAAATAAACAGGTTTTAAAGAGTCTGTCTAGGACCTCAATTTCCATATCTTTAACTGAGTGGATGGACTTAATCATCTGAAGCCTCTTCTAATTTGAATATAAGTTCTCTTATACTAATTTTTATTATGGGAAATAGGTTTTCTTGCTGCCTCACATTGTTCACAGGACATCAGAGAATAAGTGTGACATAGGCAAACAGAATCCCATTTTCTAATGGGGCCCACTAAGGCCTTTCTGAATTATTATCAGGCTGTTTCTTAAAGGGTATTAGATATTTACACAACACTTGTTCTGGATTCTGGCCCAGCTACCCTTGTGGTAAACAGCTCCACCCCTCATGAGCTTCAGCAAGCTTTTCATGAACATAAACCACCAGCACCTCATCTCGCGCCCTTTGCGTGTGCTTGCTCTTCCTGGGCTTCCCCGTTGACTCCCAGTTGAGTCAGGAGAGTTCAGGCTCCACTGGGGAGCCCACTCATGCAGCACAGAATTAATACTTGGCATTGTGGTAAACAGACCAATTCTCCCTTCCTCCTCCCCTGTATGAATTGTCCTGAGATGCCTTAGTATATTATGTCTCTCGGAATAGAGTAGCCCAAGATTAAATAATCAACTATACTTGTACCGAGTGATGGCCACTTAGGTAATTCACTTTGTTCTCACTCTCCCTCCTTCCCTGGACAACTCACCTTTTTCCTCCACTCCTGCTTCCCCAGATGCACACTTCTGAAAAAGTTGTTGCACACAAACTTCGGTCTTAGACAAGCTCTACTTTTTGAGGATCTAGACTACAACTAGGAATGGTTTTCAGTATCCAAGCCAAAACAGTATGGACAAACTAAAGTGAATATTATGAATGTTGTGATTAAGAATATTATAAACATCTTTTTAAGCTTTAAGCTCTAGAAATGTATGTTGTCTAAAGCACCAAGCAATTAGTGTTGGCCTAAGTTAACGTAAATTCAACAATTAAACACTTTACACGGTTATAGTATGTATTCATATTTGTTTCTTTTTCATAAAGAGGTTACTCCAATCTGGTGGGGAGCAGTGATAAAGAGAGGTCAGTGGAAACTGGCCATACTGAAGAACAGATGGGACAAGACTTCTCAATACGTTTTTGAAAAACGTTTTGGAATCATATGAATCTATTACCTGTTTTAAACATTCGTAAGATTAAGTGGGCCACTTATAATCAGTATGAGACAAAGACATAAAACTATAAATTCATGATAGAATAACTGGATTGAAATTGCTTATGGTTTTATTATGTGCCTTGTAAATTTACAGTCAGAATCCGAGAATGGAGAGTCTTAAATTCCAATGAATAGGTGCACATAAACCGGCACAAATTGATACTCGATTTTACATTTATTTCATAACTCTCAGATTACAAAAATAATGCATGTTCATTGTGAAAAAAATTGAATGTACCCAAAAGTACAAAGAAAATTATCATCAGTAATTACATCACCACAAGATTAAAAAAAAAAAAGTTGGTGTACATGCTTCTGGTCTTTCCCAAGTAATATATTACACATTATGTGTGATTTAAAGTCAACAATGACTATAAATTTCCAAACCCAGTTTCTCTTACTGAAAGAGAAATAACAGTTGATTTCCATACTGTGGGCATGAGGCTAGGCATTTCACAGGCATTTTCCCTTCATCTCTACTCCAACCCTGTGGATTAAATAGACATTTGTCCCAGTTTATAGAGAAGGAAACTGAAGATCTAAGAACTTAAACAACATTAACATGCCCAAAGGTTCACATCTAATAAGTGGCAAAACCAAGTTCAAAACTATATTCGTCTATTGTAAAAACCGTTGGTTTTTTACTGTACCATGATGCTGCTCCCATGAATTTTTAGAAAAAAACATGACATACAAAACCCTCCTAGATTATCTTATTACATGTGTTACATCAAATGACAGAAATGGGAAAATTATATATAACTTGCCCTCAGCGAAAAAACTGTATTTGGCTTTTTAGAGGTTGAAAAGTATCATGGTATTACTCTTCTTTCACCTGTTACAGTACCCTGTCACCACCATCATCATAGTTGAAAATCAGCGCTACTGCTAGGAGAAATTTATGGCATTAAAAGAACTGAATGCTGAGTGGAAGATCATGTAAATACAATTTCTTTGGGCATTTATGAAACTACACATTTCTCGGAGTTTAAGTCAGTTTTGCTTTTGAAATGACGAGTCTTTTCTGGAAAAAAATAAGGTAACATTGATTAATACCTAACATTTTTAAAGCACTTATTGTCTACTAGGCACTATTGTTCATTAAATCCCACAACAGCCCTTTGAAGTAAACATTTTTATTTTCTTTCCTAGTTAATAAATGAGAAGGTTGTCACAGGGAGGTCACAGAACTTGCTCAAGATTTACAAGCAGTCAGCTTTGGAGTTCAAGAGTGAGCTCACACAGCCTTGCGTCAGAATACATACCCTTAGTTCAGTGGACTGCATCTGTGTCTTCTCTGAGAGGTCTTATGGAACCTCTTTCATAGGAAGAATACATTTAACCCTTTTCCCTTTTAGAAAAAAAAAGTGCAGCTCACTGCCAGCGCTTCTTTAATTTTACATAAACACACTCTTTGAGGCTGAAGCAAATCTGACTGATTTTCAATGTGAAAAACAAATACAAAAACTGTTCTTGGAGTTATTTCTAAACAGAACTAACATCAGAATAGTCTGAATCATCCGAATCGTCAATTTCCGAAAAATCGGATTCACTGAATGAATCTTTGGCCAACAATTGTTTGAGAACGACATCAACATCACATGTAGGAATGCTACATTTTCTAGGACTTGACATTTTCAACCATCAAGAATTTCCATATTTTGTAAATGGAAATATCACTACTAAAAACAGAATGCTATAAGTAGAATGATGTATTTTGTTTCCAAAGTCGATATACTAGAGCAATGCAAAAATAATAATAAAAGCAAGATAATTCATGGCAAAGTTTTCTCAGGGTAAATGCTGCAAGCACCGCTGGCGAATATTCTCGGGGCCAATGGGAACAGGGTTAAAGTTGAGGGAACAACTCCAATGTTATGAGATCGTGTGATGGAAGGTAGGTATCCACACACTGTTCCTTGTACCTACTACTGCTGGAAACTATTGGATCAGTCGGTGTTCACTCATTTATCTTCCTGCTCCAGGTAAAACTGCTTCAGTGAAAATAATGGCAGATGTTCCTGTTTTTTGCTTGAATGCTTGTTATTATATGAGAGTTATAACCTCCTAATTTACTGATAAGCTCTTAAAGGATCTTTCCTGACAATATGGTCAGTGATTTTGGCCGAGTGATTTTTAGCAATAACCACAGGTGGCAAAGTAATAGCCTGTCTGCTCTTTTTGTTCCACCTAGAGATAACATTTTCAAATACACTAACCTGCAGTTTCCCCCCGGGGTAAAATGGCATTTTGAGCAAGGCAACTCTTAGTTGTGGAGAACAATCTTGTGACTGTATGGGATGGTTTAGCACTTCTTCCCCGCCCCACCCGCCCCCACCACACATGCATAAACAGAAACACTCCCACACTGTTTCAAATGCCGTAGGGGGATGACACAGAACTGCCCGGCTAACGAGTAACCAGTATTGACTGGGTCATTCCCCAAAGGAGAAGCTGCTGACGGCTTACAAGCCCCTTCCATAGTTCCGTACTCCGTGTGAGCCACAGCTAACACCACCCTGGGACTGCAGCTGGTCAGGATGGTGTTTCTGTAGACTGCTTTCTGACATTTTAAGGGAGAAAGAATTTCTGTTTGTTGAAATCGTCACCTACCAGCTAGTTTTGGGAAACCTGCGTGTACCAGCTCTTCATACAGGTGCTTGGCCGGATCAGCCTGAGTCATCAGGGTCCCATGTAGCCAGATAAGCAGAGCCCTGTGGCCATGTTCACGGAAGCTTTCATTTCCTGTGCCAAGCACAAGAGGTCCGAGGTAAAACACCACGAGCTGCTATCTCTTTCCATTGTGATCTTGGTTCCAACTAAACTTTCTGAATAACTGTGGTCGCACATGTCTGTTCCTCTTCGAAAAAAGCCCTTCCAGTTGCCCTCGCTCTGCTGCTTTATGATGACCAGCGTTTGCATTCCCTCCAACTCTTGGCTCGCACCTACTGTGCTTGGCACACACCCAAAGGAATGTACAAGAGAGAGGACAGCTGTGGTGCCTGCCCAGTGGTAACAATTTTAATGAGATGTGCAACTTCTCATAGACCAATGCTCCTCAAACTCCCAGTGCTTATTTCACCTGGGTATCTTACTAAAATGCACGTTCGGATTCAGTAGGTCTGGGGTAAGAATCCATGCACCTAACAAACTCCCGGGTGCTGCTGCCACTGCTGCTCCATATTCCCCACTCTGAGCAGCAAGCACGCACCATTCATTCTGCCACTCCAGTTTCAAGAAAGCTACTCTGAGGGAAGTTTGCATCCCTGGGCCAGGATTACGCATTTGACAAGTACTCACTGGATATCTCAGCCTGGACAGGTGTTGGGGGAAGTCCTGGGATAGGGAGCCACAAAGCCACTGTGGTTCCCAACAGGACGTCACTACAGGCTCCTTGCTCTGAGAAACAGTGTGCAGGAGCAGACATGCTGTGCAAAGGAAGGGCCTGAGCTCTGCAGGGGTGAGGGAGAAGTTCACTGGACAGACTGTTACAGAGAGGCAGGCTTTTCAGGGAGAGGGAACTGCATGCTTACAGAATGTACTCCTGGACAAGTCCTCTGTTCCTTTCCTAATCTTGCTCTTGACAAACTAATTTGTCTAAAATACCATCATGAGTCTTGTTACTCCTCTGCTCAAAAGCCCACAAACTCCCCATTGCCGATAACCTTACCCTGGATATAAGGGTACATTACAATAGAATGTACCCTGGACATTTACAATATAATTGAATTGTAAATGTCATTGTTATTGTGCCAACTAGATTATAAACTCCATCAAACATGCATGGCTTCGAGAGCTGATGTATCTGTCCCTCATCCAGCAGAGAAACACTCCAGGCCCTCCATAAAGGTTCCATCGAAACACTTTAAAATCTCCCTTGTCCTACTGGCAAGTACTCGGAAGATAACACTGTATTTTCCAGTCATCTCTTTAAGTCAAGATAGAGTTCCAGGAAGCAACTCAATTTTCCTAAAGACTTCACACAACACTATAAGCCTAACTAATGACAAAAAAGAAATCTCAACAATAAAAAAATGTTTCTAGTTAGAAACTAGTATTTAATGTTTTCAATATATTATCATCTATTTTTCACATGAAAATGAATCCTAAGAATGTGCAATACGAAGTCTCATATACTTGTATGTGGCATAAATAGTGTGTGCTCACAGGCTGTGCTTCTGCTATCCCCAGTTCCTAGCAATCCCTGGTACAAATCGACCCCTGAGCAAGGACACCTTCTCGTCTTAGGATGTCCATGAGAGGGCTGTGCTCTGAATAAAACACTTTGCCAAGAAACGTGTTTGCTTCATTGTTTTCAAAGCTAATTAGTTGATGAATGCCAAGTAAACTTTCTATGTTTCCTAGGTTTTTGTCTAACTACAAAAAAGCAAAATTAAGGAATCTAGCTGACCTGACCCCACTAATTCTGACAGTTTGAGTCCGCCTGAAATGATTCCATTGCTTGGAATCATCTAGCCAAGAAAGCCCTCTGAGTCTCTATTCCCCGCGTCTCTCATGGGACAGCCAAGTCTCCCCTAAGGCAGCGTCCTACGAGAACCCTTTCTCCCCCACCCACCTGGTTTAAGGAATTCCTCTTTCTGGAGCGCGGATTTAAACAGTGAGTCTATTGATTACAGAATAAACCCATTCACCCCAGGACAGTCTCAAGGAACATAGAAATCAGACTGGCTTCCCACTGACACACCAACTGTTAAATCCTTGCGTCCTTAAGTGACTGTCCAGTTGGGAACCTTAATTTCTCTCTAAGCTAAATGCCACATGTTTGATATGGCTCAATAAATATAATCATCCCTTGCAAACTTCAGTTTACTGCAGACCATGCGCATTCACTTTCTGCAAATCTTAACACCCAAATCACTGGTATGGATTTAAGCTAGCTGCCCCTATTCCTGGGCCCCTCGAAGACTGCGGCTTATTGTGAGTGCCACGCACTTCCTTGGAAGACCCCACACCAGGAGGCACTGCTGTTCCTAACAGTGACTTCCTCCTGCCCACATCACCTAGTCCGTACTCACCTGACCACTGTGCCTCAATGGCTCTAATCTGGTCATCTGTAAAGTTCCACGAACGGGCCAGCCTCTGCCACTCATTGGCCTTCAGCTGATGGTAAGCCAGGCCCCAGAGGAGCGTGCGAATGTGTCTGGTCTCCAGACTGTGGTCTTGCTTGAATGTCAGAGGAAAGCCTGTTGATGGGTCCCCGACGCTCTCATGATGCTCCTAAAGTGAAAATAATTTATCAGAAGATTTCAGACATGTTCTACTTATTACCTTATTTCAGAGTATATATGTTTTTCATACATAACTAGTAAGGTGGTCACTGAGACTATGTTTTCAATGCCATCTGTCACTGGATCATTTTTTTTTTTTTTTTTTTTGACATCCAAAATGGAAACAAATGCTTGAAATTAAAAGCTTGGGTACCGTCTGTCTGACACAGGAAATGTGAGGGATTTTGCCTATTGTGTCCCGTGCTGCTTAGAACAGAGAATGAGAACAGAGAGGCTGTCTTGGGAAAGGATGTGTCACGACAACAAAACCATCTTTAATGGCCTTTGTTTGAACCCACACCCCCTTTTCTTCTTTTGGGTATTTGATGTTCTCATATCGAAGCTTCGGTGAGCCCAGATTGGCTGTATCCTTAATAAGACCCCATAGATGGTCCCTCATTCATCCTGCTCTCTGGTGAGCATGAGGAGAGCAAACTAGGAGCCTAGCTCAGGGTGGGGCTTGGGGAAGAGGTGACCCAGGGGGTGGAGAGGACAGGAGTGGACGTCATTTAAAGTCACTGCAGCCAGACTCAGCCCAACAGCGCTATGCCTAGATTGGCAAGGTTCCTTTTGTCCCTTCAGCAGAATCCACCAGAGTCCTGCAGAATCAAACCACGAACACTGGAGAAAATCACTAAGTGAAAGCAGGCATCGCCGCTTCCTAGAACTGCATGTTTTGCTTATGCCAGTAGGTCTCCAGGTTATCCTCCTGCAGAAGGTTGCAGATCAGTTAAGGACGCACAGGACACGCGGCCCACCAAGAAGTCTGGGACTTCCTACTTACCTCTCCTTTTTCATGTATAGTGACTTCTATTTTTGTCTTTCACTTAAATAGAGGTGTATCTTAATGAAAATGTTCTTAACAACAAGATGGGAATCAAGGCTGGGGCAGGAAATGAACCAAAAGTGTCTAGGACCCTGGGTTTCAACACTGATGAGAAGAACTTGATGGGCCCCCACCATGGATCCTTCACAGCATCAGCAACCTCCTCCAGGAAGCTCGACAAGGGAAGCGCAATAAGCTCCTCCTGGGAAGCTTGGCCAAGAAGGGCAAAACCTTCCTCTAGTATCTGAACTTTGTGTACAGAAGTTGGAAGAGGAATGGGAGGTGTGAACTACCCATAATTGTTTTAGAGACTGTAAAAAGCAGGGTCTTCTCCAACCCAACCTCAGCTTTACTTCCACAGTGGCTAGCTCCCAGGAATTCCAAAAGAAGTAAGGTTGAGGATAGGGAGATCCAACAAACTTGGGAGCTGCAGGCCACTTCACTTTGTCCTTCTCTCCTCATTCCATCTCCTGAAACAATGATGAATCCAACAAGAACAAAAGCCTAAACGTCACAAGGGAAAGGGAAGAACACAAAATGCTTCTGCATTTATCTTTGCGCGATAACATTTTTAGTTCTTCAAGAAACTTACATGGTTTGTGCATTTCAGGATTGGATTGTGTGGTCCCTTAGGCTTCCACTGAAAAGGGCAGGAGATTTGGAAAGTCTAGGTCTTTTTCAGCAGCCAATGAAGCATTAAATAGCTTGCCTGCCAAAGCACTGAACTATTTGCAGGAATAACATGAGCCAGAACTGGTGGAAATTAAAATAACATAAGTCAGGTTTTAGGAAGCTCCCATTTGCCTCTGAACCACTGAATTCAATGATGGATGATTGGGTGGTTAGGTTAAAGGATAAATGAATATAAGAGAGGAATTTAAATCATATCTTTAATCCTTTTACTAGGAACCATTTTATATTAGGCAAGGATATAAACTTGTTCAATGAACAAAGATAATTTAAAATAATAAATGCATTTGGTTAAAAAAATGTTTAAAGATACATCTTAAAAAACAAGTATTTCTCCCACTCCAAACCCCAGGATCCCAATTGTCACCAGAGTTAACAACTCTTACCATTTCTGGGGGTCTCCTTTAGCTATACTCATGTATTATATATGGTTTTCAAAGTATACCTACCTCTTATGTCTTAAAGATTCATTAGGAAAGAGGGCGTATTCATTTGGTGGGAAAGTAATTTATTCTTATCTACCCAAAATAATTTTTAAAAAGCTATCAGGAATTAAAAATAGAACCAATGAATATTTCTATTTCCAAAGAAAATGTGAAAGCAAGTTAAAGAGAAAGAGAAAAGATGAAACTTGGTAAAGCTGTCTTCAATAAAATACAATGGTAATTTAAGAAATTGAGCCTGAGGATATAGGAAAAGAGGAAGAGGTAAAGGGAGGAGATGGAAGAACGTAGAATATGATGAATGGGAGAGAAGAAACAGAGAGTTCCAATTGTTAAAATTTAAAAAAAAAAGTTTTACAAGCAAAGCACCTTTTGTTTTGTTTTGTTTTACAGGCAAGAAAAGTTGCAAGGAGGATGGTGTGACCTTTAAAAGAATCCATATATATCAAGACTACCAAGCTAATTAAACAGGACTGTGAGAGAGAAGGAGATGAGTAAATGCTTTTTGCTTTAAGGATTTAAGGGAAATTTCCCAGGACTGGCCAGGTGGACAGCAATCCACATTCGTAGAAATTCAGGATGGGCCTCAAGTGATTAGGGCCTGAATTCTGGAGCTAACACATTGGGCCAGGGGTAGCCATGCAGCCTAGAATGGAAACAACACATCACTAGAATGGAAACCACACATCACTGTAAGTCAAGAATGGTGCCTGGCAGTGCCATTCTTGCCTGAGGGCATAGAGTTGAATCTTGCAGGGGAGGGCAGTCTATTGAGAAGCTGCATGGGTAGCAGATATCAGAGGAAATAAAAATAAAAGAACAGCAAAAAGAATGACTTACAGACAAGTTTTTTTGCGTTCTTAGATGAATAAGGTTTTCGTGACTCTCACAGAATACTTGAGTACCCGAAAGCACGCACAGGGGTGTGTTGAAAACTGCCGAGCCACAGAAAGGAGTTTTTTAAACCACTCATTCGTGCTTCTGGGAATAGCTCATGGCCAGACTGTGTGGACAGAGGGCACAACCAGGGCGTCACCCATCGGGGCTCACACGCTAGGTCCATTAGAGCCAGCCTGGACAATGCCCCTTGGCCCTAGTGAACTCTACGCACTCAGTTCTGACGTCTGATGTCAGCAAAGGAAGAGGCAGATGTTCATTCCGTGAATGGGGCAGAACAAGACAGAAGGGAGAGTTATAATTGTACTGACCAGGACCCTGCTCATTAGAGCAAAGAACGGCACAGACCCTGCACTGCCCCTCAAGAAGAAGGGTGTTGCCAGGAGAGCCCCTGCTGTGCTGGGATCGGCCTTCCTTACCTCTCTCCAGGCGTAGTATCTCTCTGCTTTAATGAGCATGTCCACCACAAGGCTATGGTTGCTCCTGGAGGCCACAGCCAGGGCAGTCTTTCCTTGCTAAAATTAAAAAAGAAAAAAAATTCAGGTGGTATGTCCTAGTGATTAGGAGCTCTAGTTTTGGAACAAAGGGGCCTGGGTTCAAATCTTGATTCTACCAGCCCATGCTGGGTAAATTTAGGCCAGTCCTTTGCTTCTTTGGGTCTTTATAACTACCCCATAGTGGAGTGGTCAGGGGTAAATGTGATAATGCATATAAAGCCTTTAGAACATGTGCTACCCTGAACATTTCCTAGCCTCGTTTGCAGTTAGATATGTGACCTAAGTTCTGGCCAACAGTCTTTAGATAGAAGTGGGACATGCAATTTTTGGGAAGTATCTTTAAACAGAAGAGGGATGAATGGCATTTTCCTTCTCTTCTCCCTCCTGAGTGGAATGCTGACATGATGGCAGGAGCCTGAACAGCCACTTTAGACCAGGAAGTAGAAGTCACGTTTTGAGGAGCATTCAGTAATAAGACAGAAAATGGCTGGATCTTATTAAGAATAATATCAATAATGGCAATGCTGGTAATTCATAGGTCAATGGACCCCTATCTAAAATTTTTTCTATTACATCATACTGCCTCCAACCAAACGTGAGAGGTTTGAATCTTAAAAATGGAATGATCAACAAGCGCTGTTCTGGACATAATTTTGAGAATGAACTGCCTGGAGCCCACATGGTATTTTCGACAAATTGCAAAAAGGTACACTTTTCTCAAGATGGACAGAGCTCAAAGCCAGGGCATAGAGATTTGCAAGCAGAATCCTCTGGATTTCATAGAGTGCACTACTTCTACATCTAAACATTTTACCCTGAGCAAAGGATGCTCATTCTCATTTGCTTTTCAAATGCCCTATGAAGAATTTGCTCAGAAAACAATGAAAATTAATAGTCAGAAAAGACCCAAGAAGAAGTTCCAATCTCAGGAACCCTTATGGATCCAGAAATATATCCCAAGTATTATCTTACATGGTTAGATGTTCGCAACGAGTGCAATTCCCACCAATATAAATGATTTGGTTCATAGTCTAGGCGCTAAGACCCAGGCGAGCAGGAAAATTAGGGCTGAAAGTAATCAGCCTCTAATCAAAAGAGAAAGTAATGAAATTAGGAAGAACTGCATTTTGCAGGCATTTAGCAAGCCTCTAATTGTATGCTGTCTACATTCTGGCTTGTAAAGCCATTTGAATCACCATAATTAGCCTGCTTTGAGAAGGCAGCATTCTGAGAGCCAGAGTTTCCAAGTTCATAGGAAAATTTTCCTAGGGAATATACGCTGGAGTGAAAATCCAAACACTTCTGCCCTTAGGGGTTGGGAGGTAGCATGGATAGAAGGTTCTCTGAGAGCTTTTTGACACCTCAGGCCAAGAGGACAAGCAGAGAACAAGCTGCTGGGAAAGTCAAATTTATACCAAACTTTGGTTCCTTATTTCCTAACCAGACCCTAACATGGTCCTAGAAACACTTTTCTTTGGCAAAAATGAAAATAAAAATAAATTGTGGGAGCCAATAGAAAAGATATTTTTTTATTCATTAATTAACTACGTATTGGGTGCCAACTATGTGCCAGACCTTGAAAAGAAAGGAGAAGAAGGGAAATCTGAGAAAATCAAATTATGAGGCCCAGTAAACTGTGAGTTCTTGTTTTGAAAACAAAGTCAAATGGTAGCATTGACTGTTTACTGGAATATCTCGTCCACTAAGCACCAGGGACCCCAACGTAAATCCCTGCCCAATGGTATAGATTTTGTACCCACAGAATGGCTTTGGGTGTATTAAGTATTAATGAAAAACTAAAATAAATTACAAAACAACAGCATTAGAAAATATTACTGCTAAATGTTAAACCAAGTTAACCAGGTACAACTGGTGAAAGTGGTGGAATTCCACACAAGTGATAACATTATGGGTTTGTGTTTTCCTTCCTTAAGCTTTTCTATGTGTTCTAATTGTCCACAGTGGGCTTGTGTTACTTTTTTTTTTTTGAGGCGGAGTTTTGCTCTTTTGCCCAGACTGGAGGGCATTGGCATGATCTCGGCTCACTGCAACCTCTGCCTTCCGGTTTCAGGTGATTCTTCTGTCTCAGCCCCCCGTGTAGCTGTGATTACAGGCGCCCAACACCATGCCTGGCTGATTTTTGTATTTTTAGTAGAGATGCGATTTCACCATGTTGGTCAGACCAGTCTCAAACTCCTGACCTCGTGACGTGCCCGCCTTGGCCTCCCAAACTGCTGGGATTACAGGAGTGAGCCACTGCGCCCAGCCGGCCTGTGTTACTTTTATGATCAGAAAAAAAAAAAAATCTAATTTTAGAAACTGACACACAGAGAAAAGTAATATAACATATAACTACTTTAGATCTTACACATGTAAAATGGATGATTCTGAACTAGAGTAGGGTGGATTCAGGCTTGCACTGTGAATTAGGGAGGTGCTGGCTATTGAACTATGTGGGTAAAAATGAGGAAGGGAAAACTGCAAGTTTCGGAAGCAGTCATCTTTGCTGACAGTTGTAGCAAAGCACCAGATGGCAGAGCAGCTACTACTTGGGTTTGAAGCCAGCTCTGCCTCTTACTATGTGTTGACCCAATGCCATCAGAATCTCTCCAATCTACTCTTGAAAACTGGAGTAATTTTGTCCACCTCACTGAGATGTGAGGATTGGAGTAATATGGCATGCTTGAGTACCTGACACGGCTGTATCCAGGGGCCTCCTGTATAACTTTCAGTAAAGCTGAAACCTAACACAGCTCTCTGACAACCCTCCGGAGGCTTAGCCTGCACTGTTGCACCACTTGAAAGAAACAAAATTGTCCTTCTTTAAAAACAAGTGTACACAATAGCCAAAAGGTGGACACAACCCAAATGTCCATCAATGGATGAATGAATAAACAAAATGTGGTAGAGACATACAACGAAATGTTACTTAGCCTTAAAAAGAAATGAAATTCTAATACATGCTACAACATAGATAAACCTTGAAGACGTTACACTAAGTCAACTAAGCCAATCACAAAAAGGCAAATACCATGTGATTCCACTCATATGAGATGCTTAGAGTGGTCAAATTCATAGAAACAGAAAGCAGAATGCTGGTTCCCAGGGGCTGGGAGAAGGAAGAAATGGCGAGTTATTGAACAAGTATAAAGTTTCACTTTTGCAAGATGAAAAGTTTTGGAGCCCAGTTGCATAACAATGTGAACATACTTAACCATACTGAACTATATACTTAAAAATGGTTAAGACAGTGTTTATGTATGTGTATTTTACCACAAAATCTTAATTAAAAAAAAAATTTAGACATATGTAAAGTCTTTCATTGCAACTCTGTTTATAAGAGCAAAACCTTAGGAACAACTTAAATGTCAGTCAGTTGAGGACTAGTTGAACAAGTTGTGATATGTCTGTACCATGCTATACAATGCAGCTCAAAAAAAAAAAAAAATGAAGGAACTCTCCATGTACTAATATGCAAATATCTCCACTTAATAATGCTAAAAAAGCTAAATGCAGAACAGTATACTAGTTATAGGTAAGCCATCAGTGTCTAAAAAGGATGGAGGAAGGGAATAAGAGTACAATGTGTTTATGTTTGCTTGCATGTGCGTAAAAAACTCTGGAAGGAACAGAAATAATTTATAATAATGGATACATATAGGCAGGGTGGTATGGTAACCAGACAAGTAGGAACAGGGGTGGGTGGGAAATTTTTACTGTTAAACCCTTACTAGTTATATTCTTTTATTTTTGGACCATATGAATCTATAATCTTTTCAAAAATTTAATAAAGAATTTGAATTTAAAAACACACATTTGTCATTCAAAGTAAAAATTCTTACTGACATAGCTCAACCAAAACTGGGATATTTTACTGACTATGAAGATACACGGTTTCTCCAGTTTGTGCCCATTTCACAAAAGATATTCCAATGCCTCTGCTCAAGGCTGAGAGCCAACAGGAAGGTCTTAGCAACCATCTCAGCTGAATGGATTAAGTCCATGCACTTACCTTGTCAACAGCCTTCAAGTCACAGCCTGCCTTCAGCAGGGTTTCCACCAGTTCCACATTTCCACAATCAGCAGCTACATGCAGAGGGGTTTGTTGCTTCTGCCATGAAATTAAGGAGGGGAACAAACTTGGACAGTGAAAAGACAAACGGAAAGTATAGCCATCCTGTTTAGGCTCAAGGGAAAACACAGGTCGTACATTCTTTAATGGATACTGGGGCATTCATTGCAGTATTATTTTCAATAGTGAAAAACTGAAAGGAAATTACATGTTTCACAAGGAGACTCACTAGATAAATTATGATACATCTGTATATTGGAATAATAGGCAACCATTAAAAAGTACTTTTTAAAAAATGATTTCAATATTAGGTACCTAAAGTAGTCAAATGTATAGAGACAGAAAGTAGAATGGTGGTTCCCAGGAGCTGGATGAGGAGGGAAGTCACTGTTTAATAGATATAAAATTTCAGTTTGAGAAGATGAAAAATGTTCTCGAGATGGATGGTGGTGATATTATACCAAATGAATGTAATTAATGCTGCTGAACTGTACACTTAAGACGGTTAAAATGGTGGATTTTGTTATGCGTATTTTACTACAATAAAAATGATTTCAAAGATTTTTTGAAAATAAAAAATGCTTTTGATATAATGTTTGAAACTTCAGGAAATGATACTATCTAGTTGAGCTTGATTTAATTAAAACTACATATAGAGAAAGAGAAGAAAATATAGTACAGAAAAATGCTAATGCTAAGGTCTAGATAAAGGGATTAGAGTTTATTTTATTGCCTTCCGAATGCATTTCTCTGTTCTCTAAATTTTCTACATTATAATGTATAAAGGAGTTCAAGACTTCTAATTTCCTTCTGGAGTAATCATTTTCCTATTAAGATGATAAGAGTTTCAAAAGAAATATCCGAAATCCCAAGAAAATCACCCATCTTAACCTCTCACCAAAAGGAATGCAGTTGTGAAGAGATTTCTAAAATATTAGGACAGAGAGGAGCCTTAGATGTGATCAGCCCAACTCCTTAACCAGAAAAGGGAAGCAGCTTCCCAGGGTCACAGAGCTGGGCAATAGCACGTGGCCCACTACTCCTCCCACCAGAGCACAGGGCCAGTATGCTGGGGATATTACCAAAAAACATTTATTTATTTATATTTTTATTTTTTTCTGAGAGACAGTTGCTTACTCTGTCATTTAGACTGGAGTACAGTAGCATGATAGTAGCTCACTGTGACCTGGAACTCCTGGGCTCAAGCAATCCTCCCTTCTCAGTTTCCTGAGTAGTTGAGACTACAGGCCTACAGGCTCTACTAATTTTTTTTTTTTTTTTTTTTTTTTTGTAGAGATGAGGTCTCACTATGTTGCCCAGGTTGGTTTCAAACCTGGCCTCAGGTGATCCTCCTATCTTGGCCATCCAAAGTGTTGGGATTACAGGTGTGACCCAAAACACCTGGCCTCCAAAAAGCCTTTTTTTTTTTTCTTCTTGAGATGGAGTCTCACTCTGTCGCCCAGGCTGGAGTGCAGTGGTGCGATCTCAGCTCACTGCAACCTCCACCTCCTGGGTTCAAGCGATTCTTCTGCCTCAGTCTCCCAAGTAGCTGGGATTACAGGCACCCAACTAATTTTTTGTATTTTTAGTAGAGACAGGGTTTCACTATGTTGGCCGGGCTTGTCTCAAACTCCTGACCTCGTGATCCACCCGCCTCAGCCTCCCGAAGTGCTGGGATTACAGGCATGAGCCACCGCAGCTGACCCCAAAAAGCATTTCTTAAAGACTCACCTTCAAATGTCAGTGTGTCTAGGTGTTTGTCATTGAAGACATTACACTTATACTGACATGCCTACCAAAGATCTGTGCTGACATGGAACAAAGGTGAAAATGGAATGTATCAAATCCAAAAGTCTGGAAGGCAGGAAATGCACTAAAACATTAACAAGAGTTATCTTTCTTTGCTGGGTACTTCAAACACATTAAGTCTTTTTAGCTTTTTAAAAAATTTTACATACATATTTTACATTTAAAATATAAAATTTCCTATTTTTTATGCGTGCTCTTGGTCTAATAAAAAATTAAAGTGATGAAGTCTGGTTCTGTAAAAGGATAGCAAGCCTAACAAACACTCCTTCTTCCCTAGAGTACATCTAGCCAGTTCTGTCAAAACCAGTATCACATGTGAGCACAAGGCTCTGTGTATTTAGCAAAGATTTTGCCCATTGGGAAAGATTTTAGATATTAACATAGTTGAATACATAAGCATATTTAATAACAAGAGGAGATTGTTTTTTTCCCCAAAAAAACTTTTGGGATAGGTAAAGGCAAAGGAGGAGGCTAGGTTCCCTGGAGGAGAGAAGGGACAGAAGTACAGGTAAATCTTCATTCAGCTCAGAGCAAAATTTAGCTCATAGGTGGGAATGGGAGGAGACTGCAGAGATCGGAGTCAATGCTCTGGTTTCACAGCGCATTAGGCCAGGCAGGCATGCCCACTGCACCGTGGCTCCTCCCTACGCCGGAGGGGCGCCGCACAGGCTTCTCTGGGAAGAGGCAGCCGGAAGGTCTCATCTGGCCTCAGGACCCTGGAAAGGCTCCTCTTCCACTCCCCTACATATCCTGGAAGAGGGCAGGCCAGCCCCAGAAGAGCCCCAGAGAGCAGGCTCATCAGTGCCCACCCCCATTCTCTTCATCATTCCGCTGCGGCATTCCCATTTCCAGCCAGTGATGGATTGCTTTAATGAGTCATTTGATTCTGCTTCAGTTGACTGAACTTGGGGTGATTTTTCTTTTATTCCAAGAGGTCTCTTTTGCCTTTAGGCAAAGAGAAGACACATTTACTGTCTTTAATATAGAAACAAAGCTTCCTTCTTGTGGGGGAAAGGCTCCCTGCCAATTACAATATTTCACTCTGGGGGAGTGGCTTTTGATTTAAAGAGCCTCTGGCCATTTAGCTCTGAGCTACTGTTTTTCTATCAAAAGTGCTGGGCCTGTTAAACATGTAAGATTTAATCATGCACTGGCTGAACTCCAGTTGTGTGGCTGAGAAAGACAAAAGTATGTGTGTGGTCATGGGGATGGAGTAAGAGTTACACAAGGAAAAGGATAAAACGGATGCACATGTTCCTCCCAGGAATTTTTAGGTACCTCGAACTTGATCAAAACTCCCCCTAAACACCCACTGTGTTGAAATATAAGAAAAGAGACCCTCCAGGCTCTGATTTTCTTGGCTTACCTGATTTAATATGTTAATATCATGCTGTGCACTTAATAAGCTGTTTACAACCGTGATGTGGTTGTTGATAACAGCTAAATGAAGAGGAGACTCCTTAGGCTGCAGAGATAAATAAAAATTTCAAATCCAAAAGGTTCTGGTTTCATCATTCAAATCAAAAAGCAACTCATTTCAGCAGCTATTTCCTGATGATCTCCCAAGTACTTAAACTACCCATCCCAGTGGTGACCCTTAGTAAGTATTCAGCATTTGTGGTCATCCCAAGGCTTTGAAGCAAACTCGCTCCCCGGCAATCAGCTCACCCCCTTTGTTCTTTCTGGAGCAACATACTAAGCACCTACGATGGGCCAAGCTCTTTTCAGGTTTCCAGGGATTTAGCATGAACAAAGCTCATTCTCAGGAATCTTTCAATCTAGTGGGGTAAGCAAATATTACCTTTTTTTAAGTCACACAAATACGGTATACAATTAAGTGCTTTAGAAGTAGAAGAGCCAGTGTGGGGATAGGGGGAAGGCTGACCTTTCGGGAGGCCAGAAAAGACTTTTCTGAAGAACTGACATTTAAGCTCAAATGTGAAGGAGAAGTGAGAGTTAAATAGGCCAAACCACAGGACTTCTCAGAGCCTTCAAAGAGCTAAAGGGCAGTGAGAGTAGCCACAAGGGCAAAATCATTGCACAGTTGGCATTTCCTGAATTGATTTGTTCTGGAGCCCTGACTCCTTAGTGTGTCCTATAGGACTGGAGTCCCCCTTACTCAGGGGCACCATCCTCGTGCTCAGCTCTCCCCGCATAGAGTCCAGCCACAGGATGTTCACCAAGCCCTCTGCAGCATACTCTCCTGTTCTCCTTTGTGGCTAAAACACCTACACCTGTCTTCCCAGCCACAGCCCTTCATGGAGCCCCCACCCCCTCTCACCCACCCCCATCACTGGCTTCTTACCCGGCCCTGCTAGGTCGCAGTGCCTATGTCTACCCCCAACACTTTGCCTCCAGGCTCCCATGCTGCTGCAGTCCCACCAGCTGCCACTGGCCTGTGCAGACATGAGAGGAGACATGCCTCCAGGAGTAGAGTCAGCTGAGAGTGGGGAAAAGGGAGGGAAGAAGCAATGAAGGGAAGTGAGGGCAGAAGCAATTAAGGCATGAGAGAGAGGGAAGTGAGCGGCATCCAGCATGATGAGGGAGGGAGGACACCAGGGGGAGGTGGACAGGGGTGTGACAGCAAGGGCTGAAGATCCAGTGACACCGTGCAGATCAGGAGCCGAGCTGAGTGTGGAGCGAGTGGCGAGAGAGAACAAGCGCCTACGAGGGTGAGTGATTAGGGCAAGTGCAGCGTGGCTCAAGTGGAACAGCTGATATTCATGATATGCATCAGACACACTCAGCACATTCTCATCATGGTGCTTATTACACGCTCAATTCCCCAACTGTTTCTTTTATTTTTTTTTAAAGATGGGGTCTCACTCTGTTGCCCAGGCTAGAGGGCAATGGAGCCATTGTCATTCGCTGTAACCTGAAACTCCTGGGTTCAAGCAAACCTCCCACCTCAGCCTCCCGAGTAGCAGGGTCTACAGGCATGCACCACTGTGCCTGGCTAATTTTTAAATTTTTGTAGAGATGGGTCTTGCCATGTTGCCCAGGCTGCCCTAACAGTTTATACTCTGTTTTAAACACCACGCTGACAGTTTTTAAGAGATCACATCAATAACCCTAGACATTCAATCTCATATTCCCCACTTTATACATGAGACACAAAGAGGATCAGTAACTTCCACAAGGCATGCAGCAAGGAAGTGGCAGAAACAGGACTTGAACCCAGACCTTTCTGACTCTACCATCTGCACCAGGCTCTGTCTCAGGAGATGGGGGTAGATGGATGGAAGAGAGACCATAGTGAGTTGGCAAGAGTGTCACCAGCAGATGGAGGGAGGGGAGATGAGGGGACAGGTAGAAGACCACAGCTGAGGAAGTCAGAGACTGTCAGAGGCCAGCAAGGGTCAAAGCAGACAGATGGTGTGAGCAGGGCTGTGGGGGCAGCGTGAAGGGAAGAATTTCTGTGTAGGTTTCTTCTGCCCAGGAATAACCTCCTTGAGGCACTAAGCCTGAAAAACGAGAAAGCATCCCACCTTGCAAAGAAGTGGGCATTGTCCTTCTTGCTGGGCCCACCCGCCTTGCTGGGCCCAGCTCCTCCTGAGAAACAGGAAGTGTCCTTGGACTGAACCAGGTAAGTTCAGAGCCAATTCCCCCAATACCATGCTCCAAAAGCTATCTGACATGGTTTAAATCACATCCCTCCTCTTGAGTTAATACAATAAATAGTAATGGCTCAGCAAGATCAGAGGAAATCATATTCTCAACAGAGAAATGAAAATAGAGTGGAAAAATAGAGGCATGTTTCTTGTTTAATTCCAGCACAGAGGGCCTTTGTTAATTCTGCCAAAGCTAATTCCAACATCAGAAAACCTAAATCAGTATAAAGAATTGACTTTCAAAAGAAAAACAAGGACATTCAGTGAAGGGAGAAAAATTATCACTCTTCTTGATATGCACAGCTGCTTCATTATTTTCCCAGACTGATAAAATTAATACAAGAGTAATGGCATCTCTAGACATATGAGAAAGCTTTTTTGCAGCAAATACAAATATTTAAAACACAAAGATTTCATTTTGTTCAGGAACTTCAATGACTTTCTAAAATTCATCCCTTGGATTTTATTTCTCAAGATTAAGACTCAGCCTCCAAAAGAAGTCAGCCAGCCTTCCCAGAAATAATTCCTCCCTTGTGAAACATCTCATCTCCTACATGTATCTGCAAGGGGCATCTCCTTAGCACGGCCAACCTCATGGCGCCAGGACCAAAGCCCATGTCATTGGAATAAACTCACTTCCACTTTCTGGTGTAGATCAACGTTCTCACTGAGAAGAAAGTTGACAAGTGATGCATGGCCATTCCTGGTTGCTATCTGCAAACTACTGATATTGAGCTGTAAGAGACAATGGAGAGGGCAGGGAGGAACTCCCATTATAATTCAGCATGCTTTCTGGTGTTTATCACATGGTAATCAGTTAATACAATGAAATAGTACAACTACAGTCGTGCATCACATAACAGTGATTTGGTCAATGACAGACGTGCAGTGGTCCCATAAGATTACAATGGAGCTGAAAAATTCCTATGGCACAAGTACTTAACTACATTACTATGTTACTATGCTGTACAGGTTTGTAGCCTACAAGCAATAGATATACCATATAGTGTGTTGTAGGCTGTACCATGTAGGTTTATGTAGGTACACTCTATTTATGTTTACACAGTGAAATCAGGCATTCCTCATAACATATCCCTGTCATTCAGAGATGCATCGCTGTATTTTAAAAAGAAAATCTGGTTGGGCACAGTGGCTCATGCCTGTAATTCTAGCATTTTGGAAGGCCAAGGCAGGTAGATCACTTGAGCCCAGGAGTTTGAGATCAGCCCTGGCAACATGGTGAAACCTTGTCTCTACAAAAATTAGCTGGGCTTGGTGGTGTGTCCCTGTGGTCCCAGGTACTCAGGAGGCTGAGACTGAGGTGGGAGGATGGTTTGAGCCTGGGAGGCAAAGATTGCAGTGAGCCGAGATCATGCCACTGCACTCCAGCCTGGGCAACAGAGTGAGACCCAGTCTCTAAATAAATAAAAAGAAAATCCATTGTGTTTTTAATTACTGGGTTGAGGGGGAGCTAGTATTAGGTCAGTACAAAAGCAATTGTGGTTTTTACCTAATTGTCTGTTTTTTTCTAAGTGTCTCCCATAGAAGTGTCAGAGCCCCAGGGAACATGTGTGCAATAGACCGAATGTTTGTGTCCCTCCCAAAAGTCCTATGTTGAAATTCTAATGTCAACGTGATGATGATAGGAGGTGGGGCCTTTCGGAGGTTATTAGGTAATTCATTGTTGACTGATTAATTGTAAGATTGCTACAAAGTATTTGCAGGTCTTTCAAATAAGGATGCTGTTGGAAATTACTTTCCCAAAATTGCTGCATCAGTATCTCCTGTCCCACAGGCTCCTCTGCAATATGACCTTGCCACTCCCCTCATCAAGAGGCAGGGTTTATTTCTCCACCTCCTTGAATCTGGGTCGACCCTGTAACTGCTTTGACTAATAGAATATGGCAGAAGTTCCAGCGTGCCAGTTCCAGGCATGGCCCCTAACTAGCCTGGCAGCTGCTGCTCTCTGCCTTTTATAATGCCTGCTCTTGTAATCCTTCCTCTTAGAGGCCAGTTCCCAGGCTGTAGGTTGAGGCCCATGGTGAGGCCCATGGTGAGGCCCAGGTGAGCTCCCAGCTGACAGCCAGCATTAACTGCCAGGCATGTGAGTGCATTCTCTTGGATATCAAGCTCAGGTAAGCCTTCAAAATCCTGGCCGACTTCCAGCTGGAATCACATGATAAACTCAAAGTAAGAATCCTCTCAGCTGAGCCCAGTCAACTCACAGAGCCGTGAAAATAATAATAGATTGGTGTTTTAAGCCACTGAGCTTTGGGTTGGATTGTCAGGAAAAAATAGATAATGAAACAGATGCCAACAGCAATGACCTGTGTATCTCTGACCAACTGAAATCTAGCTTGCATGATACTAAAGGCCTATATGACCTTGGATAAGTGGCCTATCAAGTATGGGCCTCCTTGTCTTCATCTGCAAAACTGGCCCCATAATAGTTTTCTATTGCTGTTATAAGACACTGCCACAAAATTAGTGGCTTAATAAAATGTATTATTTTATAGTTCTGGAGGTCAGAAGTCTGAAATGGATCCCACTGGGCTAACCGAAAAAAAAAAAATGTTCACAGATCTATGTTCCCTTCTGGAGGCTCTCAGGAGAATCCACTTCCTTGTCTCTTCCAGGTTTTAGAAGCCTCCTATGTTCTTTGGCTCACACTCCCTTGCTCCATTGTCAAAACCAGCAATAGTTAGCTGAGTCCTTCTCACACTGCATCACTGACATCCTCTTCTGCCTCCCTCTTCCACTTTAAAGGACTCTTCATGATTACATTGGGCCCACCTAGTAATCCAGGAGAATCTCATTTTAAGATCAGCTAATTAGCAACCTTAATTCCATCTGCAATTTAAATTCTCCTTTGCCACGTAACGTAACATATTCATAGGTTCCGGGAATTGGGATGTGAACATCTCTGGGGTGGGGAGCCTGATTCTGCCTACCACATCATCCTACCTCTTTCTCTGAAATCACAGTACTACTGGGAGGATACACGAGCCAGTAAATGTGTATGGTAACCGTAACTATTATTTTATCCATTCCACAAAAATAAAAAAAACACATTGAGCACTTATTCTGTGCCAGGCACTATTTTAGATAGTGGAGGGATATGTTGGTAAACAAAACTGACAAGATCTCGGACATTACATTTCAGTGGCGGTGGACAATCAATTGATCCATTGATTGGTAGACTGGTAGATCAGCAAATCAGTGGACTTAAATCTGCTTATTAGATTATAGATGTTGTTAGAAGAATAACATCAGCTAGTTGTAAGTTCTATAACAAGACATAAAATAGCATGACTGGTTGGCTACTTTCTCATGGCTGATCAACAAAGCCTTCTTGGATAAGGTGACAGTTAAACTGAGATCAGAATGGTCAGCAGTGCCCTCACTGGGAAGATCAGAAGGCACCTAAAGCAGAAACGAATTTCCGAGAAACTCAAAGCAGGAACCCTGTAGTAGGAAGAGCTGCGGGAGTCCACAGCATTTACTTCTAGGCATCATGGGCTCTGTGTATAGGGCCTACGGACTTTTTATGAGCCAAAGAAACCGTTAAAATGTAAAAAAGAAAAAAATTATTGGTTCCACGATACCAAAAGAAAACCACAAAATTGAAGTGAATATTTAATTGACATTCATACTTCATTGATTGTTAAATGTAATGTTCATAAAATATTCATTATATTTATAAACAATTTGCAGGTTGCATTTTTTCACCTCCCTCAAATTCCCAATTATGCACACAGAGTTCTAAGAAATCAGAGACAATCATAAATTAGGTGAGTCTGTCATAGCCAAATAATTGCAAAAAGCAAAAACAAAAAAGCCTTTTAGAGCAATTAACAGAAAAAAAAAAAAAAAAAGTAAAGAGGAATGTGGGAGCACTTAAATATGTATGATAAAATGTGAGGTAGGACCTCCAGGAATATGAGTTCTTAGGACCTACAAAAGCCTTTTTTGGACCCAGGCAGTTAACAGGGCGCTAAAGAGAGCCTGTAGCCCTAACTCTGGGCAGTTCCTCCACCCAACATAAACGGAGGAAACCAGCTGTCAACTACATTCATAATCTCATTCCAACATCCTCCTTAGAAACGACTTGACCAGGGCCGGGCGCGGTGCCTCAAGCCTGTAATCCCAGCACTTTGGGAGGCCGAGACGGGGGGATCACGAGGTCAGGAGATCGAGACCATCCTGGCTAACACGGTGAAACCCCGTCTCTACTAAAAAATACAAAAAACTAGCCGGGCGAGGTGGCGGGCGCCTGTAGTCCCAGCTACTCGGGAGGCTGAGGCAGGAGAATGGCGTGAACCCGGGAGGCGGAGCTTGCAGTGAGCTGAGATCCGGCCACTGCACTCCAGCCTGGGCGACAGAGCGAGACTCTGTCTCAAAAAAAAAAAAAAAAAAAAAAAAAAGAAACGACTTGACCCTTTACCCGCTCCCCTTGCTGATGGCAAGGTGGGAGGGAGCACAAAAGCAAACTCCTGGAAACCAAGACTCATCAGTGTCAGCAGGTGAAGCGTTTCCAAGATCAAACACAGCAATCACCTACAAATGTGAAAGCAAAACAAAGTTCAACCCATCCTGGGCTCATGTGTGTTCTTGCTGTTGGCTTCTTGCTTCACACTGCTTTTCCCCCTAAGGTTTTCACCGGGTTGGACAGATAGGTGTGGATAGCTAGTGGGGGCTGAGGTTACTGATTCAGAAGGGAGCTGATGAACTCGGGAAAAACTCTAGAAGTAAAAGCTAAAAAATGGATTCGCGATCATTTCCAGGCTGCCTAGAGCAACTGAGGCCACTGGCTGTAAGGACAGGGGCAATATGGAGCCTGCAGTCTTAGTCGGATGGGGAGAATGTGTGCATATGAAAAATCACTACAAAGCAAAATACTTAAGGGCAAAATAATTAAGGACAAGGGTGAGGCAGGGTACAAAATAATGGAGTAAGCCTGAGAGTCTTGCTAACCCGGGAAGCTTTCCCAGGAACTTGAAGGGGGATACAGACTGGGGACAAGGAGGCACCTGTGCAATGACTGAACAGCAGCACAGCTCTCCACATTCTGAATATTTCATGGCTCCCATGAATTCTTAACTTTCTGTTTATTTATTGCATCAATAACCTTGCAACTTCAGTGGGAATCAACTCATGCTACTTTGATTTTCCTGTCACAATCCTTGTCCATGTATATATAAATCCAATATTATATTAATATTTACTTGACTATAATATATTTTTCAATTAGTGTTCTATGATTAACATGTTCAATATTGCAATATATTTTTTGTATTTATCACTATAATTTTTAACAGCTACATAATTTTCCAAGAAGTAGAAGCACCAGACCTTCTTTCAGCCTTCTCCTACCATTAATTCCACGTATATGTTATATCTAATTCTTGGCTATTGGAGCTAACTTTATCATTTACCTGAACGCACGCAGCTAGCTTTCCACCTTTCAAATTATTTCCTTAACATAATCCACCATGTGTGGGTAAAAGGAAAGTGACAAATTGCTTTTTGAAAGATTATACAAATATACACTCCCACCAGCAGAATACAGGGTATCAAACATGCCAGTTTGGGACTTTATTCTTTTATTTATTTATTTTTGTTTTTGTTTGTTTTTTTTTTTTGAGACGGAGTCTCGCCCTGTCGCCCAGGCTGGAGTGCAGTGGCGCAATCTCGGCTCACTGCAAGCTCCGCCTCCCGGGTTCACGCCATTCTCCTACCTCAGCCTCCCGAGTAGCTGGGACTACAGGCGCCCGCCACTGCGCCCGGCTAATTTTTTTCTATTTTTTTTTAGTAGAGACGGGGTTTCACTATGGTCTCGATCTCCTGACCTTGTGATCCGCCCGCCTCGGCCTCCCAAAGTGCTGGGATTACAGGCGTGAGCCACCGCGCCCGGCCGGGACTTTATTCTTGATTGGGACTTTATTCTTCTGTGTTTAACTTTGTACTTGTTGAAAAGAAATTGTTTATACATTGTGCAGATAGAAAGATCTCTAAAATATATTGGCAATCAAAAGAAAACAAGGTGCAGAGCAGCATATATTATATACTGTGCTACTGTTTATATGGTGTTGGTATATATATGTGTATGGATTTAATCACATTTTCCATGTGGATTCATGGAAAATTCCTGGAAGACTAAATAAACTATTAAGGATGTTAGTTCTGGGGAGTAAAATTGTGATGTGGGGTTGGAGTAAGACACTTTTTTATCATATACCCTTTGGTGCTATTCAAATTTTTTGTCATGAGTTTTCATTATAATTAATTAGAAAAACAGGAAAAGAAACTAAACCATCTGAAGACAAGGCCATTGCAGGGGTTAAAAGCTGAGGCATTGGCGTCAGACAGGAGTTTGAATCCTTGCACTGCTATTGACTAGTTGTATGATCCTGAATGATTTCCTTAACTTTTCCAAATTCTATTTTTGTGATCTAAAAAAATGAAAATAACAACACAGTCTCAAAAGTTTCAAAGGTTCTTAGCACAATGACTACATACAAAAGTATTCTGCATTTAGAGGAAGGCACCATCCTTCCTTCTTCATGCACCAGGCTGACCACTTGAGCTTTCATACAATAAAGTTTTTTTCAGTGTCTTCTCTGTATAAGCCAGGTGTGCACTAGTTGCTATGAGAAAACAAAGTAGAATAGAGTGTCTGTTTCTAAGAAGTGACAAGGACTTGCTCATTTTGCCCCACTTTCAATTATTCCTTCCCCGGAAGAATAGAAAGAATAGCATTGCTTTTGAGGGCACAGTAACTGGGAAATATTGGAGGTAAATCACTAATTCTTACCAAAAACAAAGTGTATTATAAATATTAATTCTAAAGTACCAGTGAGTGGATCAATGTAGCACCAGAGTTTCCAAAGAATATTTTAAGTCTCCCTCCCACTGCATGAGTGAACATGGTCTGGAACACATACTTTATTTGGAATGTTGATGTCACTTCCTGCTGTCAGCAGCACTTTGCTGCACTCTTCATGACCTCCTTCAACACTCAGAAAGAATGGTGTTTCTCCATTCTAACAAAAGGAAAAATAAGTCAAATTTAATTGCCCCTTGTCATGGAGTGAAATTACTTGACAAACAACATGCTTTCTCTATGCCTTTTGTGCATTATTCTTAATAATGGATAGCATTTATTGAACAACTATGTGTCAACTTGTACTGCCAAGACTATATGCCTTGGCACAGTTAAATCACACAATGCTATAAGGGCAGGGTTAATATTATCCACATGTTACAGATAAGAAAACTAAACCTTATCTGAAAAGTGTCAACGTGGCTGGGTTCAGTGACTCAGCCTGTAATCCCAGCACTTTGGGAGGCTGAGGCAAGCAGGATACTTGAGCCCAGGAGTTAGAGACCAGCCTGGGCAACATGGCAAAGCCCCATCTCTACAAAAAGTTTACAAAATTAGCCAGGCATAGTGGTGGATGCCTATAGTCCCAGCTACTTAGGAGGCTGAGGTGAGAGGATCACCTGAGCCCAGGAGGTTGTGGCTGCAGTGAGACAGGACTGCATCACTGCAGTCCAGCCTAGGCAACAGAGTGAGACCTCGTCTCAAAACCAAAAAAAAAAAAAAAAAAGGAAAGAAAGATAATCTCAGAAATAAGAAACTACAGTACAGTATGGAACATACAAAATTAGAAGTACATTTGCACCAAGTATAACTTTAATCTTTACAACTGATTAAATGTTACATGACACTTTAAAAAATAACATTACTTTAAAAAATCTCAGTACTTCAGTTTCCTGAAACTCAAGATAAATACTAGGAGGACGAAGTAAGAGTTTAATTCAGGCCAAAACGAGGAAAAAGAAGGAGCTGGTCCCACACAATAGCTACTTGGCTATTTCCCTTTCCTCATGCAGACTCTTTCCTAAAAATGTTGGGAAGAAATGCAGAATTCCTTCCCCATTCCCTAACCATTTCCCTCCTTGGACATTAATCTGCTTAACAACTACTTTAGGATAAATTCAGAAGGCTTTACTCATAGTGAATTAGGTATGAACAATCATGTTAACAGGAACACAAGAGTATAGAAACCAGTGTTCCCATTCCAACAAGGTGGGAAAATCATATTCCAGGCTGCTTTACCTGGGTGCCTGGGACAGCCATCTGCTTATAAAGGCATTTCTCTGCCGGGCATGGTGGTGCATGCTTGTAATCCCAGCACTTTGGGAGACTGAGGCGGGCGGATCACCTCAGGTCAGAAGTTCAAGACCAGCCTACTCAACATGGTGAAACCCCATCTCTACTAAATAGACAAAAATTAGCCAGGCATGGTGGTGGGCCCCTGTAATCCCAGCTACTCTGGAGGCTGAGGCAGGAGAGTCACTTGAACCTGGGAGGCTTAGGTTGCAGTGAGCCGAGATCATACCACTGTACTCCAGCCTGGGCAACAAGAGCGAAGCTTCATATCAAAAAAACAAACAAACACACAAACAAAAAAGGCATTTCTCCCCATATCTTCCTTCTCATTTTTCCAGGAAAATGGATGCAAAAAGACAAATCCCAGTGGGGAAAATATTTGTTTAAAAAAATGTGTAAAGGAAAGAATTCTTATCCAGAGCCTGATAAGGTTTCATATCTTGGACCCTACAATCTGCCTCTAAGGATATACCCCAAGGCAATTGTGAGGAAATCAGATTCAGGTTTATATACAAAGAGGTCTGTGACAGCACAACCTATAATAAACAAAAACTGAAACTAAATAACCAAGAGCTAAAGAATAGTTAAGTGAATTTGGGGCAGCTATGAAAAATATATTGTACATACATGCAGAGGAACACAATAAAATCCATCAGATGTGTATAAGATCATCCTTTGAGCTGGGCATGGTAGCTCACACCTGTAATCTCAGTTGCATGGGAGGCTGAGATGGGAAGATCACTTGAAGCCAGGAGTTTGAGACCAGCCTGAGCAACATAATGAGACCCTATTTCTAATAATAATAAATAATAATAATTCTGTGAGTTTAGAGAAAATACAAAACTGCTATTTTTTATCTTGAATTTTAAACATTTATATTTCTAGCATATACTTTATAATGAATTAATTGAATTATAAATGTATATGTGATAGCCACATGCTCAAACTTTCTTTACTGATATGAGTTTGCTGCCAAGAATGTCTGGAGACCACAGCTCTAGAGCACATTCACATGGGTCCCTCTAACTGATCTGGCAACAGCTTGTATCAGGAAGCAGAGGCTGTCCACAAATGGACAAACATTATGAATCATATGCAAAAAGATGATATTATTATCACTGTGCCCTTAATTTTGTGCAAATTAAACCTATCATAATCTGAAATTAAAGTTTTTTGGGCTTTATGAGTTTTCCCCAATGTGCCCTGACTCCAAAGTTGCTAAAAGGAAGATGAAATCCACATGCATGCACACATTCCAGTGGTTTAAATATGTTTTAATAGAACAGGGAAAGCATAACTAATACTATAAATAAGACTATAAATCCTGTGACTACAGGACTTGATCTCTGCTTTGGTTTGAATGTTTGTGTCCCTCCAAAATTCATGTTGAAACTTAAATCCCCAATGCAATAAGATAAAGAGGTGGCTTTTATGTGGTGATTAAATCATGAGGGCTAGCTCAGTCAACCAGGTGGATATAATTGTTGTTGTTTGAGCACATGCATTACACTGGAATGGGTATCAGTGGCTTAGAAGAAAATCTTAGAAACAACAGTGGGGCATTCTTTAAGAAATGCTGCATCTCCCATGCCACTGTACCCCAGCCTGGGTGACAAAGCAAGACCCTGACGCTATAAGAAAAAAAATAAAGTAAGAAAAAGAAAAAAGAAATAAATCATCAAGACTGAATAAATGATTTAGAAGAATCTAATTCAGCATGAAGTTTACAAACAATTAACCGAGTTATCTTGCTTATTTTTTTCCTTTATATATGCACGTAAAAAACTAACAGTCTAAAAACATCTTCAAATAGGCAGCATAAAATAAATATTTTAAGTGACAATAAAGTTTTTTGTCACAGTTAAATGGCAGCATTATTTTTTCTGAGTGTTACATAAAATAATGGTGTGCCTTACAATCAATGGTATCTTAAGGTAAATGCTTATGATACTAGTTCTTTCGGTAGCTCTCAGGTGAGGCATCAAGTTTAGAAATGATCAGAACATTAAACTGTGAAATCCAAGAGGACCCCACTGACCCGAGTTTCCAAAGAGCCAGACAAAAAGTCACTGGATCATAGGTTAAGAAGTGACCATCCAGGGCAAATGACTCACAAACTTGCCCTGCATAGCCACAGTCACATCCCCTCCACCAAATCCAGAACCAGCTTCTTTTTACTTTTTTGGCTGTGTTTTGTTTTGTTTTGTTTTGTTTTGTTTGAGATGGAGTCTTGCTCTGTCGCCCAGGCTCAAGTGCAGTGGCACAATCTCGGCTCACTGCAACCTCTGCCTCCGGGGTTCAGGCGACTCTCCTGCCTCAGCCTCCTGAGTAGCAGGGATCACAGGCACCTGTCACCACACCCAGCTAATTTTGTATTTTTAGTAGAGACAGCGTTTCACATGTTGGCCAGGCTGATCTCAAACTCCTGACCTCAGGTGATCCACCCACCTCGGCTGCCCAAATTGCGGGGATTACAGGCGTGAGCCACCATGCCCGGCCCCAGAACCAGTTTCCAGCTCACTAACACTCCACCTGAATGTACCCCCCTCCCAAGTGCCTCAAACAAACCCATTCAAGCCCTCATTACCTACCCCACTCACCTGCTCCACACCTGTACTCCCCAGCAACAGCCCAAGTCAGACAGCTGGGGGCAGAAAGTCCTCCCTCTCTCTAAGTCCTGGTCATAAGTCCTGTGGACTCTGCCTCCTCCTACCACTTCATCCTGTTTGTTGCTCATGAGTGTCTCAGTGAGAGGTCTTCCATAGGTCTTGTTTCCCCATTTTGGCAGTCACCTGACTGGTCCTCCCCACTTCTGGGCTCTCCTGGCACCCGGTCTACCTTTCAAACGGCTGTGACAGTTACCTGCCCACACCTAAGATGAATTCTATCCCTTGTCACTACTTAAAACCCTTAAAGGTCTCTGCTGGCAACAACATCAAAGCCAAACCCTCCCTCCTGTAAAGCATGGCCTTTCATCGTCTGTCTGCCTTGGCCTACTAGGCTTCCAGCTTTCCCAGCCCTCCTAACCACAATGTCTACCACCCTGAGCTTGTCGGCCCAGAACATACCATACTCTTGCCTCGGTTCTTTTCCTTGGACTTTTCCCTCTGAAATACTTTATACTTGTGCCATCCTCAAAATCCTTCCTGCCAACATTCATTACAATGCCAAGACCCAGATAATATATCACTTCTTCTGTGAAAACTGTAATTTCTGAAAAACATCTTCCTCTGTGTTCTCATGGCATTCTCTGTAGACCTCTATTATTGCATGTAGCCCGATACATTATTTGTTTTGCATTCCCTTCTTGCCCTGTAGGCTTCTGGAATAAGAGTACATACTTCATCTGGCATACAGTACATATGAAACAAATATTATTTGAATGAACGGGTGAATAAATGAATGGATTAACAAATGAAGTGCTGTGGAATACTTTGAAGAATAAAGTAAGAATCTTTCGGCATCACATTTTACACCCTATGGCACTAACACCTTTGTTTTCCTCCCACTACCCTTCCCCATTTAAGTCCTGTGCCTGTAATGCGTACTTCCACATACCTCATTCATCTCATTTATGTCTTGCCACTGGGTTAGCAGCACCTGCACTGCAGGACTGTGACCGTGCTTTGCAGCGAGGTGCAAGGCAGTGTTTCCCTCCTGCAACAGAGACACACTCGGGGTAGAATCCCCTGTGCTGGGAGAGCATGTTCCTTCAACAGTAAGGGCTGCAATGGAGTTTCTGGAAGTTTTCATTTTGGTTAAAACACGGTCCAGAGTGTGGACCACTGTATCTGCAGTTTTAAGTGAAATTTATACATTTTTAAGTTTTAAATAAAAAGGTATAGCTTTCTGAACCAGTAGGAAAAAAATCATCCATGCTCCTTCTTCTAACTTTGCTACCAACTGCTAGCAAAACATGGAGCAACAGAAGAAATTCCATTTGACCTATGTGAGGGTAAAATGGTGAAAGATTTCTGGGAGGTCATTTTAGCAATATTATATACCCAAAGATTTTAAAATGTGCAGAAGCCTTTGACCCATAATTCCACATCTAGGAATTTCTCCTAAGAAAGTCATCAAAGGTGTACATACAGATACGATGTCTACCCCAGGGTTTTCCCCTCCCCTTTCATGTAAGGCTGAGGCTCCAGGAGACCTCATGGGAGGAGAGAAGAGGGGTGGAGTTGATCATGGAAAAATCCATGTGGTCTATTGACTTCACAAACATTTATGAAGCAAAAACTGCCAATCTGGACAACCCACAGCAGCAGTGGAAGGATTTTGCCTGGATAGTTCATGATTCTCTCTGAGTACAGTAACAACTTACAACTCTTCTGCTGACTAAAAGTCCCTCACCAAATCTACAGGCCAATTGTTACCCCTCTACATCAATTGTTACTCCCCTTTCTCTTGTTCTCAGCAAATAAATAAAAGTCCAACTCACCTTGTCCTTTTCTGAAGTATGCAGGTTTAGGAAGGTAAGTTTTTCTATCATTTCAACATGGCCCCTCTCAGCTGCCAAAAGAAATGGTTTTCTTCCTTTCTAAAAATCAATCACAAACCTCAAGCATTTATTACACTCTTAGTGAACAAGCAAGACAGTGGACAAAGCTAGTGACATTTTAAGGATGATAGGAAGTCCAAGATGACCCTGCTTAGGGGAGGAAGATGATGCTATTTCTGACTCCAAACCAGATCAGGTTCTGGGTTTTCACTCAAAACTGTGGGAGACTCCACATCAGCATGAAATCTGTTTCATGGGGGCACACAAATACTGTTCAGAAAAGGTCCTCTCAAGCATCAGGGGAGGTGCAACATCACAGTCAGATGACAAGATTCCCTTTCAAATATAGCAATATTATGAACTTTATTTATTCAATGGTTCTTTCACCATTTACTGAGAAGCTACTATGTGTCAGACCCTGCCTTAGGCACCTGTACATCATACTAAGCCTTCCGTTATTGATAACAATGTTTGAAACAGAAATTTTCTGGGGCTTATTACTTACATGGCTCATTCAGACATGACATTTGATTAACTGCTTCTCCTTAGGCCTTCCTTTCTTCCTCATAGATTTATCTACAATATCTACAAAGAATCAATAGAAAAACTCTCGAGAATAGGTCATTATGAAATGGAATCAAGAAATGAGGCATTACCCAGAGAGTACAGATGAAGAGAAATGTTTAGGTTTGATTTTTTTAGAAGATAAGCTCAAATATAGAATTTTCTGATTATGGAATTCCTCCTACTTTTTATGTTGCCAATGGAGACTATATTTTCCATAGCCAAAATGTCATCAAGAAAAGTGAAAGACTTGTCTTAGTCTGTTTTGTGTTGCTATAACAGAATACCTCAGTCTGGGTAATTTACAAAGAAAAGAGGTTTATTTAGCTCACAGTTCTGCAGGCTGGGAAGTTCAAGGGCACAGTCTTGGCTTCTGGCAAGGGCTTTCACACTGTGTCATAACATGACAGAGAAAGTCAAAGGGATGCGAACATGTGTGAAGAGACAAAACCCAACGGGCATCCTAGCTCCCACCCTCGTGGGAACTAATTTATTCCTATGAGAATGAATCTAGTCCCACCAGAGTGAGAACTCACTCTGAAGAATGTCACCAAGCCATTCATGAAGATCCACCCTCATGACACAAACATCTTCCAAGAGGTCCCACCTCCTAACACCACCAGATTGGGGATCCAATTTCAACATGAATTCTGGTGAGGACAAACCATAGCCAAACTATAGCAGATCCACAGAAAATGTAATGTTGTAACTTGAGATAATTAAAAGAAGGAAAAGGAAGTTGTGGTGGCAATACGATAGCAGAAGTATTTTCTTCAATTAAAGAGAAAACACTCACAAATTGGCTTAGTGTGTTACTAACTGAAAGTTTAGCAAGGTGTCTTAATGTTAAAAAATAGATACAAGCCTCATCTAACACTTGATAAAATAGGGTAATGAAAAGATCGTGGCCACTGTTAACCTGAGATAACAACATAGGAGCTCCCAGTAACTGGAGAAAAAAGGAAGAAAAAATGCTGAAATAATAAACGGTAAAAAGCAAAAACAAAAACAAATCTATAAAGATCAGTCCTACAGAGGTCTGTATTTATGCATGTATGGAAGCTGGAGAAACAAATTTGCACCAAAAACTTCACCTAATTCATCATTCTTGGGCCACATATGTCACCAATGAGATCTACATCTCCAACCCTTTAAAGTGTTCAGTGATTTCATTCTCAGGAGATCCCTATAAATGGCAAAGGAAAGAAACAGAGATTGCTTAGAACCACAGTTTTCTGCACTAATTGAAGAGTAAAATTTAATCTTGAGTCATGAGCAACTCTTTGGAAACGACAGACCAAAAATTATTGTGTTTGATATACAAATATGTGCAAATAGTGACTACAGGTAAAGGTTCATGTAAACAGATCACAAAAGAGGGAACAAGAGACAGTGATTATATACTAGATGAAAACATCTGATCACATATCCTCATAAATAATTCATTCATTTCTTCAACAATTATTGAATGCCTATGAATATGCCAGATAATGTGCTAAGCAACAGAGTGACCAGGGTGAGAAATATATTGCCCATCCTCAAGCTCAGAGTCCAAAAGGAGAGATGGACACATAAGCAAGTAATTATAATGTAATATAGTAACCAAGTGCTGGTGATACGTGGGCTTATATAACTCAGCATAAGTGTGTTTGTGGCTGGAAAGGTAGGTGGTGAGAAGTGGTGGAAGAAGGCCTTTAAAGATTGCTAATGCACCGGAACAGGAGAAAAGAGAACTTGTTACCTGATTCTTGCCTGTTATCTTTTACATTGGAGAATGACCCCTGGCTCATGCAGAAGGAAAGGGCTTTTGTTAGCTCTTTATGCACAGAGACCACAAATAATACATGAAGGTGTTGTGCCCTAGTGTGGCATTTGTTGCTTTTGCCTTTATATTTACCTTTCTTCTAGTAACTTTGTTTTACTTTGCAGAACAACCACACATACACACACACACCCTGTCATTTAGCCCATTTAGTGCTGTCCATTTCCAAGCCTTATCTGCCTGCCTTCTGCCACATGAAGTGATTACATAACCCTGCCGTCACAGTGATTGGTTCGAGATTGGGCATATGATTCAGGTAGGGCCAGTTGTTCCTGAGATTTATACATAAACATTTAATGACAGATTATTATTTCTATTTCTTATGGATTGAAATCCATAAGGATATTAAACCTGAGGCTGCTAACAGCTATCTTTCCTACTATATGAAAAGTATACCTATGAATAATGCCGACATGCAGACAGCTAAGAAATGGACAAAGAAAAAGAGCTGGGTCCAGCCATGCCTGAAGCTGGAAAGATACACCCTCATACTCTTTAGTTACAAGTTAATAAATTACCCTCTTTGCTTAATCTCGATCAAGATGGATTTTTGTCTTTGCAACAGAAAGAATTCTAACTAATACGTATTTATCAGTTTGGTAACAATACTAATCTGTTCAATTTTAAAATGGTGCTTTTCTTTTATCCGTGGTTGCTACGAAGTTTTGCATTACTGCATAGATAACAAAGTGAAAGAAAGCTTCACCTGCTAAGAGATGGGAGGTTCTGAGAAAAGACTACAGTTACCACAGATGAAAGATCTTTCCTTTCCTTTGGAAACACTATTAGTTTGAACTTTGGAAGCCCTTTAAATTTTAACAGTTATCATCCAGGAAAAAGATGTAAAAGCAAAATTACACAAAGTAAAGACATTTAAAGTAACCTATAATAAATATATGAAAAGGTAGCATAAAGAAAGGTGAGATTATAGCATAATGAGATATAAATCTTTTCTCTCATTGAGTACATATTATTAGACAAAATAACAGGAATTTCAAAGATATATGTGGTTTTTTAAAAATAGTTTCTTATTATGTCCTTTTTTTTTTTTTAACTACCCAATCCTTTTTCATCACATTCAAGTAGGCCTCTATCCAGGGCAGTCTCATAGGACCTCCCTTACTTGGAAGGCAGGAAGCTTTTCCAGCCAGAAGGATGGTGGAGCTTGGTGTCAGAGCCCTGGGCTCCAGGCCTTGGGCCAATCACAAAGACTCCCTGGCTCAGGATCCTGTCCGTTTAAGTACTAAAATAAGGAGGGTCTAGGATTCCTGTTCTTTCTTTCCTCTATTAACTCAGTATCTATTTAACCTGATTATAACAGGGTCTTACTCTGTCACCCAGGCTGGAATGCAGTGGCATGATCTCAGCTCACTGCAACTGCCATCTCCTGGAATCCAGTGATCCTCCCACCTCAGCCTCCCGAGTAGCTGGGACCACAGGTGCGCACCACCACATGCCGACTAATTTTGTGTATTTTTTTGTAGAGGCAGTTATTCACCATGCTTCCCGGGCTAGTTCTCAAACTCCTGAACTCAAGAGATCCTCCCACCTCTGCCTCCCAAAGTACTGGAATTACAGGTGTGAGCCACTGTGCCTGGCTAACCTGATATGTTTTAACTCAATGCATTTAATTTTTTTTTTTTTTTTTTGCATGTAAGTCTGAGGGATTGGAATTGTTTATTATAAATTATTTTTAAGTTTACTGAGAAGATGAAATCATCAAATTTGATGTTATGAAATTCAGCAAAAATTTCATAAATAGCCATTAAGTGGGTATCCAAAGTCCAACCTGACCTTCCTTTACCACAGGGATCCCCGAGATGTGTCGCTCTCAGGAGCCTGAGGAGAGGCGCTGGGTGGGCCTCCAGTGCATGCTCCCACCCACAGCATTTCCCATTACCCCAGGATCAGGCACTTGAGGAAGGGGAAAACCCTGAATAACTAGCAATTTCACAGGTAAAAAAATATGTGTCATGAGGTTAAAAAAAAGAAAAAGCAGCATGTTAAATATGAAAAAGTGGCACCGGAGGGGTGGGAGACACTGGGTTAGTTCTCCCCTCACAGACAGGAAACAATAGATTTGATTAAATCTAAAATTGTTAAATGTTGCCTTGGGTCTGTATAAGAAAACAGGTGTCTTCTCAAGTCCCCTTCTACTCACTAGAGTAGAAGGAAGTCCCCTTCCCTCCCAGAAAAAGAAGCTTCTTTGCATTTTGACTTCCAGAGACTTTAAACCAATGGAAGTCTACCATATTCGTAGTTGAAACCAAACATTGTACCCCCAAATTCTTGTAAATATTGAACAAATACATGAATGGCGTGTGAGGCCTTCCTATTTCTCTCCCTCCCCAAACATGTTAGTCTGAGTATTTATTTTTGATCACCAGATGGACATTTATATGTAGATTCAAAATGTCTATACTTTATTCCTAACTCCTTGCTGCGCTAATCTCTCTCTCCCGGAAAGGCCTCAATGATTTTCATGGCTGTGGAGCTGGGGGAAATCTCAAAAGTTTTCCCAGCATCCTCCATCTCTCCCCACCCAAACTCCCCCTGGCCTAGTTAAATCCATTTTGTGTTAAGGGCCTCCTTCCAGGAAAGCTTTCCTTGTTAGCTTTTGGAGTTCCCTCCAGGCCAAAGAGATGGATTTTACCAACCCTGGCAGGTACACAGGCTCTCTATCACTTTCTGTTGATAAGAAACTAGGCAAGAGAGTAACACTGTGAAGGTGAAGACGTCTTAAATATCAAATGTATTTCACAAACTCCACAATACCTTTAAGCAGATGCAAATGGAAAACCCAACAGTAAATTGATAGAACCTGAGCTTCTGATCACAGCTGCAACTGGAATTTCCCCCCATAATTTTTTATTATGGTAAAGTACTCATAACTAAATTTATCATCTTAACCATTATTAAGTGTATAGTTCAGTGGTATTAAGGATACTCATAAGGATAGCCATCACTACCATCCATCTCCATAACCTTTTTCATCTTGCAAAACTAGAATTGTGTCCTCATTAAACAATAATTCCCCACTTTCCCTTCCTCCTAGTTCCTGGCAACTACCATTCCAACTGATGTTTGCCAACAGGTGTGACCCACTCACAGATCTTAGGAAAAAAAGTAGATTTTTTTTTTTTTTTTTGTCTTTTCTATTCATCAATTTAGTTTTCTGAAGGGACTGAAGTTGGGCTCAGACTCAAAGTCTTCTTTCCCTAGATGACCCAGTGGACTCATTATTTGCTCATTCCTTGTATGTCTCTGAACTTAATTTAAGATCTTGCGGCTGGACATGTCACTCTGCAGTTTGCTGCCAGTGCTCCTAAACCCTTTTACCCAACAGACAGAGGAGGAAGAACGTGAGAGAAGAGGACATGCCCAGAATCAGCTGAAAAGAGTTATGGAGAGGAAGGTTGCTGGCCAGCAGAGACTCAAGAAGTGGGGAAGGCTCCCTGCAAACGTGCTTTGGTTTCTGAATCCCATCAGCCTGCCTGATCCTTCCCATCCTTCCCATACACTACTCTCTCTCATGGAAGCAATCAGAGCACATTGAAGGGGAAAATAACTGTGTGTCTCATGCATAACAGGCCGTCAACAAATATCTGCTGAACTGAACTGAATGGAATTCATTAATTGGCCACGTCTCTACTTGGCATGGATAAAATTAGAAAGATCCAACTTCCTCACCTTGATACTAAATGGCATTTGACTATGATTGTCACTTTCAGAAAATCAGATAGGATATTTTATCCTATAACAATTGTTACAACAGTGAGCACTTACAATGTGCCTGGCTCGTTGCTAAGTGCTTTATAGTCATTAGCTCATTTAAGCATCTCAGCTATTCCAACATTCCTACATAGGAATGGCCTAAGTGAAAAGGGGTTATGGAATGGCTCATTGTGAAGTTCATTTGCATAGGTACTTTTACATAAGATTGAGGAAATGTCAATCATTATATACCAAAGAATGGCGGTTTGCTGATTTTAAAAAAATTATATGTGGGACAAGACTTCTCCTGTCACCCTTGTTGTTACCATAAAGTAGATTTTATTGTTTCCATTGTATAGATGGAGAAACTGAGGGTTTCGGAAATTGAAGAGCTTGCTTAAAACCACACAGCTAGTGCATGGTGGTACTGACCAGACCAAAGCCCAAGTCTATCTTCCTCTAAGCTGTAAATGTATAGTTGTTTAATCATATGTAGAGGAAGTCAAAGAAGTATATAGACCTAAACTGAAGAAATACTTCTTATTGTTAATATCACTGTATTTGAGATTAAGGTCAGAAAAAAAATGTAAAAATTTTTAAAAAGAGGTGAAATGAAGTGACTATCACTGACCGGCTTCTAAAGAAACTTTTATAGTATAGTATTCTGGTGGCACAGAGAAAAGGAAGTCCCATTCATGAAGTATATTCTACTGCTGAGAAATCAAAATGCCAATTGCACAAAGGCTACTCCTCTATGAAGAAAAAAAAAAAAATGCCTAGAGGGAAATATTCCAGGGGAAGGACAGTCCTTGACATGAACAATACCCACTGTTAGTCTGAGGAGGGAGACAGCACAGCATGAAGGCTGGATTCAGCCAGACCTGGCGTCAAGTCCTGGCTCTGTCACTTTTTAGTTGTGAGACTTTTGATCAGGTGTTTGGCCTCTCTGAGCCTCAACTTCCTCTCCTCTACAAATGAGCAAAATATTTTCTACTTTATAGGATTATTGTAGGGGTTAGTGAGATCAATCATTCATTCATTCAGCAATGATTTGTTGAGCATTGGTAGGTGTCAGGTCCAAGACCTCTTACTGAAAAAATGTATGTAAATAGCTTTCCTCTGTACCTACATTAACAGATACTCGTTAAGTAGTAGCTAGTATTGTTATGTATCCCCTTATTTAAAGAAAAGAAATACTGACAAATGCAATAAAACTGCATTGTATTTCATGGCTCATTACTGCATAGCTTTGGGTCAAATATATTACCAAAAGGCCAAGCATAATAAAATAAAATTTAGATACACATTTTGATTACTAAAGGGGATAGGATACTGTCCACACTCCGGCCAGGATGAGGGAGTAGAATGGGAAGAAGGAATCTGGCTGCTTCCTCAACACTTCCTGTTCTCCCTACAAGCAGGGGCCAGGATCGCCACTAATACCAACACTCCTCTTTGGTTCTGTGGTCTGCCAACGTGATGGAGGAGCTGGCTATAGGGCAGGGTCTGTCTGTGCTGGCTGCTTTCACAGCTGTACCAGAGGCAGGAGAAAGTGAAATTTGATAGGGGTGGATGCAAGACCTATACAATCAAAGTAAACACACCTCATCAGGCTGGTTCAGGTCCTTGAGGTGCAGATCTTGAATAAGATACTCCACGATGCGCACATGATTGCTCTGAGCAGCAAAGTGGAGGGCATTCATTCCATCCTGAAGAGAGCCAGGGGTGGGGGAGATACACAGTGACCTCAGAACTTCCTCTCTCCTGCAATGGTGAGGTAAGAGCTTTTGTCCAGGTGTGACCCACATACCTACCTGATTCTTGGCTCTCTGATCTGCTCCAGCTTTAACCAGCATGAGCATGACCTCAAGGCTCCCAGACCAGGCTGCAAGGTGAATTACTGTCAAGCCATGCTTCCCCAAGAAGACAGAAAAAGAGAATCTATCACTCTGATGAGCCAGAGCATATACTGCCTCATCAACAAAGGCCAAATTAATACTAGATTGTTGAAAACTAAGAAATAGAGAATTTAACACACAGCAAAAGTGATATTTCGGTTCTATGGGGAAAAAAGGGTATACTTAATAAGAGGTGCAGGCACAAGTGGTTCTCCATCTGGAAGAAAATAAAATGAAAAGCTATATCATACCACACTCACAAAATAGCACACAAACAATAAACATATTAGAATAAAATGCAGACTACAATGTACAGTCTCTTAATTCAGAGTGAGAACAGATAATAAACAAAGTCAATTAAAAATGACAGATTTTTAAAAATGTATCTTTAATAAAGATAAATGGTTATTCTCTAATCCATGAAGCACACTTACCTATGGAGAAGAAAAAGACAAACTCAGAAAAATGGACAAAGAAAGAAAATGGAAATGAATATTGTTTAAGTATCTGGCAATATCTATTAGAATTGAAAATACAACCAGCAATCCCACTCCTGGGAATCTATCCCATAAAAATAAAAATGTCATTACCTAATGCTACATATATAAAGATATTAAGTGTAATACTAAAAACTGGGTACAAGATAAAGGCCTATCAACATGGGAATGCTGAATAAGTTATGGAATAGTCAGACTATATAATGCAAGCATTAAAAATAATGAATTAGTGCTACAACAATTGACTTGGAAAGATTTCCATGAGTTTTGCTAAATATGGAAAATAAGATTGAGAATAAATATGATATAATCCCATTTGTTAAAAAGGAGTGATTAAGAAAACCCCATACATGTATACGTACATATCTATATCCATCTATAGGTGCGTTGGTGGGTAGGTAGGTAGATTGATTAATATAGATATGTCTATGTGAGCAGGAGAAAAGTACAGAAATAAACATATATATCTCAGATTGTTAAGTATAGTTACCAGAGGAGGAGAGGGAACACACAGGTAAAAGAAACACAAGTTATAAAAAGCATCTCATTTATATAGATGCTACTTAAAATATTTTATTTATACAAAATTATTTCGATTTGTCTGTGTGCAAACACATGTGCACAAAGTTGTCAGACTGAAAGAGACCAGGATTTACTGACCCATAGGGATGCTGTGGGCAGTTGTATGCTGACTTGTCTACCAAATAAGCAGGGAGAAAAGTGTGGAAGGAAGCATAGCCAGCAGTTAACATTGGCTATTTTAGGGAGGTGAGATTCGAGGGACATAAGCAAAAACATGCATCTGCACTCCAGGCCCTAAGTTAGAGAAGCAGCATAGGGCAGACACTATGAGCCTGATCTTCAGGATCAAGCAGAACTAATCTCAAATTCTGGTCACTTTCTATCACTTTCAAGTATGGGGATCTTGGTGAACTTAATTCTAACTGTCAGCTTCAGCTTCCTTATCTGCAAACTCAAGTGTGCTTTTCTGTTTCCTTTAGCCCCATGAAAAAGTAATCCATTTCCTCAGTACAAGTGCCTGCCCAAAGTAAGCTCTCACACTACATTTTATTTCCCTCTTCTAATCAGTTGTGTTTGTGATCTGGAAACTGTTTGTCAGATGTACACAGTATGAGTAAATGCATAAGGAATGAGGGCCTGCAGCACACTTCTACTTGTGAAGTGCATAAGCCTTTTGGCATTTATTTTGGCTGCCTCCAAGTTGCATTAACGTATTCTCTTATTCTCAGTAGAATTCACATTGGGAGAGTAAAACAGCAAGTCCCAAATTATTGAGGCATAACTCTAAACTGGTGATTCTCAACTGGGGGTGATTTTGCCCCCAGGAAACATTTGGAAAAATGTATGGAGACATTTTTTACTGTCATGCTGTGGGTGGGGGGAGGTTAATATTGGCACCTAGTAGATAGAGGCCAGGGATGCTGCTAAACATCCTGCAATACACAGGGCAGCCCCAACCACAAAAAACTATCTGGCCCCAAATGTCAATAGCACCACTGTTGAGAAACCCTGCTCTTAATGTGCATATCCTATGAAATTTATATTTCAGCTGTCACTCTAGAGGGTGAGTTAGTCCATTTATAGGTTTACAATTCCAGCATGAAGAAGACTCTTCATTTCTGGACTCCTTGTCCCAAAGAGAAATGATGTACAATGACTGACTACTTGAGATTCTTCAAAGCATGTTCCCTAAACACAATTCCACCTCTTAATTTGGACTTCCCTACAAGTCAATGCTCTATGTTTAGTAATACTAAATCTGCTTTCAAATATGAAAGAGACCAGAAGGCCAGGTGCGGTGGCTCATGCCTGTAATCCCAGCACTTTGGGAGGCCAAGGCGGTCAGATGACCTGCGGTCAGGAGATCGAGACCAGCCTGACCAACATGGAGAAACCCCATCTCTACTAAAAATACAAAATTAGCTAGGCATGGTGGTGCATGCCTGTAATCCCAGCTACTCGGGAGGATCGCTTGAACCTGGGAGGTGGAGGTTGCGGTAAGCCAAGATTGCACCATCGCACTCTAGCCTGAGCAACAGGAATGAAACTCCACCTCAAAAAAAAAAAAAAAACCAGAAATATTTGAGACAGGTGACAAATCACTCTTTGATAGGAGATCTATTTTTTCCCTAAGAGGTAATTCCTAATTTCAAAGCAGCCTATATTTTAAAATTCCAAGCTCCGATCATAAAATCGAAAAGCTGGGAATTCAAGCTGCAAACAACCTAAGTCTCTAAAACCACAAATTCAGAATGGAGCCATTGTTCCTCAGAGGTAATGAATCATGGCTCACAGATGTAAACTCCCTGAGAAGAACCTCCATAAAACAAATTCTTCTGGTGTGAAACTGGCATGCCTGAGACTACTTAAGACCATGTGTCACAAGTCACACTCACAGGTGGCTCATGAAGCTCTGTGAAGTGTACATTGCCCAACAGTCACTGACAACCTGTCCTCATTGCCAGTCTCGTCATAGGTGAGGTCAACAATTTCCTTTGGGGAACAATTCTATGTTAGGAGCTTCCCAGAGATAAGAAGCTCTGTGAGCAGATGTTTTTATCCTCTAAGCACCACTTGCACCCACCTGGGATTCTTTACTCCTGTCTGGAGTAAGACCCTCCATTTATCCAGTCTGCCTATTCCCAGGACTTGGGGGTGCTGCTCACTTTGGTCCCTAGCATGCAGTGCCTTGAATGGCACTCAGCTAGTACAGTCTCTGGCCTTGCTCCCCAGAGAGACTGTAGGCCCTGCAAAGCCATGACTCTATCTCATACCAGTGCTTCCCAAAAACAATCACCTGGGAATTTTTTTTTAATGTGGATTCTGATTCAGGCCTGGGGTGGGGCCCAAGATCTTGCATTTCTAACAAGCTTGCAGGTGATGTACATGCTTCAAGTCCTGACACCACACTTTAAATAGCAAGGACTTCTGTCTAGTTGAATCCTCAGTAGTTGACACTGAGACATACGCACAACAGCCACTGAATAAATATTGAGGGTGAAGGGGATCAACTGTTAGCTCTTTGCAAATGGTGTTAGAACTTAGAAGAAGTCAAACTCAAGGCTCATCATTCAGATAAAGAAGCTGCCAGATTGGGTCAAACATGACCTTGCTTGAATTATGAAAAACATTTGACTAGTTATGGAGTAATGCCACTATAGATGATTTAATCAGTTATAAACATATTTAACTTAGTGAAACCTTCAAAGCAGGAAAAAGAGACACACCAGGAATTACTCTATTTCCCACCTGACATTATTTCAATCTTCAAGCAAAGTTAAGAGAAACAGTCATGCTTCAGAGACAAGGTAATGCAAACATATGTTTAGAAAAACCTCAAGGAGAACAAGTTGGGGAAATATCTCTCCATCATTTCAGGAATAATTTGAAGGGGTGGCCTACCTCTCCACACCTGTGGGCGTTTCTCGTTAGGTAGAACGAGAGACTTGAGAAAAGAAATGCTGGAATGAGAGACTTGAGAAAAGAAATGAGACACAGAGACAAAGTATAGAGAAAGAAAAAGTGGGCCCAGGGGACCGGCGCTCAGCATACGGAGGACCCACGCTGGCACCAGTCTCTGAGTTCCCTTAGTATTTATTGATCATTATCTTTACCATCTTAAAGAAAAGGAAGTGGCAGGATAATAGGATCATTGTAGGGAGAAAGTCAGCAGTAAGACATATGAATAAAGATCTTTGTGACATGAATAAGTTTAAAGAAAAGTGTAGGCTGGGCGCGGTGGCTCAAGCCCGTAATCCCAGCACTTTGGGAGGCCGAGACGGGTGGATCACGAGGTCAGGAGATCGAGACCATCCTGGCTAACCCGGTGAAACCCCATCTTTACTAAAAAATACAAAAAACTAGCCGGGCGAGGTGGCGGGCGCCTGTAGTCCCAGCTACTCGGGAGGCTGAGGCAGGAGAATGGCGTGAACCCTGGAGGCGGAGCTTACAGTGAGCCGAGATCCGGCCACTGCACTCCAGCCTGGGCAACAGGGCGAGACTCGTTTCAAAAAAAAAAGGAAAAGTGCTGTGCCTTGATATGCATATGTAAACATCTCCATAAACCTTTTTAGTGCATAAAGAGCAGCATTGCGCTAGCAAGTCCCGCCTTTAGCCCTAAGGCGGTTTTCTCCTTTCTCAGGAAACAGAACATACAATAGGGTTTTACACCGAGATGTTCCATTGCCCAGGGACGGGCAGGAGACAGATGCTTTTCTCTATCTCAACTGCCAACAACCGCCAAGAGGCCTTCTTTCCTCTAGTACTAGTCCTCCTCAGCACAGACCCTTCACGGGTGTCAGGCTGGGGGACAATCAGGTCTTTCCCTTCCCACAAGGCCATATTTCAGACTATCACATGGGGAGAAACCTTGGACAACACCTAGTTTTCCTAGGCAGAGGTACCTGTGACCTTTGGCAGTGTGCGTGTCCCTGGGTACTTGAGATTAAGAGAATGGTGATGACTTTGAACCAGCAAACTGCCTTCAGGCACTTGTTTAACAAAGCACACCCTGCACAGCCCAAAATCCTTTAAACCTTGAGTCACCATAGCACATGACTCTTGCAAGGACAAGGTTGGGGGTAGGGTCACAGATTAACAGCATCTCAAATACAGAACAAAATGGAGTCTCTTATGTCTACTTCTTTCTATATAGACACAGTAACAGTCTGATCTTTCTTTCTTTTCCCCACATAATTGATTTGCACTCTGACACAAACCAGTCCTGTATTTAATATATTAGAAACATGGCAATCCTCAGATACGCTGTTTAAAAGATGCAATCTAATCTGGCAGTGGATACATAGATGTTCGCTGTATGATTCCCTCTACTTTGGTATAGTAAAGATTTGGGGTTATGGTTCTGGTTAAAACGAAGTAAGCACAGTCCACTCTGTCTCTCCCACCAAAACAAATAAAATCTCTGGAAAGAATGCATGGAACGTACACCTACTATATACCCACACACATTTTAAATTAAAAAGTAAAAACAAAGAATGCATGGAACAGCTGAGGACTCTGTAAATGGTATCAGGTGGATTCGGGAAAAAAAAATCGGAACTCAAAGTAAGGACAATCCTGCTGTGACTTTCCAGATTTTTCTTTTCCTCCCATACCTTCCAACTTGGACTTGAGGCAGTGCAAATCATGGAACTGTGCCCTGGGCACAGTCAGAAAGATTTCCAACAGAAGCTCTCTCATTCTGGTGTAAGGAGGAGAAGGGAGCCCCTATAGAACAGAGAAGGTAGGGGAAATTCTCTGCTTCATTTTTCTCTACAAGCCCTGCCCCCTCCCCGCAAGCCAAGCCCCTCTCCCAAAGCTACAACTTGACAGTGGTAAGGGTAGCAGCAGTGGCTGGGTAAGCACCTTAAAGTCCGACATAGGGGAATCTTTCTCTCTGGCCAGAGGAACTGTGGTCATAAAGCAGGGTGGAGGGAGAATCCAAATGTTCTCTTGTTACCCTCCCCCACTCGGTCCTGGAGGCAGACCTATTTGTGGGGAGCACACAGCAGGGCTGGGAGACCACAGCCTTGGCTTTCCAGTCAGAGGACCAGGAAAAGAGGGCGGGGAGCTGGAAAATGTAGGGGAGTTGATCATGGAGAGGATGGAGCCTGAGAAAGGGATGGCATAAAGTTGTGTGTGTGCACCTGGGCTTACCCCTGAGCTGTTTAATAAGCCTATTTATTATCAGAGTTCATAGAGCAAAGTCAATATTTAATGTCTCTAGGGCCAGTTAGCTTCTGTCTTCCACATCCCAGATTCTACTCTGGACAATGATCTTGCTATTACAAATGCATGCTATTGGCCATAAAGTCAAAATGAGAAAATAAGCAAAAACCCAGGTCCCATAGGTAAAAGGGAAACAATTTAGCCCCCAAATACAAAGAGCATATATATGTATATTCTCTGAAGAGACGTTTCCAAAACAAACACTGCCAATTAAAATATTTTGCATGTATGTGAAGAAAAGATGTCTGGAGTGATCAGATTCTCCCTGTACATTGGTTATCTCCAATTTGTTCTATTCAAGATGAGCTTACCTTATCAGCAACATCCACCCTGGCCTTGTGTTTAAGCAAGAAATCCACTGCAGATAAATGATTTCTCCCCACTGCAAAATGCAGGGCTGTGCGGTTCATCTGAGGAAGCATAATTTATGTTTTTAGTCACTGATCATTATTTAGTGCTTTTAGGTTTCCTGTTTCTTGAATGGCCATACTTTTCTATCAGGTGTTTCTATTTTGATTGTTTGGCTCCACTCTTTGCCTTTACCTTTGAAAGTTGTGAGAATTGTGTCCAGCCGAATTCTGCCTTCATTATGAGATAACAGCAGAGAATTTGGCAATCCACTGAAGGACACGCCTCGAGCTGAAATTCTTGTTTCAACTTATATTGTATTGTAGCATTATGTTGTGGCAACATAATGCGTTTTGTTTAGAAAGTAAAAGTTGGATTTCCCCCTTATATAATCATTAATAACGGTAAATTTTTCTGCTTAGAATATACTAATAATGCATAGCGGAAATTTTCCTAGGTATTCAATCCACTCATGTTCATTCTTCTCTAAGTTTTTGGACTGTAAACTTTACTGAAGGAAATAAATTCCTTCTGAAAGGAAGAAGGAAGGGAGGAAGAGATAAAAGAGCGAAGAAAAGAGGAAGGAAAGAAAGACAGAAAGGCAGAGGAAAAGCTATGACCATCTTGCTCCAAAGGACAGTCCATGTGGTGCTCCTGGGATACCCAGAGACAGTCTAATACATTTCAGACAATGAAAGTTTTGCTTGGAAGTGATATGAGTCATAATTCCCATATTCTGGACACTGTTTTTGCTCCCAAAGATGATGTCTGGGCATGGCTTTACTATTCTTTGTTACACATAAATAAGAAAAAAAAATGAGAACTGTTTAAATATTTGATTTTCTTGGTAGTGTCAACCTAAATAATAAGACAGACTTTCAAAAGAAAAGATATTTATTTGGGAATAAAGCATTGCAACGGGAATATGCATGTCATAGTAAACTATGTGTGTATTTAGGGAAGTAAAAGAAGACAAAGGTTTTTAAAGGAAAAAAAATGAGGAGGATTACATAACTGTTTTGAAATAATTATCCTTTGCTGCAAAGTTCAACAACAAGCTGACACCAGTCTTAGATTAGACAGGCAGTTTCTGGGCAGATGTCCTTGCAGAAGTATTTTCTGTGTAAGGTTGTGATGGCCTTTGTGTGAGGTTGTGGGTTTTGCAGTCTTTTGTGATAGTTTTTGTTATCAAGTATACAAGCATGAGAACCCTGTCTTCATGGCCTTCCCCAGCTCTATTTGTCAAGGTTTTCTTAATATCGGTGACCCCATTTTGATTCTGAAAACTTTCACAATAGCTAAACCAGTGATAAAATAAGTTTGACAAAACATGAGTTATGGCTGGGCACGGTGGCTCATGCCTGTAATCCTAGCACTTTAGGAGGCCAAGGTGGGTAGATCACCTGAGGTCAGGAGTTCGAGACCAGCCTGGCCAACATGGTGAAACCCTGTAACTACTAAAAATACAAAATTTAGCCAGGCTTGGTGGCGTGCGTCTGTAATCCCTGCTACTAAGGAGGCTGAGGCAGGAGAATTGCTTGAACTCGGGAGGTGGAGGTTGCAGTGAGCTGAGATTGTGCCACTGCACTCCAGCCTCGGTAAGAGCGCAAGACTCCGTCTCAAAACAAAACAAAACAAAAAAACCCATGAGTTATTATGACTTTGTCTGAAATCTGGAGCTTTGCTCTACTATGTCAAATATGGGCTTATAAGCTCCACTATTAACTTTACTTGTGAATAAGGATGTAAGCCAAAATTTCACCCAAGATAATTCAATAAATTACTTATATTTTAAAAAGCTCCATCGTCACTGGTTTTAAGGAACTCTCCAAGTAACCATGTCAACGATTTGCTGTAAACAGCAAACAGATGTCATGAGAAAGCATAATACAATTCATCAGGAATTTGTAGTAACTTGCCACGCTGTAAGTTAAAGTGTATTCGATTGTACTATCTCTCCAAGTACTTTAATACTAAAAAAAAGTTTAAAACAAAACAGAAAGTTGAATATGGAAAAATGTTAAGTGGTTTAAACAGTATACTAGAGAATCTATTTCCTGCTACTTGGAAAAGTGATTATTGCTTCACTTACTCCCACAATTAACCTTTCATGGTCAAAATAATCTTCAAAGATACCTATCCAGAAATATTTTTGAAACTATGCAAATATCCCCTTCAAAGAGACTTGCTTACTTCTTTTCTTTTCCTTCCTTTCCATCCTTTTTCCTTTCTGCCTTTCCTTCCTTTCTTGATTCCTTTTTTTTCTTTTTGTCCCTAAAATTGTTACGCTACAAAATTTTGCTGCTTTCCTATTCTAGGATATCTATGGAACATGAACACTATATACACTCATAACACATCACACACACACATTATACACATAGACATATCAATCCCCACACTTATCCCCACACATAAGCACAAAGGCTCCCGACACACATGCACAGCATCTTCCACTGCATCTGGTACATGATTTCAGATTCTGCAGCTTCAGTTTCTAGGACTTTACTGCCTGCGATAGATACAGGTTTTGTGAAACCTGAGTTTAGACTATTTAGGGAGTCTTTTTTAAAGCCAGAGTCAGAAAGCTTAAATAATTGCAGTTAAAATGCCTTATAATTTTTCAGATTTTACAAAATCATATAGTCATAGGAATACATTACTAGAGCCCTCTCAGTGCCTTACAAGGGGCCTGTACAAGCAAGGGCCCTGAAGCTTATGCTTCATTTACCATTAAATAGTAAATCATTTACCATTAAATTTACCATTAAATACAATTACCCACTACCCAGGTGGGTGCCACACCCACCTGGAACCACTCCACAAATTGTCCTAAGCAATTGACACAGCCTCCAACCTTCACTTTGATAAACCTGGCCTCAAAGGACTATCAGGAAATCCTCACAAAAGCAAGCAGTAGAGAATCCAAATTTATGGCAGTGGACTTTCCCTCTGCTAAAATCCAGGGACTTAAAGAACAAGTAAGAGCCAGGTTTTAGATAAGGCCTCATTGCCCAAGAGGCAGACACACTACATTTCAAAACCAGTACAATGAAAATCCACATGCCTCTTTAGATTTTTAAATTTGTAAAAACAGAACCACACAGGACATCACTGGCAAGAAAACAACCCAGACTGTGTAGCAAAAAATGTTCTGCCTTTCCAGAATGTGTGAGGCCAAGCTGATCCGCAGGCGACAATCCAGGACCAGGTCCAGGCCTATAACCCTGACAGCTGGCTTTACCTATAACCCCGACAGCTGGCTTTACTGCCCACCCACAGACTTTGAATAGATATGCATGAAGATTCGGTGCACTGCCCTTCTTGGAAGAGGAATTAAAACGCACAGAGCCTCTTCCACTGTTTGACTCCACCTTTTAGCTTAAACACCCTGGGATTACCAACAAAGGAGCGCTCCCTTATCTCAGCCAGCACCGTGATTTTTACTTTTATTATTATTTCAGATGTCCTGTGTAAACCCAAGCCATTACTGGAGTAGTCACTTGTCATATTTATGACTTCTACTCACATTGTTCACAGCATTAATGTTAACCTTGTTTTCAGACAGCTTCTCCATAAGATCCAAATTATTGCTTTTAGCAGCATTCTGAAAGCTTCTCTCATTTGGCAGTACTGAAAGAAAGCAAGGCAAGCATGAACTAAGGGAATTTAAGGAGGCCAAAGAGAAAGCATATTTCATAGGGCAAACCTTGTAACAACAGCCTTGAAACAAAACAACAGCCTTGAGTCTTTCACATTTTGCTATTTTTATTTAGGACACAGAAACTTTGCTTCAATATCTTATAAAACTGTAGTATCAAGAGTCAATTTTCTCCTCATGCTGCAAGGGTTTTCACACCCTTAAAAATGTTCCTGGCCCCAAACAAAACATTATTCATGAGGACCACCCTGAAGTCAGTAATGTGGTATCTGGCTTAGAAGGTCAGAAGGCGGTAGACTTCCCAGGGGACATTGTTTGTAAAAAACCTTGTACAAGATTAGGCAGGGAGGAGTCCAAATGCTCCTACAGCTTACAGAGATAAAACTGTTGTTTTCAGAACTCTATACAGACGCCAGGCCTGCACGAAGAAAATTTCAAAATGCAGCCCATCACACATACAGACACAAAGGTAAAGGGGATGAAAATGTTTTATTCTCATTGATATAAAAACACGGAGAAGTGGATTGACATCTATTATAAACATCATATTTCACATACATATACACATTCATATGGTAGGCTTTATTAACTGTCATAGAGAAGATTCCAGGGTTTATTGAGTTTTTTTGTTATGTAGGGGAGTAGAGGGCTCTCAGAGGACAGCCCAACACGAAGGGATAAGACCAGAATTGAGGTTAAGTAGGAGTCAATAACAGATCATCTCCAAACAGAAAGGACCTGTAAGAGAGGTTTCTGTATGTGTGTTGCTGAATAGTTTCCTAAGAATTTGCTTGTTTTTAAATGATACCATCATGACATTCAATGTTTCCCAAGTTTTTGTTGAAGCAAAGACCCTTAAGGATACTGCCAAGTCCAATCAAGGACCAACCAAGGAGCATCTTCTTGGGAAATATTGTTACGGGCTGAATTGTGTCTCTTCAAAATTCCTATGTTGAACTCCTAACCCCAAGTACCTCAGAATGTTGACTATGTTTGGAGATAGGGCCTTTAAAGAGGTAATGAAGGTAAAATGAGGTCATATGAATGGGCTCCAATCTGATATGATTGGTGTCCCTAAAAGAAGAGAGATTAGGACGGACACACACACACATACACACACGGAAAACCAGGTGAAGGCAGGGAGAAGGTGACCATCCATAAGCCAAGGAGAGAGGCCTAAGAAGAATCCAACTTTTCCAACATCTTGATGTTGCACTTGTAGCCTCCAGAGCTGTGAGAAAATAAGCATCTGTGGTTTGAGCCATCCAGTCTGCTGTACTTTGTCATGGCAGCCTGAGCAGACACATACAGATTCACACGCTCATTCTTTCTGTTACCTGGATCCTTCTCTTCCTTCCTACCCCTACTCTTGTCACCATTCTAGGTGACTTCAATCTCCTCACATATGATTAATCCAACACCTTGGCCTCTTAGTTCCCTCTAATAATCTTCCGCAGATCTGACCTCAATCATCAAATTTCAGAGACACATTCTTGAATTAATCATCACTCAAACTGCACTACCTCTGAAATCTTGACTTCCAGAATCCTGTTCTTTGACCACAACTTCTCATCCGTTCAGCTCAGCTGCTCTAGTTCTCCAAGTCCAGAAATTCTGCAACCTTATGAAGTCCTCCAGTCCACAGTTCTAACCCTTTTTCATATTCTTCATTTCTGTGCCCTTACTTCCCTCCTTACCATGTTTAGATTCCATGGTGCCAGTTTGTTTTTGCTGCTGTAACAAACTACCTGACACTGAGTAATTTTTTTAAAAACAGAAATGTATTTCACACATTCAGACCATAGTATATGGTCCACCTATGAAATCACTTCTATGCAAACACCTCCCTCACCATTCTTTTCCTCCATTAGACTAGTTGGTCAGAATCCTAATTCTGAGATTAAATCCAACAGCTACTTGCTTTGTTTCTGTACCTGAACAGCTAAACGGTACTGGAGAAAAACATACAACCATGCTGTGGTAAACATTGCTAGTGTTCATCAATATCTGCTTCTTCTCTTCTACCTGGTCACATGTGTAAGCCCATATCCCAGCCTGGAGAGGTGTATCCAATGGACTGAAAGCAGAAGTGATGGCATGTCACTTTGGGGCTGAGTCAGTGAAAAGCCTGTGTCACCCTCTAGGTCTCTTTTCCCTGCCTTATCAACACTGGAAGCCATGTGTTTAAATGAAGGGGTCACAAGATGGTGGTACCTCCATCAACTTGGTATTGGGAGATAGTTCTCTCTGGGTCTCTCACATTTCTGCACATCTTACAAGCAAAAGCATTGACTGGCTTTGCTCTTTACTATCTTTTCAAGGATGTTTGTATAGTGAAAAGCCTTGACAAATAGAGATATTTTTCCTCTGGAGCAAAGGGCAGGTTTGCTTGCAGCCTTGGAAGAAAGCAATGGTAAGGCATGCTTACTGACTATTACAAACGATTTGGGTTCCCTAAGGGCAGGATTTTTCTGTAACACAACCCACTGTGTGTGCAGGTGTCATTTGGCATCTCTATATCTCCCTGTGGGAATTGGGGCTTGGAGAACTGACACAAATGCTAACACTCTGGCTACTGCTACTGCTGTGAGTAATGAAATCCATCATCTCTGATCCAAAAGTGTCTTCTGCCAGCATCTCTATCACCTAGTAAGCTAACTTGTGAGATTATAAGTAGGGTAAAATCTCAACCCCTTTATGATCCTTGACACCTGGGTTCCTGAGAGACCCTCGCCAACCTATTTTGGACATGCTACACGAGCAAGAAATAGATTTTTCTTTTGAAGACGGGGTCTTGTTACGTTTTCCAGGCTGGTCTTGAACTCCTGTCCTCAAGTGATCCTCTCACCTGGGCCTCCCAAAATGCTGGGATTATAGGTGTGAGCCACCACACCCAGCCAGAAATAGATTGTTTTTATGTCCAGTCACTCAGACGTAGGAGTCATTTATTGCTGCAGGAAAAGCTTACTTTGTCCTGATTGATACACATGCTAACAGGTCTCTTAAATTCTTCCCCACTAATCTCAGCACGACTAGCTAGCCTCTACATTTCCCTAGTCTTCCCTTCTTCAATATGTCATATCCTTTCCTTTCTCCTCAAATATCTGAATTTACTAATCTACCTAATTTACTTCCTCCCACTACCATCACCTAATTCTCAGTCAATAACGTTGCCTCATAGTGAAAACAGAAGTAGTAGGACACGAATTCCCACATCTTCCCACCTAGGTGCATCTACCAACCTACCTTCATTTGTATATACAGGATGAAGCATCCCTGTACCTAGGAAAGGCCAACCTCTACACCTGGGCTCTGGATCCCATCCCCTTTTTATCTTTTCAAGTGTTTCATATGTCAGTCTCTTGGAAATTATGTCTTCTTTCCTCTAGATCACTTAATCTCTCTCCAGTGGATCACTTCCTTCAAAAAATACGGAGATGCCATAATACCCTGAGTGTAAAAAACCTTCCTTTGACCCCAGCTTCCTTTCCAACTGCTGCTGCATTTTTCAACTTTCCATTACCCCAAACTTAAGTATTCTATAATTGCTGTCTCCATTTCTTCATCTCAATCTTGTCTCAACCCATGCTAATCAGACATCTTTCCCACCCCTCTACTGAAACTGCTCTTGTTGAGGTCACTCCGTCTTGCCAAAACCCAGTCATCATACCCTGTCAAGTGCATTGAGCTCTTGGCAACTGTGACACAGAGGAACACACACCCCTTGTAACATGTTCTTCTCTAGAGGTCTGGTAAGCCAACTGTTGCTTTCTAGTCTTTTCTACCAGCTCTTTTTCCTTTGCTTGATCTCCAACTATTGGAATGCCCCAGGGTTTATATAAAACAAATAACCTGTTGATGTAGGCATGATTCCTCCATCTTACAGATGAGGAAACTGAGATTTTCAAAAGTTATACCACTTGTTCATGCTTTATAAGTGATAGAATTGTCCTAGGCAGCCTGACTCCAACCACATCACCCTGTCTCATGGCCTTCACTGCACTTACCTTAAATTATCTTATTCATTTATTTGCTTACTTATTTTATTGTCTATCACCCCTCTACCACAACAGAATGTTCCACCAGAATAGGGGTTGTCTTGTTCTCTCCATCCTTACATCTAGAACATGCCTAGAAAATAGTTAAGCCCTTGAAAATATTTCCAGAATGACTGAATGAACACTATATTGAGGAACTGGTGTACAGCTTCCAAGCCTAATTTAGGAAATAAGGCCGTCCCAGCCAGTAGGCTTGGATGGTGTGCCCCGTTAAGAGACTTGAGTACTGGGCCGGGCGCGGTGGCTCAAGCCTGTAATCCCAGCACTTTGGGAGGCCGAGACGGGCGGATCACGAGGTCTCAGGAGATCGAGACCATCCTGGCTAACCCGGTGAAACCCCGTCTCTACTAAAAAATACAAAAAATTAGCCGGGCGAGGTGGTGGGCGCCTGTAGTCCCAGCTACTCGGGAGGCTGAGGCAGGAGAATGGCCTAAACCCGGGAGGCGGTGCTTGCACTGAGCTGAGATCTGGCCACTGCACTCCAGCCTGGGGACAGAGCGAGACTCCGTCTCAAAAAAAAAAAAAAAAAAAAAAAAGAGATTTGAGTACTGGGAAGGCTGAGGTGGGAGGATCACCTGAGCCTGAGGAGGTCTGTGATTGCACTACTACATTCCAGCATGTGCAACAGAGCAACAAGACCCTGCTTGCGGGGGCCCGGGGTCGGAGGCGGGTGGGGAGTGGAGGGTGCCGGGGAGAGACTTGACTCGCTTTCAGCTTTTGAACTGCTTAACAGCTGCCTTAGTTTATACTGCACATTATTCCCAAGGCATAGATGATCCACTCCGTGCTTTAAAACAAGTGCAGAAAGATAAGTGATTTATTTAAAGTCAGACAATAAATCGGCGCAGGAGTCACGATATAGGAGATAAGAGCACATGAAACTCTTATTTGCAAAAGGACTTAATCATTATTTTAAAAAGCCTCCTCCTTAATTCGGAAGAATAATACTGTCCTTCCACCCACAGTACATGGTGGGGGTGGATTCCAAAGCTGAAAACCAGCCAACAGGGGGTGCAGCGGTGAAGGCTGGGACTCGGGGTCCCAGGGCGGAGTCGCCGCGCCAGTTTCACTCCCGCAGCTTCCGGAGGCGCTGCACTGGGTATCTTTTTAAGTCCCTTCGACCCAGCCCACCCCGCAACCTGATTTTCTGAGACCTCGTTCTGGGACTCACGGAGCTCGTGTCCGGCAACTGCCGTGTCCTCCTCTCCAAGCCCCTTCCGCTTCGGGATCCGGGACAGGGCCCTCCAAGGCAGGGCGTTCGCGCCCCTCAGGTCCTCCCTGAGACCCTTGGCGGTAGCAGCCGCCCTGAGCAGCAGCCCCCCTACCGTGGCCCCGTGGCCCCGGGCGCGCCCGGCGAGGTCCATGGTCGCCTCCGCGGACCCGGAGCGCAGGGCCAGACCCAGACCCAGATCCAGACAGGCCCAGGGCGCGAGGCTGGACGCTGGCAGGTCAGCCCCGCAGGAGCGCAGACCGCTCTCTGTTGTGGCGGTTCGCTGGGCAACAAGCCCCTGGTTTTCCAGCCCTGCCCTGACTTGGGCCGGCCTGGGAGAATCCGCCCTCAGGTGTGGCGTGCACTGTGCTTAAGGTTTGGTCCTCCGGGAAATAAAACATCCTGCGAAATCTACAAGCCCCAGTGAACTCCCACTTCTACTCTACCACTTCTTTGTACAATTTTAAGAAATGTCAAGGTTGAATTTATAACCAACACTATAGGAACTTCAATATTAAATGATTTCTAAATGGGCTTCCAACATTTTCTTTTGAATAAAGACAGACTTGATTTCTCATTTGAAGACCACGCAATTATAATCTCTCCTGGCGGATTCTTTTGAAAAGTGAAATAATACAGAAGCAAGTCAAATTCTGACCCCCCAAATAAACTTCAAATAAGAAAGGTAATCAGGTTTTCATTTATTTTTTATTCTTCTTACAAATTTACAAAAGATGTATCATTTTAATGTAAATTATGTAATATCAATTTCATTTCAAACTTGTCAGCTTTTTCCTTCAAATTATTGTGCACTCAATTTGAGGCACTGAATTCAAAACAATGTTTCCTTATCAATGAAAACAAATGACAAAATATTATTTACCAGAACACCACCCGTAACCTCACTTTCCTTTTTTAAAAAAGGGAAATGGACCTCATGTTTGTAATAGCGATATGATAAAAACAACAGCAGATAAGTTGAGTATTATGCAGAAATATCAGACAATGTACTAATATGGAAAGTATAATATGTAAATGGAAAAACAGGGCACAAATTGTATGTGTATGTGGCATGTTTACAAGTAAAATTCTAAAAATCAGAAGAAAATACCCACACAAAAAAAGGAATAATAGTGAAAACAGCAGCAGATCAATGGAAAGCATACAGTCAAGTACAGAAAGATCTCCCAATCTGGGCAACAAAGTGAGAACCCCTGTCTACAAAAATTAGCCAGGCATGGTGGTGCATGCCTGCAGTCCCAGCTACTTGGGAGGCTGAGGTGGGAGGATGGCCTGGGAGGCAGAGGTTGCAATGAGCCAAGATTGTGCCACTGTGTGCCAGTCTGTGTGATAGAGCCAGACCCTATCTCAAAAAATAAATAAAAGAAGAAGAAGAAGAAAAAAAAAAGATCTGAATTGTGTTATCCAAGTTTGAAACTGCTTTCAAATTCTAAACCAAGAAATTGACTTTTTAAAAAATCTTCTTATCGATGACCGGAGAAAATGCATCATCATTTTATGCTATATAGCCTTATAATAGTATGTGGTACTTATCTTACTCTACCAGATGAGACAAAAACTCCAAAGCAGTGCATTATGTGAAACTCAGCCATAGCTGGACTTTACTTCCCTGAGAGCTTGGGCTAAATGAGAAGTTATGAAGTATACTGTAGGAGGTATTTTCTTTTTCACTCTGTTTCAAATATCAGGTTACTTCTCAAGCAGAATATTAATTCTAAGTGTGCTAATACATAAAAGCTTGCCCACATGATCTGGCCCTACTCATCTCTCTAATCTTGGGCCCTACAATTCTTCTCCATTCTTCATCCAGTGTTTCCTGGTGGAGAGCCATCCAGCTTTTATTTCCTCCCTTTGCCTAGAACCTCTCTCCCCCACCTTCACTTCCAAATTTTTTAAATAGTTTTGATCCTTTGTATCAGTAAGGTTTCAGGTTAAATGTCACTTCCTCAGAGGAGCCTTCTCGGATCATCTTATTCTAAAAGTGTCCCCTACCTTCATGTTCCATTCTCTTATGCTGTTGTCACTTTCCTTTGTAGCACTTACCACTGAAATGTCTGTATTTGTTTAGTGTCTGTTTCCACAACCAGAAGGTAAACTTCATGAATACAGTGATTTTTAAAAGTCTGTTGGGCCAGGTGTGGTGGCCCATGCCTATAATCCCAGCAATTTGAGAGGCTGAAGTGGAGGATGGCTTGAGGCCAGGAGTTTGAGGCCAACCTGGGCAACTTAGTGAGACTCCGGTCTCCACAAATAATTTAAAAATTAGCTGCTGCTGGTGGTGCACACCTGTAGTCTTAGCTACTTGGGAAGCTGAGATGGGAGTATGGCCTGAACCAAGGAGGTCAAGGCTGCAGCAAGCTGTTATCATGTCACTATATTCCAACCTGTGTGACAGAGCAAGACTCTGTCTCAAAAAAAAAAAAAAAAAAAAAAAAGTTTCCTACTGCATCTCCAACAGCTACCCAACCTGCAATAAGTATTTGTCAAATAAACATGGAATGCAATTTAGCCATGTGAGCAGTAACTTGTCTTTGAGTCGTTAAAGCTTTAGTTTTTTCCCTAAAAGAAGGTCTAGACTAAAAAAATATGTTCAATTCTGAAGTAAACCTTTAAAACCAGATCCTGTTCAAGGATTCCATATTTTTAAAAACATCTTCCTAGATTTCTCTTTGCCCTCCTCTACCAGATGATTTCTCCCTAGACTCCCACTTTGTATATTCACCTATTATAGCCCTCCCTACATTGAACAGAAACTGTCCCTGGAGTGGCTGTCCATTTTTTGAGGACAAACATGTCTTAATAATCTTTATATCCTTTATCCGCTAGGATTCAGCTATAAATAATAGGAAAACCCAAGTAACTATGGCTTAAACAGTTTTTTTATTTGCTTCTTGTGAAAGTCTCAAAGTGTGCAGGCCAGTGCTGATATGTCTCTGTTTTACAACGCCCCCAGGAATCAGCCTCTGCAGCCCACTACTCCACTATCCCCATGTGCAGCCCTTATGTTTAGGTGTAAACGGCAGCATCTGCTTCCAGGCAGCAGGATGGAACAGAGAAATAGAAAGAAGAGGCAAAGAGAATGCTACAGCTGCAAGAAGGGAAGTTTCCCAAAAGCAACCACACATAGTACTTTTTTTTTTTTTTTTTTTGAGACAAGGTCCTCATCTAGCTTTGTCACCCAGGTTGGAGTGCAGTGGTGCAATCTCAGCTCACTGCAACCTCTGCCTCCTGGGTTCAAGCGATTCTTTTGCCTCAGCCTCCTGAGTAGCTGGGATCACAAGCGTGCCACCATGCCCAGCCACTTTTTGTATTTTTAGTAGAGACAGGGTTTTACCATCTTGGCCAGGCTGGTCTGGAACTCCTGACCTCAGGTGATCCACGTGCCTCAGCCTCCCAAAGTGCTGAGATTACAGGTGTGAGACACCGCACCCAGCCAGTACTTCCTTTTATATACCATTAGTCAAAACTCAGTCATATGGCTACCCCTAGCTGGGAGGGTGTGAGCTGCAAGGATGGGAGATATATTGTAGTCATCAATTCTGTAACCTCTATTTTTCACACTATCACATATTTTTAATTGAGATACTAAATTGTCCGCCTGAATTGAAGTTGAGTTCTTCCAGAAAGGATTTGCATATGCTTCTGCCAGTCACTAGGGACAATACTAACCTCACTTTAATTACATTTTCTGCTTGAGCTCTTCAGGATGATACCATTTGTGTGAATTCAGATTACAAGCCTACATGTGTGCTGGTTTGTGATTCAAATTCTCACTGGCAGTCCCTCCTTCCAACCAGTGCCAAGGTTGAGCAGGCAAGTTGCTTTGCTCCCTCTTTCTTCATGGAGGATTTCTCCTTTATCCTTGCTCTGAAGGTATAAACCTTGGTGTCCCATATTTATGCACTGGTAACCTATTAGACTCCCTATCTTAGGTATTATTTCTTAGTGGTTTATAAAGAATTGATGAAATACAGTAGTCTATTCTGGGTGATCATGTGCCAAGCTACAATTCTAATAATATGGCAGAAAAGTAGAATGTTGAAAGACAATCAGGATCTCTGCCCAGAATTGCTAGCAAAATCCAAAAAACCTTGGCATATCTCACACTTGTGGATGGTTTCAGAGATCACATTTGATGTTTAGCATATTCTAAGAGGAAAAAACTTTTGAGCCTTCATAAAAGAGAACTAGATTTTATCCTAGAGCTGACCCAACCTTTTTTTTCTCTTTTTGTCTCTCTCTCTCTCACTCTCTCCACAGACACCCAAGAACATGAGCGATATTAGGAAAGTATTGTATATAAAAATGCACAAGATGATCTAGAGCAGGGAAAGCAACTGGTGAAAGCTAAGCAGTGAGTTAGACAGCCAGATATTAGACAACTGATAAGAACCTGATAAAAGACATGGAAAGAAGTGTTTTCAAAGAGGCCCAACAAGAGTAGACGGAACTCAATGATAGGTCTTTGGTTGGCAGAGGTTGTGTGTGTGTGTGTGTGTGTGTGTGTGTGTGTATAGGAAAGAGTCCTCTACACTTTAGAGACAGGTTAGAAGGGTTAGTACCATTTGTCTCTGAATTATCTTTAATTTCCCTGAGCATTCTGTAGACAGCAGCAGTTACAAAGTAACACTATCACAATTGCCTCATACTGGTAAGGGGAACAGTTCAATATTATGGTTTGCTTAATAAATGGAATCATGTTTCCAATAGTCACCATAATGTCATTGGAGTTTTTCTTAACAACCTAATTCAGTTATGTATTACAAAGCAAAAGCGATTAGTCCTTAATTATACAATGAAAAAACAGTTTTTTCTCCAGGGAAATAAACATCACCTCTCTGTGAAGTTTACTAAAATCCTACCAACACAAAGTGTGTTCAAATATATCACTGCTTTTCTTTTTTTTTTTTTTTTTTTGAGACGGAGTCTTTGCTCTGTCGCCCAGGCTGGAGTGCAGTGGCACGAACTCGGCTTGCTACAAGCTCCGCCTCCCGGGTTTACGCCATTCTCCTGCCTCAGCCTCCCAAGTAGCTGGGACTACAGGCGCCCGCCACCTCGCCCGGCTATTTTTTTGTATTTTTTAGTAGAGACGGGGTTTCACCGTGTTCGCCAGGATGGTCTCGATCTCCTGACCTTGTGATCCGCCCGTCTCGGCCTCCCAAAGTGCTGGGATTACAGGCGTGAGCCACCGCGCCCGGCCATCACTGCTTTTCAAAATGGAACATTACGTCAAAGAAAATTCAGTACCAGGGCCAGGCATGGTGGCTCAGAGCTTTGGGAGGCTGAGGAAGGAGGACTGCTTGAAGCCAGGAGTTCAAGACCAATCTAGGCCACATAGCAAGATCCTATCTCAACAAAAATTACAAAAACTTAGCTGGGCATCATGGCACCAGCCTGTAGTCCCAGCTACTCAGGAAGCTGAGATGAGAGGATCTCAAGCCTGAGAGTTCCAGGCTGCAGTGAGTTATGATCATGACACTGCATTCCAGCCTGGGTGACGGTCAGACCTTGTCTCTAAAAACAACAGTTCAGCACCAGGTACACCAGGTATGATTTTTTAAATGAAATATTTCCTAAAAAAACAGTTTTATTAGCCCCAGGTTAATAGTCGTATTTTAAGTCTTCTTGCAAATACTTCCAAGCCACTCCAAAAGGACACAGTATAATAATAAAACATGTATAAAGCAAGCCATTATCTAATAAAGGTAAATAAATGCAATTGTCTCTTTCTGGAACGCCCACTCTTTAGGACCTAGTGTGAGTGCAGCCACTTAGCCACCATTCTGTCTTCCCAGAGAAAAACAATAAGATAGTAGTAAACACTCTTGGACACATACTATTTATTCATTTACATGTCAACAAATGACTCTCCGTATCTACTGTGTGCCAGGCCATACACTTCATACTTGGAATTCAGAGATAAGTGAAAGTCCAGGATCTCTTGGGGCCTACAATCTGGTAGGGAGAAACCAACATTGGGGGCCATGCAAAGAATGTTTCAGGATCTTTGTAGAGAAACAGCAGCACAAAATAGTGACTGATCAGTTTTTCCAGAGGGCAAGGAACCATTTTCTGAAGGTGGCCCCTGAGCTGAGTTGAAAGACGAGTGACTATGTAGGTGGGAGATAAAAAAGGGGCATTCAGGAAGCATATTCTGGACAGAGGGAGCAATGGAGCACAGATGGCAGAAAGGAGAAACAGCTTGGTCTGTTCAGGAAACCCTGAATGCCGAGCCAGTGTTTAGAGTGCATCATGGACAGTGATATATAGGAGCTGGCTTGTACTGGCTTGCAAGAGCTGTTAAAGTTTCAGGAATTTTGTGAACTGGTTGACATCACATAACTTGAAATCTGTCATGGTGGGAGTATTTACACCACAGAAATAATCATACACTAAAAATCACTCCCTTTTCCTACTCATTCCACTGCTAATCTTGGAGACAGTTGAGAGCTTTTGAAAATTGCTTTGTTTTTCTGACATGCTATTATGGGAACGCTGTTTATGGCTAATCTGTAAAAAAATGCGTGAGATGGTTTACAGCAAGGAAAACTGACACATCAGTTGGAAAGTCAGAGTTTAGACAACTGATAAGGGCTTGACAAAAGAGATGGAAAGAAATGGATATTTTCAAGAGGCCCCACAAGAGTAGATAGAATTCAGTAACAGGTATAGGGTTGGCAGAGGTAGCAGTGGATACAGGGGGGATGAGTTAAAAGGTAAGGAGTAGTAAATAAATACATTTGTTAATGAGGGCAGAAAAAATATCTCCTATTCATTGCTACATCTCTCTTGCCTTTAACTTACAGCCTTCTTACATAAATGCCTATAACCACTGTCTACATTTTCTTAGCACAAAGTTCCTTCTTAAATTCTGTTATATGGCTTCCATTACCCACGGTGATGCTGAAACTTCTTACTCTAGGTCACTTCTTCAGAGGGGACATTGACCTTGCGGATATCGCAATTCCCATGCTAACTTTAAAATAAAGCACTTCTGGTGGAGTGAATTAATTGATAAATACTTCTTATAATGTTACTTGTCCTACTATCACATAAGATTGAGGAAAGGTGTATAGCTCTATATTACAGGGACAATGTAAAGACTGATATTTAAAAAGAGACTTTTGAACTACATTGAAGAGAGGATTATACACATGCAAAGAAATTATGTCATTTGTTGTTTTATACTCTAATATGCATACATTCCAAACGCATAGCCCATCCTCCTTGAGACCTCCTAAACATGTTATGAATTTGAAGTGTCTCTGCATTATTCAAGTGAGGCAGGAAAAAGTTACTCTAAGTGATCTTTCTTTTTTTTTTTTTTTCTTTTTTGAGACGGAGTCTCGCTCTGTCGCCCAGGCTGGAGTGCAGTGGCCGGATCTCAGCTCACTGCAAGCTCCACCTCCCAGGTTTACACCATTCTCCTGCCTCAGCCTCCCAAGTAGCTGGGACTATAGGCGCCTGCCACCTCGCCCGGCTAGTTTTTTGTATTTTTTAGTAGAGACGGGGTTTCATCGTGTTAGCCAGGATGGTCTCGATCTCCTGACCTTGTGATCCGCCCGTCTCAGCCTCCCAAAGTGCTGGGATTACAGGCTTGAGCCACCGCGCCCGGCCGATCTTTCTTTTTTATATTTTATTTGAATACAATTCTAATAATTCGACATTTATGCAGTAAAGGGTTAACCCAGCAGCCTCAGGTTACTCAAGCCCTGCACTTTTCAAAGAGAGGTGTCTTCAGGTACTGGCCCTTCCTTAACTAGCTCCTGGGAAATGACCTGAGCCCTTGGAATTTCCAGTTTGATAATAGTGTTCTAGTATGCCTGAGGCCTTGGGCTGCATTTTGTTAGTTTGATGAGATAGTTTATGCTAACAGTATGACTCATGGTGAATGTCTGTTTTTGAATGGCTGAAGCCCTGGGCCATGAGGTATCACTACACCTCTGGGGTCTTGAGACTTAATAGGTAAGGTCAGTCACATGTGTGATGCATGTCTGTGTGATTGACTTCCAGTAAAAACCTTGGACACCAAGGATTGGTTGAGCTTCCCTGGTTGGCAATATTTTACACATGCTGTCACACATTTCTGGGAGAATTAAGCATGTCCCCATGTGACTCAACGAGGAAGAGGCACCAGGAAACTTGTGACTGAACTGATAAAGAAATAGGGTACTACAAATAACAAAGCCTAATATAACGAATTGACTTAGGGTTGGAGAGAAGACTTCAGGGAGTCAGGACACAAATATCACAGACGGGAAAACTGGTGACTTGTTTGGTGGTGTATTACGGTTCTCCAGAGGGGCAGAACTAATAAGACAGATGTATATATGAAGGGGAGTTTCTTAGGAAAATTGACTCACACAATCACAAGGTGAAGTCCCATACAGGCTGTTTGCAAGCTGAGGAGCCAGGAAGCCAGTCTGAGTTCCAAAACTTCAAAAGTAGAGAAGCAGACAGTGCAGCCCTTCAGTCTGTGGCTGAAAGCCTCATAGTCCCTGGCAAGTCCAAGAGTCCAAAAGCTGAAGAACTTGGAGTGTGATGTTCCAGGGCAGAAAACATGCAGCACAGGAGAAAGATGGAGGCCAGAAGACTTAGCCAGTGTAGTCCTTCCACGTTCCTCTGCCTGCTTTTATCCTAGGTATGCTGGCAGCTGATTAGACGAGTGCCCAACTAGACTGAGGGTGGATCTGTCTCTTGAGCCCACCGACTCAAATGTTAATCTTCTTTGGCAATACCCTCATAGACACACCCAGGACAATATTTTGCATTATTTAATCCAATCAAGTTGACACTCAATATTAACCATCACAAGCGGTAACAAAATATTTGGTCAAACTGTCTACAGCTATCTTTGGAAAGAAGACCAAATGCTGATTGAGGCGGTAGCCTTAGGGGAAATGCTAGGAGAAAAATTAAAAATTTGGCATGGGATGGCTCTTTCTTGCTGTGTTCAGCAAGGTCCTGGAAGAAAGAAATGTATTTTTTTCTCAACTGAAACTAGCTTGCAGAGATGGAGGAAAATATCATCTTGTTAATGAAAACACTTGCTTTTCTTTACAGTTTTATCACCCTTAAAACAATATGGTTGTTCAGTTTTTACTGTTTTAAACTTTATACAAATGGAATCATGTTGATGGCATCCCTCTGTGATTCGCTTCTTTTGCTCTATGCTATGTCTGTGATATTCACCTATGTTGTGGTTAGCTATTTCCTTCATTTTCACCATTGTGTAGAATTCTATTGTTTCAACACAAATGCCATGGTAGAATTTAACCATTCTACCATTGCTGAATAATTGGTTCATTTCTAACTTTTGGATATTGCAGTGCTGCTATGAACACTAAAAAATTTTTTTCTAGGCCACCTTCCTGACTGGGCAGAACTTTCTTGTACATGCTTTCTAGGATACATGTTCAGTAGTTTTCCCAAGGCATTGTATTAGTTAGGGTCCTGACAGGAAAAAAAATAACTGTAATGAAAGACAGCCTGCAAAGATGTATACTTCAGAGTGCAATTGCTGGGTTTTGAGCACATTTATCTTTAAATTTACTGAAGGACAAATTTTTCCACAGTGATTGTTTTCAATGTAAGAGCTGACATCATCACCAAAATTTAGTATCATTAGATCATTTCATTTTTGTAAATAAGGTAGAGATGTAATGATACCTCCCTGTAGTTTTATTTTTTACTTCCCAAATATTAATATGGCTGGGAATATTTTCATGTTTCTTGGTCATCTGGATTTCCTTTCATTTGAAATGCCATATAAAGTCTTTAGTACAAATTTCTATTGACTGTCTTTTTCTTACTGATTAATAGGGATCATTTATATATTCTGGACACTAGTTTTTCACCAGTTATATATATTGCAAATATGGTGGTTCTTTATATTAGGTTTATATTAGGTTCACTAAGTAGGTAAAATTATGCATGCTTATTACCAGTCCTTGTAGTTTTGCTGTATTTTCTTCAAATGCCCCAAATCAAAATTATAATAAAAAGAAAATGGGTTGGATATAATAGACAAAACAGGTAGTAACGAATGTGAAGAAAATTCTGGGCAGAGAAAAAAAAATGAAGGCATAAGAGGGAGGAAGAGTGGAAAAGTAAGAAAACCATCTCTATTAGATCTATAAAAGTTTTAAATTTGATTTCAAATGATTATTAAATATTACTAAATGATTAACATTCAACTAAATAAATCCTTAAATGAAAATAATTTAGCATTTAATATAATATTGAAGATAATAAAAATAAACTTAAGGCAAGACAGAAAATAATTCAATATGGTATTATTTACCTTTCAGTGCATTAAATATTTCATTGAACTTAAATTTGTACAGAATTTACATAAGTAAATCACATGATCAAGAACCATAACACTACAACTTTGTATTTGCCACAGTGTATAATAACATCAGTCATGGGATTGGATTGGCATGCTAACAGGCATTAAGCCTAATTTAAACAATCTAGTAATTAAAAGTCCAGTTACCACTTTGCCAAAGTCTGTGAGTTCTTAATTAAGCTATTCCTAAAATATTATAATATATAAAATATATATTTAGATCATAAGCTAAAATATGAAAAGCAAGAGGAGAGAAAACAAAAATATAAGAGAACAAAAGATTTAGCTCCTTAAAGAAGTAACAGAAAATGGCTTCCAACTTCATGTTACAATTAAATAGTAATAATAACTATTACTATATTATTGAGACAGGGTCTCGCTCTTCATCCAGGCTGGAGTGTAGTGGCAAGATCTTGGCTGACTGCAGCCTCGACCTCCCAGGTTCAAGAGGTTCTCCTGCCTCAGCCATCTGAGTAGCTGGGATTACAGGCATGTGCCACCAAGCCTGGCTAATTTTTTTTTTTTTTTTTTCGTTTTAGTAGAGACAGGGTCTTATTATGTTGGCCAGGCTGGTCTCAAACTCCTGACCTCAAGTGATCTGCCCACCTCAGCCTCCCAAAGTGCTGTCCTTACAGGTATGAGCCATTGTGCCTGGCCTAAATAATTATTTTTTGAGAAGAACTCATAGATAGCACAAAAGTATTTGGAGAAACTACTTAAGCTAACTACTATTAAGCTCTCTTCTTTCACAAATATTAATAAAAATGTTGATAGAAATGTAACTAAGATATGTAATGTGTTTTAATACACATTAATCTTTTGAATTACACATTTTCTCTTGAAGATTATTTAAAAATGACTGTACAATTCATCCTTCTTTATAGATTTGTGGAGAGTACCAACATAATTGACAAGAAATGAAATACTGCCATTTAAAAGTCCTGTATTAAAATAAAACTACTTTGAATCATCTTAGACTAAATATTTTAAAAAGTGATTCAAGTGCTTATTCATAAGATAACGGAATTCTAAATAAGAAAAGTCAGATTAAAAATTATATTTTAGGCAAAAACCATTTTAACACAGATAATAACTGTGATATTTATTTTCCTGAAGAAAACCACTTGTACTAGTTATGTTAATACTCTTCACAGAACTTAAGATAAATTTTAATTATGAATGCTCATGAAGTATTTAGATACTAGGATCAATGCCAACAAAGCAGTTAAGTGCTGAAAAATTCTTATAATATAGGTTTGTGTAAATCTTTGAGAGTCCTTACCAATATGTTTTTATATTCAGTATAAAAATAATAAAAAAACACCACCTTATCTCATTCCTAATTTTCCTTTTAAAAATTATCTCATAACAGGATTAATTTCCAATTGATGTATAATGGAAGTAAAATTCTCATGGTTATAAAAAAGATATACGGAATCAGTATATATATATCTTAGAAAAGTAAACATCATCTGAGGAAGGATTATTGCACTTGCCTTCACTAAATAAATCTGCAAACTTAAAATCAGAAAGAACAAATTCACTGATTATAAAATAACAAGTTTCAATTTAAAATTAATGATGAAATGTTCAATGTTTACTTAAAAAATATATCAAGGGTATGTTTGGGATTGTTTGGTTTTATTTTCTTTGATGAGTACTTTGTCATCAATCCTGGCCTAGAATTAAAAGGAACACACAATTAAAATGCAGGAAGAGATTCTAGAAAATAATTCATTTCTAATATTGATTACTTAATAATTTATAAAATGATTGAATTTTCATATTGTAGCCAGCTTTATTAAAGCTCAAATTAGCCATACCTTTTTGTTTTTGTTACAGCCTTCTGTACTCCACTTGAGCTACCTTTAGAGGAAAGAAAAGTCAAGAAATTCCATAATGAATAATATGAAATAATTAAAAAGTTGTACAAAAATTTAAAAAGTTAAAACTTATTGATTAAAGATAATAACTTCCGTGGTACTATATAGTTCATATGGAAACACACCAAAAACTATAATTTCTTTGTAATTTACTAATTTTATTAGCATTACACTTAATTTTATTGGTGAAATTTGGGTAGAGTCAGCACTACCAAAAAATAAGTTAAAGAGGCTTTCTGGTTATGTAGTTATAGTTAATTTACCACTGTGTCTTCGCAGATACTCTCTGACGGAATTTCTTTTTTGATTAGATCACTCAGCTCCTTAAACCTTTGAGTTCATTCTGTGCTAAATCAAGATCAAACCAAAGTTTTCCCCAAATTCACAATCTATAGGCTTGAGTTAATTCTAACCTATGGCAAGGTAACCAACATTTCCCTAAATGGTGGCATACACAAACTACCCATTTAATAGTATATGTTTCAGATTTAACAATCTCATTAATTTTAATAAAACATATTCCTAGAAAATCATGCAGTTTAAAATGACTACACACTCACCTGTACTTCTGGAGCTTTCTTTGGGTTGATTAACTCGGTTAACTTTGTCATTTCTTAATTCTTGGATAAAACTTTTATTTAAGCAAACATCCACATGCACATTGAATAGGGTTAGATCTGAAGTCTTTTGTTCTACATTACAAACAGGACAAACTAGAGCTTGGCCTGTTATCACTTCACATAAGTAAGGCTGGCAGGATTCTTGTCTGCTTAATAATCCAACATCTTCTTTTTCCAACGAAATAGTGCAAGAAGAATTCTGATGACAGTGTTCAATATTAAAAGACTTGCCTGGGAGATTAGAACATTCTTCCTTGATATGCTTATTACTTAAAGCATCTATGCTTTCTGCTTTAGATGAGTTATCTATAGTATCTACTAAAGCTACACAATCTACTGAAGACACTTCTTTAATTTTTGGATGGGCTTCATAATCTTGCTTCTCACAAAGTGAAGAAGCAGGAACATTTTCTTTCTTGTTAACTGTGGTAGCAGAAACATGTGAACACGAGAACACTTCAGAGTTTTCACTGATTGAAGATCCATCAAGACATGCATCTACATGTTTATTAAAGGCTTCCAGACTGATGCACCCTTGTGCCCTAAAGCAAACAGGACAGGTAAATATCTGACAGTTATCTGAATTCTCTGATATTTCCAAATTCTCACTCATCTTCTTCTTTAAAACTTGGAATGGTTGTGATGTCTGGAAACTTTGTTTATTCACGGTTTCACATTTAAATGTATCTTGGTGACTCCATTTCCTTTCTGATCGTTTTTTATCAAAGAAACTCTTCTTATGAGACATTTCTAGAGGTTTTACAAACTGATCTTTGTCCGTTTTCTCTAGTATACACCCAGTGGCTGACAGGGCTTGGTTTCCAGCCTGTAAAAAGCCAATAATGCTCCTTTGTTGATGTTTCCTGTCTTCTTCATTGGGAAAACTAGATATCCGAACACCTAAATTAAACCAATCACAATCAATTTCATGTTGAACAAAGCCAATTCACTCACAATGCATAAAAACATTTTGTCTAGTGCTATGACATATGCAAAAGGTTGGCTAGAGAGAAAAAATAAGTGACATTTCAAAGCTGTTATTATAAGTACAAATTTACCTTCCTTTATAAAAGAATATCATTAAATATTAACTATCTATTTGGAGTTAGCATAATGATGTAGGATTTTAATTCATATATGACACATACCATTACATTAATACCAGTAACTAACCGGAGTCAACTATACAGACTCTTTAGCTCTTTTTTTTCTAATAAACTTTATTTTTTAGAGAAATTTTAGGTTCACAGCAAAGTTGAGCAGAAGGTACAATGAGTTCCCACAGATTCCCTTCCCCTACACAAGCATACCCCTCCACCCCAACTATCAACATGTGGCACTAGAGTGGTACATTTGTTACAATCTATAAACCTACATTGCCACAACATTGTCACTTAAAGTCCATAGCTTACATAGGGTTCACCCTTGGAATACATTCTGTGTGCCTGGACAAATTTATAATGACGTGTCATTATAGAATCATACAGAATCATTTCATTGCCCTAAAATTCCTGTGTTTTTGCCTATTCATCCCTTCTTCTCCTCTTAACTCCTGACAATCAATTATTTTTTATGGTACTCATATTTGCCTTTTCCAGAATCTCATATGGTTGGAATCATACAGTATTTAGTTTTTTCAGATTGGCTTCTTTTACTTAACATTATGCAGTTAAGTTTCATTCATGTCTTTTCATGAATTGATAATTCACTTCTTTTCTGTGCTGAATATTATTCCACTGTCTGTATGTACCACAGTTTATTTATCCATTCATGTACCGAAGGACATCTTGCTTGTTTGAAAGTTTTGGCAATTATGAATTAAGCTTCTATAGATATCTGCTCTTGGCCTTTTTTTTTTTTTTTTTTTTTTTTTTTGAGGTAGAGTTTCACTCTTGTTGCCCAGGCTGGAGTGCAATGGTGTGATCTCAGCTCACTGCAACCTCCACTTCCCAGGTTCAAGTGATTCTCCTGCCTCTGCCTCTCGAGCAGCTGGGATTACAGGTGCCCACCACCGTGTCCAGCTAATTTTTTGTAGTTTTAGTAGAGATGGGGTTTCACTATGTTGGCCAAGCTGGTCTCAAACTCCTGACCTCAGGCGATCCACCTGCTTTGGCCTCCCAAAGTGTTGGGATTACAGGTGTGAGACACCACGCCTGGCCTGGCTCTTTTAATTAACACTTTATTCAGTAGATTTCAGTGTGTGCTGTATCTTTCATAAATTAAAGTATGGCTAGTGACCCACTCCTTACTAGTAAAATGTGCATTTGGAGTGCTGATCCATATACATACTTTCAACCAGTTCACTTTGGAAACATGGCTTGTTAGTTTTTACCATGTAATGGCTTGGAGATGTGATTTCACAATGTCACAATCCTTTATCTGTAATTCCAAAATCCAAAAAGTTCTGAAAATTGTAAGCAACAAGTGATACCTGATGACTAAATTAAAGTCATCAGTCTTTACAGTCTCTGAATATTTTGTTTTGCTATAGAAATATTAATATGTTTGAATAGGGGGTGTTGCCCCAGATCCACAAAGAAGTATTACAACATAATATACTCTACATGCACTGAATTTGCTTTCCAAAATGTGAAAAGTTTTGAATTTTGAAAGATACCTGGCCACAAGAATTTCATTAAGTTATGAGGAAAAGAACAACTTTAATTGGCTCTTACTGGAATTAAACTAATGATCATGGCTTCACACATCAGGGTCTAATAATTAAGATAAATGGCAGCAGCAAAGGAAGAACTTCCTAAACAGGTTTAAGAAATAAAATGAAGGTGAGAATACAGGTGCTCATTGACTTACAATAGGATTGTATCCAGATAAACCCACTGTAAATTGAAAACATAATAAGTCAACTTACAATACTTTCAATTTATGACAGGTTTATCGGGATGTAACCGCACTGTAAGTCAAGAGTGTACTGAAAGCACACAACTTTCCCACCATCGCGAAGTTGAAAAATCATTAACTTGAACCATTGTTAAGTTGGGGGCCCCCTGTATTCCCAAAGTTAATTATTTGGGAAAACCTAGCAGATTTAAGGAAAAACAAAAAAATAAAAAAGTCATACCCATAAGTCTTAATCTCAAGGGATGTGGAAAATCAGCATCAATTTCTGTTTTTAGCAATTCCTTAGCAATGGCAAATATTTCTTCTGCAGTAGAAACAACAGATGAAACTGTAGATGCACGAGTTTTTACTTCAAAATTCACATTCTTCAACTTAATGGTAACAGTTCTACCCTATAACACATACAATATGTTATTCATTTATTTATGAGACAGAGTCTCTCTCTGTTGTCCATGCTGGAGTACGCTGGCACAGCTGTAGCTCACTGCAGCCTTCAACTTCTGGGCTCAAGTGATCCTCTTGCCTCAGCCTCCTGAGTAGCTAAGATTACAAGTGCATGTCACTACACCAGCTAATTTTTTATTTTTTGTAGAGATGGAGTCTCACTACGTTACCTAGGCTAGTCTCAAATTCCTGGCCTCAAGCGATCCTGGCCTTGCAAAGTGTTGCGATTATAGGCATGAGCTACTGCATCCACCAGAATACATTATTCTGTATGACTTCCTAACTTCTAGAAAAAAGTCATTTACATGTTAGAAAAATTCAGAAAGGTTTACGGACATAAGATTATGGAAGTATAACCAATTATTTATAAAACATGGTGATAAAAATACCACAAAGAATAAGAGGCCTGGCGTGGTGGCTCGTGCCTGTAATCCCAGCACTTTGGGAGGCCGAGGCGGGCGGATCACGAGGTCAGGAGTTCAAGACCAGCCTGGCCAATATGGTGAAACCTTGTCTCTACTAAAAATACAAAAATTAGCTGGGCATGACGGCAGGCGCCTTTAATCCCAGTGACTGGGGAGACTGAGGCAGGAGAACAGTTTGAAGCTGGGAGTCGGAGGATGCATTGAGCTGAGATCATACCATTGCACTGCAGCCTGGGTGACGGGGCAAGACTCCACCTCAAAAAAAAAAAAAAAAAAAAAAAAAAAAAAAATTAAAATACCATTTTAGCCAAAAACTTTTACTCCCCTTTCCAAACACAAGCTGAAATCCCATTTTATTTTGTTTTTGAGATGGGGGTCTCGCTCTATTGCCCAGGCTGGAGTACATTGGCGTGATCATGGCTCACTGCAGCTTCGACCTCCCAGGCTCATGCTATCCTCCTGCCTCAGCCTCCCAAGTAGCTGGGACTACACACTCGTGCCAGCATGTCCAGCTAATTTTAAAATTTTTTTTTGTAGAGACGTGATTTCACTGTGTTGTCCAGGCTGGTCTTGAACTCCTGGGCTCAAGCAATCTCTTGCCTCAGCTTCCTAATGTGCTGAGATTACAGGCATGAGCCACTATGCCTGACCTAAAATCCCATTTTAGCCAGTAATTATTATTCCCCTTCCCAACTGAATTTTTTTGTTTGTTTTTTGTTTTAGACAGAGTCTCACTCTGTTGCCCAGGCTGGAGTGCAGTGGCGGGATCTCGGCTCACTGCAGCCTCTGCCTTCCAGGTTCCAATGGTTCTCCTGCCTCAGCCTCCAGAGTAGCTAGGATTACAGGTGCCCGCCACCATTTTTAGTAGGGATGGGGTTTCACCATGTTGGCCAGGCTGATCTCAAACTCCTGACCTCAGGTGATCCACCCACCTCAGCCTCCCAAAAAGCTGGGATTACAGGAATGAGCCACTGTGCCTGGCCCCACAACTGAATTTTTATGAAAGGCCATTACATTAAGGGAAAGGTTAAATGATCACTTTTACTTTTACTGAATCTCTTTTGGAGGTTGATTCATTATCTACAAAGGAAGGAAAAAATATTTCTAAAAGTGTCTCACTGAAAAGGACTTATGAATAGCTCACACTTATTGTGTGCCTTCTGCATTGTCAGATGCTATGCCAAACAATTTAAATATAAGAATTCCTTTTACAGTTAAGTGTTTTATGAGTGCAGGGTTTCAGTGGAGACAATGAAACAGTTCTAGAGATGGGTGGTGGTGATGGTTATAAAACAGTATGAACTGTACACTTAAAAATGGTTAAAATGGTAAATTTTATGTTATGTATATTTTAGTATCCCCTGGAGGAGGAAGTTAATTCCTGCTCTCTCTCATCTGAGGGTAGATTAGATTTACTGACTTACTTCCAAAGGGAAAAACACTAACTTCACAGTGGAGAAGCCTAGCAAACAGTAACCAAGTAAGGAAAGTTAATATCATCCATGACATCATGTGACTATTATATACCCCATGACAGGATGTTATGAGAAGGGCACTTCCTCTTTGTGATATTCTTTCTAAAAATCCATAACCCTGATCTAATTATGAGAAAATCATCAGACAAACCCAGATTGGGCGACATTCTGCAGAATACCTGTATGGTAATACCCAAGATTGTCGAGGTCATGAAAAAGAAGGAAAAACTAAGAAACTATCACAGAGCAGGAAACCGGAGAGACATGACAGCTAAATGCAATGTAGTCCCCTGGATTGAATTCTAGAAGGCAGGGAGGATATTAATGGAAAACTAAGTAAACTCCAAATAAAGTCTGGGGTTGACTTAATAATTGGCAATGAACGAAATATCAGTTTCTTACTTTTGACAAATGTACTCTGGTAATATGTTAATAATGGAGGAAACCAGGTGAGGAGTATGCTGAAATTCTATTATTTTTGTGACTTTTCTGGAAACCTAAAATGATCATAAAATTAAATGTTTATTTAAACATTTTTTAAAAAGAAAATTATTTAAACTCAAGGTATGATAGAGAAGGACTATGAGAAAAATACTCATAAGATATCCCACTCTTGGTACTAATTTTTTTAAAACAAATTTTTCACTGATTAGCGTAATAGTTTTACTAATGCATTATATGAACATAGTAAGTTATCACATGTACCTCATAGTTTTGATCTTTGTAAAGATCAAATAAGTGTACTTGGGATATCTACCACCTTACATATTTGTATTTTCTTTATGCTAGAAACATGCAAATAGTTCTCTTCTAGCTATTCTGATATGTAAAATACATTACTATACACTATAATCACTTTACTGATCTATTGAACACTAGGTCTCATTTCTTCTATCAAACCAGATATTTGTACCTGTGTAGCAATTTTAAAATACTTTTTTATTACACTTTGTACTGATTCTGCCTCTGGTTTGAGAGTGTTGGGAATACTCTAAATATAAATTGTTGTGAGTGAAGATTATAAAATAGCAAGTTTAAAGTCTTATGGGTTTTGTTGTCCTGTGTTAAGCAACCTGGATTACAAGCTTGAAACAAAATGGCTATTTTAGAAAGCCATTGTCTAAGTAAGAAAAACATTAAAGGATGATTGGAAAGACATTTGTAATATGTGAATACAATTCTCTGGAAATTCTTTCTTCTGCCTTATTCTCTAATGCCAGTGTAACTCTGGTTTTAACTTATTCAAATGTACTCCTGAGGTACAGAAGTAAAGTCCTCTGAATTATACTGAACCACACTATCCTCACAAGTTGCTTCTTCATAGAATCACCCCATCACAGACTCCAGATATAGGTCAGAATTGGATCTGTATCTGACTGTTGGTGATAGGACTGCACTATTCTGACGTTTATTAATTTGTATTCACCTTTAAGAATAATGTGTAATCTAACTCTAGCTTTAAGGTAGCATTTTATTATTAAAAAACTTAAAAACTAAGGACACCATATCAAAATAAAGCACCTTAAGTCCTTCTTTCTGTAGATCTCGAGCAAGTTCACTGCAAAGTTCTTCACATAGGCTGTATTGTTCTTCCGCTTTATTTATCTCACTGAATGTCCTAGAAAGATAAGAATAATTTTGGTGCACAAAGTAAACTATAATCCAGGATAATTTGGAAATGGTATGCATGTTTATACGGCTAGCATGAAGTTATATTTTCTGCAGTACAAAATAAAGTTTTCAGATGAACTAAAATTTAATTAAGTAAAAACATCTAAGATCTATATAAATAATGGAAACCCACTTAAACAGGAAAGCTTGAGTAGCAAAGAAACAATTTTATGCTGTTGCTCTATTATATCACAAAAAAGATAATTAAAATTACCAACAGATAATGGTAATGCCTCCAGAACTTAAAACAGATTAGGGTATATGTATATATAGACTTTGTTACAGAGGATTATGTTAAGAAAGTCTAAATGAGAACATCATTCTAATTACTGTACATGGATTTTCTGGATGAGAAACACCTTTAAGTAGATTTAAGGGGTTGGCTCATGGAACCTAGGCAGAGTTGTTTAATAGACAGCTGAAAATAGAAGGTTGATAAGATTAAATGTAGGTATTTTGAATTCATCTACAAAAGAGTGTTGAAATAAGTTGACAAGTGATATTAACATAAAAGAGGATAATACAAAGAGACCAGAATGATAAGTATGGACCCTGAGCAAGTAACTCTTCAGTAAAGAGTCCCCTTTCTACTTTTAACCTTAACCTCAGCTACTCAGTTCTCTTTCCTAGTGGCAACCAATGTGTCAGCTTCTTATTCTTATGAATTCCTTAGAAATATTCCACGTATACGGGCACCTGTAGTCCCAGCTACTTGGGAGGCTGAGGCAGGAGAAGGGCGAGAACCCGGGAGGTGGAGCTTGCAGTGAGCTAAGATCACGCCACTGCACTCCAGCCTGGGCAACAGATACTCCGTCTCAAAAAAAAAGAGAAATATTCCAAGTATATATACATATAATAAGCAAACCACTAGACATTTTCCTTTCATTTTTTACATAAACAGTAGAATTTTAGATACATTGTTTAGTACCCTGCTTTTCTCAATTTATCATGGTGAGAGTTCCCCATGAGTAAATGATTTCCTCATTTTTATATAGCAGCATAATATTCTAATTTAATGATGTAAGGTAATTTAACCAATTCTCTATTCATGGATATTACAGTTTTTTTCTATCATAAAAAATGCAATAAGTAACCCTGTATATATGTAAAATGACATGTGACTACATCTCTGGAATTAATTCTTAGTAAAAGAATTATGGCATCAAAGTACATGTATCTGTGATTTTGACACATATTATCAAATTTCTTACCCCCTGTGGTAGGCTAGATAATGGTCCCTAAAGATGTCCACATCCTAATCCCTGAAATCTGTGAACCTAGTATCTTATATGACAAAAGGGACTTAGTAGATGTGATTAAATTCTGACGGAGGATTATTCTGGAATGTTCAGCTTTGCCCAATGTAATCCCAAGGGTCCTTATAAGAAGGAGGTAGGAGGGTTACAGTCAGAGAAAGAAGTTGCTGAGGCTATGAGCCAAAGCTTCTATGGCCTCTAGAACCTTTTCATAAAGAAATGGACTCTCTCCCAGAGCTTCTAGAAGAAATGGAGATCTACCAACACATTAACTTTAGAACCACTGACTTTCAGAATGATAGAGAATAAATCTGTGTTGTTTTAAGCCACTAAATTTGTAGAAACTTGTTTTAATAGCAATAAAAAAAACCTAATGTACTCCCTCTAAAGTTTACACATTTTCATTCCTACAGTGTTGCCAAGAGAGTATGCTAGAACCTTTGCCAACCTGATTAGTGAAAGAAACGTATCTGAGAGAACTTTCAATCTATATTTCTTTAATTATAAATGAAAATGGTAATATTTTCACTTGTTTTAAGAGCCATTTGTATTTCCTTTTCTGTTAATTAATTAGACCTTTGTTCATTTTTTCTGTTGGCTTACTGTCCCTTTTTTTATTGATTATAAGAGTTCCTTCTGTATTAGAGAAGTTAGTTTGTGATATAAATTGCAACCTCCTTTCCCCCAACTTCATACCAAATTTGATGTTATATTGCCCATTTTAAAAAGCCAAGAGGAGACAGTTTCCAGGAAAAAAAAAGTGGAGACCACATTCCTGTACATCAAATAGTGCTCCCAATAACAGAGAAAATGGCAGAGAAATTTATCAAATAGGGCAATACTATTTTGCTTTTGGATGCTTTTTTTTTAAATCTCTCTTTGCTTGCTTTCATATGGACCAAAACCTAAAATAGCAATTTTTATCAAAGCCATTTATTATGCTGTCCTGTAAAAGTTATTCAGCTTTTCTGACCACAAATAACATATGTGGAATATGAACACAACCTTGTACTAGGTCAGTGTTTTGTTTTGTCTTGTTTTGATTTTTTTTTTTTTTTTTTTTTTTTTTGAGACGGAGTCTTGCTCTGTTGCCTGGGCTGGAGTGCAGTGGCCGGATCTCAGCTCACTGCAAGCTCCGCCTCCCGGGTTTACGCCATTCTCCTGCCTCAGCCTCCCGAGCAGCGAGGACTACAGGCGCCCGCCACCTCGCCCAGCTAGTTTTTTGTGTTTTTAGTAGAGACGGGGTTTCACCGTGTTAACCAGGATGGTCTCGATCTCCTGACCTCGTGATCCACCCGTCTCGGCCTCCCAAAGTGCTGGGATTACAGGCTTGAGCCACCGCGCCCGGCCTTGTCTTGTTTTGATTTTGAGACAGAGTCGTACTCTGTCGCCCAGGCTGCAGTGGAGTGGTGCCATCTCAGCTTACTGCAAACTCCGCCTCCTGGGTTCAAGCAATTCTCTTGCCTCAGCCACCCAAGTAGCTGACATTAAAGGTGTAAGCCACTATGCCGGGCTGATTTTTGTATTTTTAGTAAAGACAGGGTTTTGCCATGTTGGCCAGGCTCATCTTGAACTCCTGGCCTCAAGTGATCTGCCCACCTCAGCCTCCCAAAGTGCTGGGATTACAGGTTTGAGCCACCTTGCCGGGCCCTAGGTCAGTGTTTCTTAAATGTCTCAGTGGAACCTTGCTGCTTTGAGGAGATAATTGAAGGACGTTTCAAACAATGACTTATTTCCCCAAACAGTAAGTTTCCATCATTATTTCGTTTGGTTTTCAAACAAGATTGTAAACCACTAAACTAGATCATCTTTAAGCTCTCTTTCATCAGTAATATTTCACTGTTTGATTAAGCTTCTGCTTAATCACCAATATTGAAATAATTTTAGGAAGAATTCCAATTGTTACTTCTTAAATTTCTGAAGTAAATACTCAATTGTCCTTATAAACAAGCTAGAAATTAAGATATGAAATTCTAAAATGCTTGGTTTTCACTAGGTAGTATTAAAACCAACATTAAAAAATAGCTGAAGTTAATTTCGAGATTATAGCAACTGAAAATAATAGTCTTATACCAAGGCATTTACTGCAGGGAGTGTAAACTACTAAAAATTGTTATAGTAATTTGCAAATAGATTTCTTATTTCAGTGATATTTACTAAAAATTAATTCAATATTAGTTTAAAATAACATGAATTATGCACAATTAACAATAATTAATAAAACATTACCTCTCAACGCTCATACTCTTCCTTTCTCCATCCCTTGAAATGAAAAAAAAAAGTCTTTATTTTTCAAAGACTGAGTTGTTTTTAGTTAATGAAGAGGATTTAACATATCAATTACCTTTTAGAGATCTCAAATTTTTTATTAAAATTTATACATCATGAAAAACAGTTTTTTATCTAAAAATAAATCAGCAAAGAACATAGATAGGTAAGATGCTAATATGATTATGAATCAAGTCTATATCTATTGAAAAGAACAAACTTGAAAATAGGTAGATATTAGAAATTGCTTCTATTAAAAACCTGACTATCAAAAACCACAACTTATAAAAACAAATAGGAAGTGATAGTGTAATATCTTCCAGTTATAAAATATAATTGAATTTTAAATAATTTAAAATCAGTTATCTAGTTTTTGGCTTAGTATATTAACTTCTTTCTCCCACAGCCTATTCATTATTCATTTTTACCACTATATAGAACCTCAGTCAGAATTTGGTACACAGCTATAGGATGAAGATTGGGAATCTGAACCACCTAGTTTGGCTGTATTCTAGCTGCTCTGACAGGATTAGTTAAAACCAAAAAGTTGAAATGACATGTAGAGTACTCATTTTCCAAATATTTAGTGAACCTATTATGATTCAAGCACTGTTCTAGAACTTGAGGATACAGTAATGAAGGAAACAGACCAAGTACTTGCCCTTAGGAAATGTATATATCCCATTGGAGAGAGACAGATAAACAAATATAGTAGTAAATATGGAACGGGTTAGAAGGGGAGAAGTACTCTGATTAAAAAGCAAAGCAGAACAGGCGAATAGAGAATATGGGCAGAGGGAAAGGCAGGCTTTGTATTTTTTATTATAAATTACCTATGAATTTCATGTAAAAGCCTTACCTGCATCTCTAAATACCACAAGTTAATATACGTTATGTTACATCAGAACTATATTGTTTTCAAGCACTATGGAATAAAAAAAATTTTGGATTAAAAATGAAGTTTTATTTCCTGCTATCTTCAAATATAATTATTTATGGTGCTGTGATATCTTTATCTTTCATTATGTCCACTGAAGATTAAAGTCAGCTAACTGCGGACTCAAAAGATTGAAGAGCAGGAAGAGACGAGAAAAGCAATACAACAAGCCTTGCACTCTCTGTACAATTTAGTAGGCTTAATTGATCCATCAATTTTACATGCATCCTCATTGATTTTTATTGTTGTCCTTCAGTTTAAATACAAGAATATAAAGGAGTCATTTTGAGGACAGGCTGACAAGGTGATGACAAAATTGTAAAAATAGTGCCCAGTGTTGACTTCCATGATTCCCAGTCTTTTAAAATTTCCTTCTTTTCACCTACTATCCCACAACAATTTACCTTCTACCTCTAGGGTTCCTCTTTTTAAGACCTACATGAAAGAGTGGCAGGGAAGAAAACCCAGGGTATTTCCTCCAGCTGTTCCCTCTTCTAGCCTTTGCATGGCAGGCTCCCTCAGGTCTCTCTGCCTTTGGATGATGGTTGCTAACCCTTCACACTTACTCCCCAGTCATTTTCTATGCCCTCACTCTGCTTTACTTTCTTCATGTGTGTATTTGATTATTTCTATCGCTCACACTAGTCTGTAAACTCCATGAGGGCAGGAATTTGTCCTATTCGCTGCTGTTATCCACAGTGCCTAGAATAGTACCTAACACAAAGTAAAGTAGTCAGTACTAAATGAATGAATCATTTACAAATCTGGAAAAGAAAAGAAATGTAGTTTAAGGCTTTCAAAGAATCATTACATCTCCTTCCTTAAAGGGTGAATTACAGAATATGGCCATCTTTCTTTTCACAACAACCTGACTACTGGCATTTCTTAGGTTCTGAACAAAGAACAAGGTAGGGATAAAAAAGAAAGTAGCTATCATTCCTCTTGTCTCTCTACCCAACTGCTGACGCCACAACCTAGGAGTGATTCTTTATTCTTCTTTTCCTTTCCTCCTACATCCAATCTGTTGACTCTAATTCAAACATTATATTTTGAATTAAACTAGCCTGAAAGAATTTTAAAACATGTTATCCAGATAGCCTCATCTCAATGGTTAAAACTCACATTGCAGCAAACGCTAAAGAAAAAGCAGAATGACAATACATATAGATACCTTGTCAGGTATGTTGAACCTAGACCCAAGGAGATATGAAGGAAATAATGCCAAGATGTTTCAGAGAAAAGGAGAGAAAGCAATGCCCTCTGTTGGTAAAGTTCCGTACATGTAATAATTCCAAGGGCCTTTAACATTTTCTCTGTAACTTTTCCTATTCCAGAAACCTAGAAAAGAATCAATATTTATTATTAATAGATTTTAAGTTAAGCTAAAAATTGAGATTACAATCTCATTATACTTTTTTTTTGGGGGGCGGGGGGAATGGAGTCTCGGTCTTGTTGCCCAGGCTGGAGTGCAGTGGCGCCATGTCGGCAACCTCCGCCTCCTGGGTTGTTCAAGCGATTCTCCTGCCTTAGCCTCCTGAGTAGCTGGGATTATAGACATGCGCCACCATACCCGGCTAATTTTGTATTTTTAGTAGAGATGGGGCTTCTCCATGTTGGTCAGGCTGGTCTCGAACTCCTGACCTCAGGTGATCCGCCCACCCTGGCTTCCCAAAGTGCTCATTTTATCTTTTATAATCGATAAAAGGTACGAATAATGTGACTATCTTCACAAGTCATGCAGGAAAACTGCTTTAATTACTTTTTGACCACATTTACTAAACTAGGGCTTCATGTAATTTCAAAAGGCATTAAAAAAAGGAGTGCTGTGTTCATATAAACTTGGGGAATGGTGGGATTAACAAATTTAAGTGAAACTTTTTATTCCAAGATTTATGAATCTTTAATATATTAATATGCATAGTGACACATCAAGAGTAGTACACTCCAAAGGTATTTGAACCCAAAACCTTTTTAAAGGGAATACCTATTCATACTTGAAAAACATATTGAAAAACACTGCTTTGCAGCTACACCTTACATATACTAGTCAGTAATCACTATATATTACATACTGAGCACTGAAAAATATTTAAATTCATTCATGTACATTATGTTGAATGAGAAAAGAAAGTCCTAGATCATATACAGTAGTGTATGGTGTAATTATTGAAAAAAAAGTATATATATGCAGAAAAATCTAGAAGCTCTAAAAAATAATACAGTGAACACTTTCTGGAACCCCTGAGGTATAATTTTACCATTTTTAAAATGGCAAAATATTTTGGTTTATTCTTTGTCAAAAACAATTAAAATTCTAAATCTCTTTGAAGCATCATGCCCACTAATCTAGCAGCAATCTAGACTTTAGAACTAAGATAGCACTAAGTTACAGATGAAGGGACTGTTAGAAATATTCTTTTAATTTCTCTTCTCCTTGGCAGGAATTCACTTAAAAATCTGTGATTATTACTTTCTTAAAAGTTTACAGCAAATAAGCTAAATCTCACTTTTAGGGTTTCACAGAAAGGTTTCTTCAAGTTCAAATTTAATCACCCATTATAGTTCTTGCTTGTTATCTATTGTTTTAAAACATTTTAGCAAAGAATGATTAACTACTGACCTACATAGTATCTCTTCAGAATTCAGAGTACATATACAAAAATAAACTGTATGTAAAAATCTTACCTTTCTAATGGGTAAATCCTTGATGAAGTCCATCACAGCTTGTCTATTGGGAAGAATTTGGTATTGTCCATTTGGTTTATTCTTATCACTGCATACTTTTGCTAACATTGTATTTGGGGCAATGCCTTAAAAGAAGAATACTCTGATGACTCAAAGAAGTTGATATGTGTGACTTTTAAAAATACAATAACAAAACAGAAAAAAAAGTTAATTGCAAAAAATCTCAAATGATATATAATGCTACTTTAAAAATAACATTTGATTACCATCTATGTCCCCAGGGCTTGCTATGGTTTTAGGAAAAGAAATTGTACTAGTTACTGTGGCGGCAAAAATGAGAAATATTTAATTCTCCATGATATTTTAAAACGTAAGAGTAATTTCTGAGCTAAGTAATATCAAGTGTAATTATTAGTTTACTTACTACCTTTAGTAGGAATACAGAATTTTTTATTTTTTCCAGATGGAGGCTTGCTCTGTCACCCAGGCTGGAGGCAGTGGCACGATCTTGGCTTACTGTAACCTCCACCTCCTGGGTTCAAGTTATTCTCCTGTCTCAGCCTCCCAAGTAGCTGGGATTAGAGGCATGCACCACCACGCCTGGGTAATTTTTGTATTTTCAGTAGAGACAGGGGTTTCACCATATTGGTCACGCTGGTCTCGAACTCCTGACCTCAAGTGGTCCACCAGCTTTAGCCTCCCAAAGTGCTGGGATTACAGGCGTGAGCCATCATGCCCAGCCCAGATTGTTTTTATAGTGGTTCTATATCTACCTCTCAGAAAAGATCCAGAATATAATTTAGGGTGGATGTTTACTCTTTGAAAAGGTCTTTTGCATAGATTATCCACATAAAGCAAAAAATCGAAGATTCTGGTTATAGTATATTTAAAATAATAATTAGATTGGTGTATCCTTTTTATGTTATTCACAGAACAGATTACTATTTTTCAGAAAGATGTTTTACAATTTCTAGGAATCCTGATTAAGATAATTTGAAATAGGTATATTCAAATAGATTCATTAAACAGTTCATGTCAATTGTTATATAGATCTTCCTAAAATGCATTATTCATTCTCATGTTTTGGTGTAGAAAGAAAAGATTTACCTAATCACAGTTTGGCTTTTACAAGATAGTTCAGGGTCCTCATGATGAATAATAGTTATTATGCTAAGAGACAGTGATGGCCTCATGGGTTAACAACATATGTCAATTTGTTTTTCCTTTACCAGATGATCCTGGATTGCTATGTTGCTAGTTAGTATTCCTTTTGTCTCCTACCTTGTGGCCATCCGGGTTCTCTCCTGCAATGTAATCTTGGACAGGATTGAAGTCTCCCAAGGAAAAACTAATAAGTATTACATGCAAAACCAATAAAAATATATTTTGTGCTAGAAAAAGATAGCTATATGAAATTTATGGGTCGGGCATGGTGGCTCACACCCGTAATCCAGCACTTTGGGAGGCCAAGGTGGGCGGATCACGAGGTCAGGAGATCAAGACCATCCTGGCTAACATGGTGAAACCCCGTCTCTATTGAAAATACAAAAAATTAGCCGGGCGTGGCGGCATGCGCCTATAGTCCCAGCTACTCAGGAGGCTGAGGCAGGAGAATCGCTTGAATCCAGGAGGCAGAGGCTGCAATAAGCTGAATGAGATTGCCCCACTGCACTCCAACCTGGGCGACAGAGCAAGACTCCATCTCAAAAAAAAAAAAAAAAAAAAAAAAAAGAAAGAAATTTATAATCTCTTTTTTCTTCAGGCTCATAGTCTGCTTAACTCCAATTTACTTACTAGGTTCACAGCTATTCTGAATAGGTAAAGTCATTAGAAGTTGAATCAAAGACTAGATAAGTAAAATGTTACTAAATACTTTATAATGAGAAACTACTAATATTACACTTGAATTAGCCAGTCTGAAAATTATAACTATAGTGGCCACCAATACCCTTTTAAATACCTGCACTGGCTGTCAATGTTGTTTTTTGCTCAATTCTGAAACGAATTTCCTTTACCACTTCCTCGGCTGATGTTCCAAAAACAATTGAGTTTTGGAGTATTTGAGGACTGTTTTGTTCTTCAAAGTTCACTTGGAAAGGATCTCCTGGGGGCAGCAAATCAGAAGGACTCTCTTCAAAAAGTAGCGGAGAGATGGATCGTTTATGCTCACTCAGTTTATTAACTTCCTTTCCTGGATTATCTAAATCATAAACAGGAACAATAATTCATGTTTATTTTAAGAAGTATATACTTCATAAGTTAGGTTTCCCTACATTATTTCTGAAGACAAAAAAAAAAAAAAAAAAAAAAATCTAGTTTAGCTTAGTTTCTAGGATCCAAGATCAGAAATGCCATCATTTATCATTTACTGTTTTATAACTGTTAAAGAGATTATGAATTTTTCCTAACAAGACTATTATCCATTTCCACAACATAAATATTAAAAGAAAATATTCTGTGTAAAACTCTTTAATGTTCGTACCTAAAATAATTGAAATTCAGAATTGGGTTTCAGTTCACATTACCTTTTCCTTAAAAAAAAGGAAATCTTTTCTTTATTCTCCTTTAGGAAGAAAAAGAATCTTCTAAAATTAGAATTTAGGAATGAGGAAAAAGGCATTTAAGCAATATATAATAATTACACCTGAAAGTAAAGTTTTGTTTTTAGAAGGAAAAACACTTAACTTTTCTTCATTCATGGAAGAAAACTTTTAGATTTTAAAATAATCTGAATTTTCTTCTTTCAAATGCTGATTTTAATTTTGATTTGCTTGTTTATGAAGTATCACTTTGATTAAGGGCACATTTGTAATAAATAGAAATTACCTCTGAAAGTTATGCTTTGAATATACAAATTCTTAAGGTCTGATTGGATGATCCAAGTTTAAGAAAAAGAGACATTATTATTAATAGGCTATAAACTATTATTACAAAGTAAAGTAAAAATACCAATCTGGTTATTACCTCCTTATATTTATATTTTTCATAAATGGACTCTATAAAATATACTTAAATCTATACTGATACTAAAAATGTCTCCATGAACAAATCTATTAAAGCCTATTTTCTGGGCTTAATGTAGAAGAAATACAATTTAAATGCATTTGTAACAACCAAGGTTAGCAAAAAAGCTTTCTGATCCCATCTCATAATTTTATTACATATAAATATTTTCCAAATTAAGGTAAATGCAGAAGCAAAAATTAAATTTCTAGTTTTAAGACACATATGAATGTATATTACTTGAAAAATGAACTTGGCTGTTTAGGAAAAAAATTTAAAAATAATATAAAATAAATATGACAGACATCTGATAAATTTAAAAATTTAAAATATGTAGTGTGAATTAAGTCATAGATGTTAATTCAGTCAGATGTTTTCCAAATCTGAATTCCCAGGGCACATACACAATAAGCCAATTTTCTTTCTCTCCATTTTTTTTTTTTTTTTTTTTGAGACAGGGTCTCCCTCTTGCCCAGGCTGAAGTGTAGCTGGGACTACAGGCGTAAGCCATCACACCTAGTTAATTTTATACTTTTTTGGTAAAGATAGGGTTTCACAATCTTGCCCAGGGTGGTCTCGAACTCCTGGGCTCAACTGATCCTCCCACCTCAGCCTCCTAAAGTGCTAGGATTATAAATGTGAACCACCTTGCCTCGCCAATAAGCCTTATTTTCAAACTTACATTAGCTGATATTTATGTGCTTCAATTCCTGTCACTTTTTAATATTCTGGTTTTAAAATGTAGAGCAATTCAGAGGGGAAACAGGCCAGGCACAGTGGCTCACGTCTGTAATCCCAGCACTTTGGGAGGCTGAGGCGGGCGGATCACTTGAGGTCAGGAGTTCAAGATCAGCCTGGCTAAGATGGCGAAACCCCATCTCTACCAAAAATACAAAAATGAGCCAGGCATGGTGGCGCACAGCTACTCAGGAGGCTGGAGCAGGAGAATTACTTCAACCCAGAAGGCAGAGGTTGCAGTGAGCTGAGACCGTGCCACTGTACTCCAGCCTGGTGACAGAGTGAGACTCCATCTCACAAAAAAAAAAAAAAAAAAGACTGTGAAACAGTTGAAATGGTATCTACCTGGAGACCTTTTCCTCATCTGGATGGGTAGAAGTAAAGGTAAAGAGAGCTACAGAAAAACTGCAAACCAAGTGAGTTATCTGTCACATTCATAAGTCCCTTCTGCCGAGTTTTTTATGCTATGTTTTGTACCTCATGCCTCAACCACCCAGCCCTCAGGTGAGTCACTGTGAGAGCAGAATTATATAGCAGGAAGCAAAGAATGCTGCCTTCTAGTACATTATCAGAGCTGCTGCAGAATGCTCAGGTATCTTTTCAATCTGAACTACATTCTACTTTTCTGTGAGGCCTGGTTGTGCAACCAATAGTTGGACTAGTTTCTTATTTGCTTTGTGTCAGAAACATCTTTATAATCTCCATAACTGAGGTAATCAGAATGTAACACTAGGATTAAAGCATTTCATTTGAATGACAAGCGCTAAAAAGTGTATGGCATTTCAGTTTCTTTTATTATCTGGCACTCACCATCCAGATTTAGATGGGAGAGTAAACATTTAAAAATTTTATTTGTATGTAGAGATGGTAGTTAGCAATATATTTTCAAAGACAAACACCTTTTAGAAAATGGGGAAACAGCAAAAAAATGTCTTGGACTTTAGAGGAAGATATATCAATTGCCTGCCACAGTCAATGCACTATTGACAATTTCCCATGGCATGATGTGAGATGAGACATGCCTGAAAGTCCAGCCCACAGGTATTTATACATGAGAAGAAAATTTAAACTATTCCAATTGCTTACGAATATGAAAATACATGAAGAGGGCGCTGTACAAGTAAATACGTTAAAAGCAATAGATATTAAAAACTCACATACTCATAGTGAGTTTGGACATTATAAGAAATGAAAAGAACATTAGTAGGCCGGGCGTGGTGGCTCACGCCTGTAATCCTAGCACTTTGGAAGACTGAGGCGGGCAGATCACCTGAAGTCAGGAGTTTGAGACCAGCCTGGCCAACATGGTGAAACTCCGCTTCTACTAAAAATACAAAATCTAGCCAGGTGTGGTGGCAGGCACCTCTAATCCCAGATACTCAGGAGGCTGAGGCAGGAGAACTGCTTGAATCCAGCAGGCAGAGACTGCAGTGAGCTGAGACCATGCCACTGCACTCCAGCCTGGGCAACAGAGTGAGACTTTATCTCAAAAAAAAAAAAAAAAAATTAGTAGAAAATGAAAATACTTACTTTAATCCCAATGTAAAAATTTTAAAACATATCATGCAAGTAATTGTTATGGGAGGCCCTCAGGGGATGCTTTGACATAATTATTTAATGATATTCCCTCATTCTCTTGTGAAAGTAAGGAATTAATAAAGTAAGATTTTATACAAAGTGACATCAGGTTTTATGTACCACATCCTCAAACAATAAAGTTACACCAAATAAGGAAAACCTTTCGCTCTATGCCTCTGTGTCCAGAAATGATGATTATTGTTTAATGTTCCTATAAAAGAAAAGAGAGACCAATCCCTTAGGGCTTTAAATAAGGTAATGAAGTTATGACTTGGTGCCCATATTAAACTTGCTCCAAATGATGTGAGTCACAAACAATGTGAGATAGTTAGATTAATGTCACTGGGGATCTACCATTTTTGCTTCAGGGAAAGTTACAAACAGGTCTCCCCAGCACTGTCTGGCCCGTCTGAAGCAGAGTTGTGCACGTGAAATGTTCCTGTGGGTTGTGAGCAAACCCTTCTGTGTCACTTTTTCATCCAGGTGAACTTTGTTCAGGGGTCCAGGACATCTCAGATATAATCATACCTTTGACAAAATGTTGAAAGCAGTATGTGTAATATCTGCATGTTTCTTGGCATTGCTTTTGGATAGGTAATAAAGGGATTAAAAAAAAAAAAAAAAACCCTGGAGTCTTGAAATTATACAGTGTAAGGCAAAGAAGGGAGTGAGAAGTCATTAATTTTGGCAGAGTTAAAAACAGTTATAATTGCTATAATAATTAGATTATTAGGAAAATTAGGAAAATGAAGAAAAATAGAACCATCCAATGTTTTGATATGCTTGAGGCTAGTCTTTTCTAACAACAACAAAAGGCAACTTTAAACAGACAACTTCCTCAGCTTCAATGCCATCCAAACTCTTAGTTAGTTAGACCTTAGGAAAATAACTGCTATAAAATTACTTTGTTCAGGGATTCTGCAGACTCTTAAGCTTAGAGATTTAACAATCACATTTCGTTTATATGTGATATTCTACATGTTTAATGTAGAAAACCCACTGGTATTTTTAAAATTTTCTGATTTTACATTTTTATAAAGGTACATCTATGCCTTCTACCTATACAGGCTAATAAATTAATTGGATCAATTCCAAGAGTTGTGGGGTTTTTTTTTCACTGCTTCTTGGTTTGATAGTCTTAATAAGTTGCTTACCATTTTCTACAGAGCTTCCCATTTTGATGAAATACTTTCTTTTATCCTCAGGCCAATTTTGTCTTTCTTCTAAGTGCTTTGTTATATTCAAGTAGGCTTCATCAAGACTCATGGCCATAAAATTGGGATCATAATCAGCAAGTATTTCCTTAACCTTCAAAGGAAACAAAAAGAAGTTTAAATTTTGCTGTGATAGCAAATTTCTTCTGTCATATGTAGCTGATAAGAAATGTTAATATTCTTAGTTTGCAACTACAGTAACAATCCTGCAGTCAATAGCTCATGGATTTAAGGAATAAATAATCCACTACCAGGGAATATTTTCAAAATTTCTTTTTGTATTAAAATAGACCATGAAGGCAGAAGACCACAAAATAGGTTCATTTGATACAATCTCTATTTAGCTACCTATATCTAGTTATAATAAGCAATTCAAATAAATCTCAGACAACATTATCTGGTAGGCACATACATACAAAAAAACGGTTAAGGTTAAATTTAGGTAGCTCGTCAGAAGCTGAAGTGGGAATGATAGGATTCTATTCCCTCCTGCCTTTTGTGATTTATTGTTTTTGGTTCATTTTAAAAAGGAATAATCTTATATAAAGGTACTATGTTGCTTTAGAAAATATTTCAATTAATTATAACATGCACATAAAAGTCCACTTAACATTAATTAATGCATTAATCCATACAGGAAAATGAATGTTCTCTATTTCCTGTTACTTATTAAGATCTGGAATGGAAAAAAATGACAAATCTATAGTGTACTTCCATGATTATCTTAAATGATGGGGAAAAGTCTGGAGTTACATCTTAGGATAAAAGAAATACATATAAAGATTAGAATTATAGTTGCTACAATTCAGAAATGCCTTTTATATAAGATAGTGTTATTATATAAAACTATGACTTTTTTTTCTAACCACTTAAGTATTAGCTATAATTAGAGGCAATGGTTGTCAATATAATATGCATATTTTCCAGATTGGGTGACTGAGTGAGACCGTGCCTCAAAAAAAAAATGTGTATTAGAAAATATATTTGCTGAATTATGCTATGCTTCCATTTAGCTTTTAAAACTGTCTACTGTATCACAAGAAAACTGTTTCTTGTTTTATAAAAAGAAAGCTTTTTAGCTTAATATAATTATGAACAGCTGAGTCAAAGGGAATTTTAGAAAATGGTGATATAAACTTGGCCAAGTTTTACTCAGAGAGTGCCTTAATTAGCTTTGTTCTTGTTATAATGTGCTCAAACAGAATCTTTCCAATGAAAATGAAACCCTGTGAAGTCTGTAACTGGCAGCCAACTGAGATTCTGAATGAGAAGTACTCCCTAGAGACACTGTTGAGTATTTATTAACTTCCTTTACATAGGATATTGCTATAAGAATTAAAAGAGACATGTTCCAGTAAAAATCAAGCACTTAAAGCTCCAATATCTTGGATAAAACAAAAATGGCTAGCTGGGCATGGTGGCTCCTGCCTGTAATCCCAGCACTTTGGGGGCCTGGGCAAGATAATTTTCTGAGGCCAGGAGTTTAAACCTAGCCTGAGCAACATAGCGAAACCCTATCTCTGCAAAAAAATTTTAAAATTAGGAGGATGTGGTGATGCATGCCTGTCATTCTAGCTACTCAGGAGGATGAGGCCAAGGATTGCTTAATTCAAGAGTTTAAGGTTACAGTGAGGTATGATCGAGTCACAGCATTGAGCCTGGGCTATGGGGTGAGACCCTGTCTCAAAAAATAGGGAGGGCTTCTTCTTAAACTTTCTAACCAAGTCATGAATATTAATGTATCCATAGGCAGTGATGAATTTGTTCTATAGTTCATTTACACATAAGAACTCATTTGTTATCTGCAAATAAACTAGCTAGATCCGGCTCAAATTTGAAGAGTTCTCCGACTTACATAAGTAACCAGACTAAAATAACTAAAAACACTTTGGTTGTCACTGGCATACTGCCAGAAGTATTGCTGAGTTAAAGCACGACTTTAAAGAATGCCTTCTCTTACTAAATTTTTGTAGGATTTTTAAAACTTCTTAAAATGCTATATTTATGATTAGTATTTTATCTCTTTTTAATTAGGAATACAATGAAAGAGATAAACAGTAACCAAATGTGAGTGTGCTCCCCTCTCCTACACTGCCTTTTCAGAGGTATACACAAAGCACTTGCTGTCACAGATCGCCTTGGACGTAAAAAAAAAAAAAAAAACCTGTGTTTAAACTTGGAATAGTGTCATTTCTCGGGAAAATGAGGTGGAATAAAAATAAGAGGGGTGAATTTAAAGACCCCTGGCATGACAAGAGTAATAAGTATTAGGCTACAGTTTTTTAAGTGTTTCCATTCAGACAGTAGTCTTAAACACATTTTACTACAGTAGTCTAAAAGTATTTGATATAGCAGTCTAAAATTTTATTCCAGCACTGCATGATAAACCACTTGTCATAAAAAATAGAAAAAATGACAGTTTCCACATATGACAGTTTGGCAATTTTAGTAAATAATCAAATCTACTTCAAAGATCCTTTTCAAAGCAATGCATTACTCCCTTTTCAATTATCAGTCTTAGACAGTAAATGATTATAGGGCAAGAAAAGTAGGCTAATCAAAATACATGAATTTTGTCACTGTTCAACAACATTAACAAATAATTATTCAGATAATAGGTTGACATTAATGATGAGTAGATTCTGTAAGTTATTAATAAAATGTGGTTCTAGAAAAAATGTATATTGTACATTAAGAAAAAAGAGCTAAACTTAATTTTATATGATCATTAAGGCAGTTCAAAGTTGGAGGAAATGGGAAGAGTTTTCTAAGCAAATGAAAACTGCATGGAAAGGCAAATAATTGGGAAAAAGAATGATGTATTCTGGATACTATATGCAGCTCAGTATTCAATATACAAGCTGAAGAAGTGATAGGAGGCTTGACTGAAAGCATAAGCTAAGACCAAATCCTATGTGCTAAGGCACTCGGACTTGACTCTGCAGGTGACAGGAAATCAGTGAAAGCCTAAAGTAGGGGTGAGACATTAACTTACCTCTTTACTCACAGCTCGGTATTTGTCAAAGTTTGGGGGCACTATTGTAAGTTGTGGGCAGAGTCTCTTAGCAATAAATCCTGGCATGGCTGCACGAACACCAAACCTCCTTGCATGGTAATTTGAAGTAGACTGAAAGATATTGGACCACATGGAAAAAAATATACAAACCTAAATGGACATACTGATCAATGCATTCATAGGAAATACATTAATATGTGCCTTTTCAATTCAAGGACATTTCATTTATAGGCCTCTGTTTTAATCCAAATTTTGACTTATTCTGTCACAGTATTTTGATACCATGACCCTCTCCCATTACTATCCCTATATTTATAATGCGATACCAGATATAAACAAGACTGTGCTAATAAAAAGATTTTTTAAAATTTCTACTAACTAAACGTCATTGGTTTTAAGGCATACTTGTTATAGAATGAATATCAAAGTTTGAATGATGGTGAGTTACGTTACATGAAAGTAATAATATAGTAAGTCATACAGAATAGTCATAAAATAATAGTATACAAATAGTAAAGACGTTACATTATAGAAAGTAATAGTATAGTATAATAGTAAACTTTTGGAATTTGCTCTATTTGGGATTTTGGAAACTTCATCTAGAACAAAAATAAAAGGTCTACTATGTGGTCAACCAAATTAAGTCTCCAAAATGAAGTGATTAAAGCTTAAAATAAGTTTAGAAATTAAGGTTTTTTTCTTTTTTTTTTTTTTTTTTTTTTTTTTGAGAGGGTTTTTTCCCTGTCCCCCCCGGGGGGGGGGGGGGGCGGCCCCCTCGCCCCCCCCCAGCTCCCCCCCCCCCCCACCCCGGGTTCACGCCATTCTCCTGCCTCAGCCTCCTGAGTAGCTGGGACTACAGGCGCCCGCCACCTCGCCCGGCTAATTTTCTTGTATTTTTAGTAGAGACGGGGTTTCACCGTGTTAGCTAGGATGGTCTCGATCTCCTGACCTCGTGATCCGCCCGTCTCGGCCTCCCAAAGTGCTGGGATTACAGGCTTGAGCCACCGCGCCCGGCCTAAGGTTTTTTTCTTAAGGCTTAATTATCTTTTTTGCTGAAAACATTTTGACTAGGAGATGGAACTACAAAAGTATGAGAGTAAAAAGGAGAATATTGGTTCTTGCCTCCACTTCTCGCCATGTCTTCTCACAAGACTTTCAGGATTAAGCGATTCCTGGCCAAGAAACAAAAGCAAAATCGTACCATTCCCCAGTGGATTCGGATGAAAACTGGAAATAAAATAAGGTACAACTCCACAAGGAGACACTGCAGAAGAACCAAGCTGGGTCTATAAGGAATTGCACATGAGATGGCACATATATTTGTGCTGTCTGAAGGTCACGATCATATTACCATATCAAACTGAAAATGTCACCACTCTCTGGAGAGTTCGACATATTTTCCTCTCTGAATCTATTATGAATGCGTTGGTTGGCTGGGTTCAGTAATAAATATGTGAGGCCTTTCATTTCAAAAAAAAAAAAAAGAGGAGAATATTGCTTATTAAATCCTGTTGATGATGATATCTGATGAAAGTCTATGTGAATGTGGTAGACCGTAGGACTATTTATAAAACAAATTATATCACAAATTAAATCCTTATTTGGAATCTCAAGTGAAATTTCAAAGAAATGCAAAACAGAATCAAATGAAGGAATTATTTCACGATAATATGAATTTTCCTCTAATGATTTTCAAATGGCACTTAAAACATCTTGATAGTACTCAGAACTATACTAATCCTTAGTCAGTGTTCTGAAACAGAAAATGTGGATAGCACTAGAAACAAAACCAATGCTTTAGTAAATAAGTTTAATAGAATTGACATAAAAGCTAGATCTATAGTAGAGGAGAAACAAACTTTTAAATAAGAATTTCTCTAACTTTTAAATTTGTGGTATATTGTAGATCACAGCCACAACACTTTACAGTTACTCTTATCAAAAGTGGGTTCTAGTTCCTCATGCCATGTGACTTGCCTTGTGACTTGGTTAGATGAAAATAATGTGAGGGAAGTGACACTGAGTTCCGAAACCTAAGTTTTTGCTTTTAGTAATCCAGCAACCATTGTAAATATTTCGGGGTAGATTACTCAATGTTGAAGCAACAATGGAGAGGAGAAAGTTCTGAAGCTGGAATCCATTCCAATCTCCTCAGTCCAAGTGCCAGACCTGTGAATGAAGCCATCTTGGATTTTTTAACCTCAGTTAAATTGCCCTAGCCAAATCCAGGTAGAGCAGGGTTGAGCCATCGCCATTGCACTCTGCTCAAATTACAGAATCATGAGCTAATAAATTTTGGCTATCCACTAAATACTGCGGGCAGCTGTTATGCAGCAATAGATAACTGCTATACGATCTCAGTTGCAACTCTCAGTGCCAAGTTAGAACATTTCAAAAATCCATCAAATTCACCAAAAAAGAATTCTATCAGTAGGAATAATGAAACGACTCCCATTAATTTGTAGATATACTTTTATATGTTTAATAGGACAAACAGTTATGCTTATTAGAAGGGAAACCTATTTGTTCAACATACAAAGGGAGTAATCTTTGTTTAAATATAACAAATAGTAATTTTGAATTTAGAAACAATAACTGATTTTTAGGAGGACAGAAACTGTAGGAAAGAAAATATTTTGTAGATTTCAAAAGCAGTCGGTTTAGCTTTAACATGGCTACAGCAAGTTTGTATGTATACACATACATAAACATACATAAATTTATGGTGTTACATCTTAATAAAATTAAATATATATTTTTGAAATATTTATTGATGATTTGTAGGAAAGGGGAGTTTCCTTTCAAAAAACAGTGGTTTGGAAACAGAGTTATCAGTTGCCTGCATACTCACAGAGGCAGAGATAAAAAACAAACAGATTATAGTTTTATAATAAAATAATCACTCAGTAAGAATTAGTTTTGTAGCTATCTAAGGCATGGGAAGGAGTTAGGAACAGAGAAGAACTCTTCTTGTTTATCTAATACTTTTTAAGTACCAAAGCCCATCTATTTCAGTTGCTACTTTTAATTCCCAACACACTTTCAGCCACACATAGCTATCCTGGTCATTTTTACCTTCTAAAGTTAGAGTGTAAAAAGGAACAGCAACACAGTAATCAGAAAAGCAAAGTTCTAAGTCATGGGAGAAACAATTTAACTGCATTCTAAATGTACTCTACTAATGAAATACGTTATTCCAGAACTAGGGTTGGCAAACCTTTTCTTTTCTGTGAAAGTCCAGATAGTAATCATTTTAGGCTTTGCAGATCATTGAATTATTGAACTCTGCTCTTTTAGTGCAACAATAGTAATAAATAAATGGGTGCAACTTTGCTCCAATAAAAAGCTGGATTTGGCCTGCAGACCAGTTTGAAAATCTCTATTAATACCTTAGAATAACATTTCCTTTGCTTTCTTATTCAACTCTCTTTAACTAGAATGGTTACTTATGGAAAAATTTAATTTGCCATGGAAGTTACTAGGTTTGTAACTTTGGGCAAGTTATTAAGCATCTCTCTGAGTTTTCTTTTTTGCCAAATGGAAATAAAAACTAGTACCTTAAAGCAGCAGTTCCTAACCTTTTTGGCACCAGAGACTGGTTTTGTGGAAGACAATTATTCCACGGACTGGTGGGGTGATGGTTTCGCGATGATTCAAGCATGTTACATTTATTGTGCACTTTATTCCTATTATAATTACATTGTAATATATAATGAAATAATTATACAACTCACCATGATATAGAATCAATTGGAGCCCTGAGCTTGTTTTCCTGCAATTAGACAATCCCATCTGGGGGTGATGGGAGACAGTGACAGATCATCAGGCATTTGATTCTCATAATGAGTATGTAACCTGGATCCCTCGCATGCGCAGTTCACAACAGGGTTTGTGCTCCTATGAGAATCCAGTGCCACAACTGATCTGACCGAGTTCGGGCATACTGCAAGTGATGGGAAGTGGTTGTAAATACAGATGAAGCTTCGTTCACTTGTCTGATGCTCACCTCCTGTTGTGAGGTCCAGTTTCCAACAGGCCATGGACCAATAACAATCTGTGAACCAGGGGCAGGAGTCCCCTGCCTTAAAGTATGTTGAAAGGATTCAGTAATTGAGTCATATATAAGGCACCCAGAAAAATACTCAGCAAACTGGTAGACCTCAATAAAGAATTCCCCCTTCATGAAACAGTAAAGCTTACTTGAATATGTTATAAAATTTCCTTTTTGTCTTTGATCTTTACTTACCAGCATACTCATTGATCCTACAGCGATAGGTTTATCCTTCAATTCTGGATTGTCCCTCATTTCTACAGCTGCATAGAAAGCATCCATGTCAATGTGCACTATGGTATTGCTCAAATTTCGGCTCTGTTCTAATTCCATTGCAAATCTGTCAACCTTAATTTTTTAAAAAAGTTAACATACTTTTAGACAACATAATATTGAAACACCATTAACTACAACATCAATCTTAATTTATTAAGTGTCTATCAGTCTCTGTCCACACACCCATTCATCCATCCACCCTTCCATTTACTTTTATGGGTGTGTATTTTGTTGTTCATGAGTGTTTATGGGTTTATATTTTATTACTATTTATAAGTGTTTATCTATGTATATTTTATTTTAAAATTAAAATTGGTAATTGCTTTTATTTTCATAGAGACAGCCTATCCCCAAATATCATTCCCTACCAACTCTTTCATCTCTCCATACCCTCAGGCACATAACAGGAACTTAATATTTAATGAATGAATGAGCTAATCCAACTGCTTTTATTAAATGATTCTACTGCTTTATAAATTTGGAGTTCAACTCACTATAACTAAAAACTTCAATGTAGGTAAAATAAACAACTGCCATTTGATTCATAATAATAATGTCTTTAAAAATCAACAAAGGAAATATACAACAAAAGATTATACTTCTTTGGCATATGATGTTTATGCTGAACAGTAAGGTACCACTGAAGATACTGAAGCATAATGTAAATGTTCCCTCTGTAGAATTGCTTTTATAATGCTAAAATTTGATGTTAATCTATACAAGTAAAATTTAAAACCCAAGCTGTAATTTATTCTTCATGAACTTTTATATGTCAAATAGTGAAGATTCTTAATCTTTAAAGAATTTTAGTTTCTTCAGAGAAAAAGAGTTAGATTTACAAGAAAGAAATGAAAGGGGATAGACTAAACAAAGGAAGCAAGTAAGAAAAGTGATTATGTAGCAGACATACTCATTTCTAACTTCCATTTTTGTGGCCGGCCTCCACTATCAAGGCAAGAAAGACTAAATACTCACTTACCCAGCTTACCCTGCAGCTGGGGGTGGCTGTGTAATAGTTGTGATCTATGCAACACAGGGAAGTTACCAAGACCATTAAAATAAAATCATAAGAGAAGAAAGCTATTAAATAAGCTGGAAAACATACAGAACATAGAACAGTACCTGGTACATGGCACAAGTTCAATAAATGCATCTATCACTAAAAGGATCAATGGATAGCTGCATAATAAAACATCAAAAACTGAGAGAAAAACAGCCAGCAATGAGCAACTGGGGTGATCTATGGAATGGAAATAACTTCTGTCATGTGGAGTTCCCTCTAGCAAGTTTTTTCAAAGGTGGAGAGCTATAGGTGTATATGTTTTTTCCCTTATGTTGGACTCCAGCTTTGCCTCCATTCTGCAGAACTTTTTTTATGTCCTTCCTTCTTAGTGTTATAGAGACACCAGCTGCACACTAGTCGCAGGTTAAACCTATAACTCCTCTTTTAGAAGCAATCACCCTGACTCATGTTTGTCTCCAGGAGGTACAGTGAAATCTGTAGAAGGCTCCCCCTTGTTTAGGCTACAGCTCACTGAATGACCTGGGTTGCTCTATGCCTTCCTCAGGCTGTTCCTCTGTCTACAGTGCCTTTCCGAGCTCTGTCACAAGCCTTCAAGGATCAGCTGAAATATATCTTGGTATCTTAATAGAATGTCTGTCCCCTGTGCCACAGAATTTAATATTCCTTGTTTCCCTGCTCTTGCATGGCACTTATTGTGTTAGATACTAAATTGTCAGTTCCTTCAGAAGAAAGACCTTATCTGACTTCAAATTATTTTCTCACAAGAGAGATGGGGAGGGGAGACTAGAAGGAGAAAAACTATGAATTTACAGCAGTATATTAAAGTTGGTTTAAAAAGTGAAAGCAGTACTAGTAGAAAAATCTTGAAGAAGACTAACTTCCTACAGTAAAATCCCATACGTAATAAATGGAATCTTTCAACATTACTATAATTTAACATGCTAATTAAAACCTACTTCTTTTAGTACCTCAATTCTGAACCAGAGAATAGCATCATGACCACATGTAAACAAATTATGGAGATTAATAAAAACAAACGTAAACTAAAAACTATTCTATTTTAATCCAGAAAATATACCTAAGATATAACAGTCACATGAGAATAAGAAAGTGGCATCTGAAATACCTTGACGTGGAATCATCTAGAAAAGAAAAAGATGATGAATAGAAAGCAAGTCAAATGGGAAAAAATTCTCCTCAGACTCATATATTAATGCTATAAAAATGTCTTCAGCAAGCTATTCTCTTTTTTTTTGTGCTTAAAGCAAGAGTAGTTGCCAAAAGGAAATCTCCCCACTGCATGACTCATACATTCTACTTTCCTTTTACTATCTCTCATTAGTCACCTTTGTCTGAACTCTTCTCTTTCTACATCAACCAGATGCATGCCACTACTGCTTTTAAAAGTTTCTTCAACTGAAATCCCCATTCATATTGTCCTTTCTTCCATTTTCCAATGACTTTCAAGTTCTGATCTGAGTCTCCAACACGCACATTGTTCTTTTTGCTACTGCTCAAAACTAGTGTGTGTCACACTGGTTAAGAGTAACGGCTTTTGGGATTCCCGGGCAAGATGGTCCAATAGGAACAGTTCCTGTCTGCAGCTCCCAGTGAGACCAAGGCAGAAGGTGGGTGATTTCTGCATTTCCACCTGAGGTATTCGGCTCATCTCATTGGGACTGATTAGAAAGTGGATGCAGGCCAAGAAAGGCTAGGAGAAGCAAGGTGGGATGTTGACCCACCCAGGAAGCATGAGGGGTCTGGGAACTCCCTCCCCTAGCCAAGGGAAACCATGAGGGACTGTGCCGTTAGTGAGGGATGGTGCTATCCGGCCTAGATATTACGCTTTTCCCACTGTCTTCACAACCTGGAGACCAGGAGATTCCACTGGGTGCCTACACAACCAGGGCCCTGGGTTTCAATAACAAAACTGGGTGGCCATTTGGGCAGACACTGAGCTAGCTGCAGGAGGTTTCTTTCGTACCCCAGTGGAGCTGGAACGCCAGAGAGAGAGAACTGTTCATTCCCCAGGAAACGGGGCTGAAGCCAGGGAGCCAAGTGGTCTAGCTCAGTGGATCCCATGCCCACAGAGCCCAGCAAGCTAAGATCCACTGGCTTGAAATTCTTGCTGCTGGCACAGCAGACTGAAGTTGACCTGGGATGCTCCAGCTTGGTGAAGGGAGGAGCATCTGCCATTACTGAGGCTTGTGTAGGAGGTTTTCCCCTCACAGCGTAAACAAAGCCAGCGGGAAGTTCGAACTGGGTGGAACCCACCACAGCTTGGCAAGGCCACTGTAGCCTGACTGCCTTTCTAGATTCCTCCTCTCTGGGCAGGGCATCTCTGAAAGAAAGGCAGCAACCCGTCAGGGGCTTATTGATAAAACTCCCATCTCCCTGGGACAGAGCACCTGGGGAAAGGGGCAGCTGTGGCGCAGTTTCAGCAGACTTAAACGTTCCTGCCTGCTGGTTCTGAAGAGAGCAGCAGATTGTCCAGCACAGTGCTCAAGCTCTGCTAAGGAACAGATTGCCTCCTCAAGTGGGTCCCTGATTCCAATGCCTCCTGATGGTAGGGGTCAACAGACACCTCATACAGGAGAGCTCCAGCTGGCATCTGGTGGTACCCCTCTGGGACAAAGCTTCCAGAGGAAGGAACAGGTAGCAATCTTTGCTGTTCTGCAGCCTCTGCTGGTGACACCCAGGCAAACAGGGTCTGGAGTAGACCTCCAGCAAACTCCAGCAGAACTTCAGAAGAGGGTCCTGCTAGAAGGAAAACTAAAAAACAGAAAGCAACAGCATCAACATCAACAAAGAGGATGACCACACAAAAGCCCCATCCAAAGGTTACCAACATCGAAGACTAAAGGTGGATAAATCCACAAAGACGAGGAAAAAACAGTGCAAAAAGGCTGAAAATTCCAAAAAACAGAACATATCTTTTCCTCCAAAGGATCACAACTCCATGCCAGCAAGGAAATAAAACTGGATGGAGAATGAGTTTGACAAATTGACAGAAGTAGGCTTCAGAAGGTGGGTAATAACAGAGTCCTCCGAGCTAAAGGAGCATGTTCTAACCCAACGCAAGGAAGCTAAGAACCTTGATAAAAGATTACAGGAACTGCTAACTAGAATAACCAGTTTTGAGAAGAACATAAATGACCTGATAGAGCTGAAAAACACAGCACAAAAACTTCGAGAAGCATACACAAGTATCAATAGCTGAATTGATGAGCGAAAGAAAGGGTATCAGAGATTGAAGATCAATTTAATGAAATACAGTGTGAAGACAAGATTAGAGAAAAAGCATAAAAAGAATGAACAAAGCCTCAAGAAATATGGGACTATGTGAAAAGACCAAACCTACATTTGATTGGTGTACCTGAAAGTGATGGGGAGAATGCAACGAAGTTGGAAAACACTCTTCAGGATATTATCCAGGAGAACTTCCCCAACCTAGCAAGACAGGCCAACATTCAAATTTAGGAAATACAAAGAAAACCGCAAAGATACTCCTTGAGAAGAGCAACCCCAAGACACATAATCACCAGATTCACCAAGGTTGAAATGAAGGAAAAAATGTTAAGGGTAGGCCAGAGACAAAGGTCGGGTTACAAAGAGAAGCCCATCAGAATAACAGCAGATCTCTCTACAGAAACCCTACAAGCCAGAAGAGAGTGGGGGCCGACATTCAACATTCTTAAAGAATTTTCAACCCAGAATTTCATATCCAGCCAAACTAAGCTTTGTAAGTGAAGAAGAAATATAATTCTTTACAGACAAGCAAGTGCTGAGGAATTTTGTCACCACCAGGCCTGCCTTACAAGAGCTCCTGAAGGAAGCACTAAATATGGAAAGGAAAAACTGGTACCAGTCACTGCAAAAGCATACCAAAATGTAAAGACCACTGACACTTGAAGAACCTGTATCAACTAACGGGCAAAATAACCAGCTAGCATCATAATGACAGGATCAAAATAAATGCCCCAATTAAAAGACACAGACTGGCAAATTGGATAAAGAGTCAAGACCCATCAGTGTGCTCTATTCAGGA